CACTTGTATCGAATCGGACGGTCCCAATAGCAGGAATGGACAGTCCGTTTTGAATTTTCGAAACTGGAAAACCGTCCGAATGCAAAGACGTCACTTTTCTCAACTTCGCAAACTGCCGAAGTACTGTACCGTCGTAACCCTGTTCAAACGAGCGTCGCGTGCCCCTTGTAAATTGTCCGTGCGACTCGATTGTTTTTTCGGAGATTTCGTCCGCCAATCCCGTGTCAGAACTGTTCAACCGTCCGTTTGCATTTCGAACTGCCGAATGTTCACAATGTGAACCGTCGCTTGGAGGGAAAAGTGACGCGACAGTTCGAACCGTTGGCGATGTCGATACAAGTGGACAGGCGGAAATGATGACGAATCTTTGCGAAACTGCTAACCTTTTCGCCAATCGGACGGTCCACGGTTCGAACCGTCGAGGGTAAAAAAGAGACACGCCCTGCGAACGTGTCAGACAGTGGAGTTCTCCTGATCAGAAGCCCAACTCATAGAAGTTGTCGCGGGGTTTTATGTAGGACCTCAATCGGTCTCTCTTCCTAGGCTCCTAGACTTCTAGTCTCCGTATGTGTTTCAAAGACTTGCGTCTCGCAAACCGATATTAGCTTGCAGCTCTGCTTCGTGTCAGGAACTCGCGAATTCAGACGGATTCGCTCACCTAGACCACGCGTGCTAACGTTTCAGCCTGGTCCCAATCACCTTCGTCCCGCTCACACTCTCATCGGCTGACGTATTCTTTGTTCCACTAACTCCGTGGAGAATCTTCCACCAGCAGCAGTAGCCGCAGCAGCAGTAGCCGCCGCAGCAGTAGCCGCAGCAGCAGGATCCACAGCAGCAGGAGCCGCCAACTATTAAGACGTCTCAAAAGGTAGCAGCAGTAGCCGTAGCAGCAGGAGCCGCCGCAGCAGGAACCTCCACAGCAGGAGCACCAGCAGCAGCAGCACCAGCGACAACAGTATTCGCAACAAAAATCCTTTCTCCATGCATTTATGAAGGGTCTAAAAAATCCTTCCTCCAGCACCTCTTCTCCCACCATGCACTCCTCAACCTCGCTCTCCTCTCCTCTTCTCGCCTCCTCTTCCTCCTCCTCCCCCTCCCTTTCCTCGCCTCCTGCCCGCTCCTCTCGCTTTCGAATCCTTCCAATTTCCTCGTTTCTCCCAGGACCATCATCAGAATCAACACCACGTCTCCATCCTCACCCTCTCGTTCCCACGCGGCAACTATTTCTCTGCTGGCTATTCTCGTTCCTGCGCTGGTTCAAACCTTCCGAGCCCTTTCTAGTAGATTTCATGGTTTCCAAAGGCCTCTCCAATGCTGACGTGTACCACAGAGTTTTTCCCGTCTGGGTTTTTTCGCAGCTGCCCGCGCTGCTGCTCGTCAGCCTTCTGTCGAAGCTCATTGGGTGCAAATCCACCGTCGTTCTCGGCGCAATTCTCGGATTCGCCACAACCGCACTGACAATAGCAGCTCCAATCATAACATCTCCATCCCATCCCCCCTCTTTTTATTCCACTGACGCAGCCGCAGCCACAGCTACAGTCGCTGCCACTGCTGCTGCCCAAACACCAGACACACTCCTTCCTCTCACCTTCCTTCAGACCAGTCAAGTGACCTTTGCTCTCTCCTTCGCCGCTCATTCCGCCTTCGCCGCGCTCTCCCTCGCCTCCCTACCCCGCTCGCACTACACCCTTGCGTCCCACGGCAACCATGCTGCCACGCTGGCTGGATCCTGCCTCTCAGGCCTGCTCGGACGAATCATGGCGCGCCACGTGTCGCTTCTGGTGCTTTTCGTTGTTTCGCTGGTGTGTCAGTTTCTGTCTGTTGTTGTGGCCGTGCTGCTGCGGCCTGCTGCTGCTGATGCAGAGTTAGAGACAGAAAAAGGAGCAGAATCAAGGGCACGTACAAGAGGAGAATCGAGGAGAGATTCTAGAAGCAAGTGGAGTGCAGAATCAAGAACAGCGTCAACAACAGGGGATGCAGCAGATGCAAGAGGGGAAAAGGGAACAGACACGAGATCAGAGCAGGTCCACAAGCACATAACCTCAGTGCGGTACCCACGCCTGGCTCTCCACCCCGTATCCACTCTCCTCAGCTCTATCCTAATCGCAGCAGCGTCAGTAGCAGCTGATGTGTGCCATGCTCTCACTGCTCCGACTGTGCTGAGCTGGTCGTGCTGGGCTGTACTAGCCAACAGTGTTCATCGCATGGTTATGACCTACTGGCTCTCCCTAATTAAAGAGCTTGCAATGCATCAGCAGCAGCCGTCGTCCCTGCACATCATGCCTTCTCATCCTCTGGTCTCCTCTGTCGCCTCTTCGCTCTCCTCCTCACTCCCTTCTTCACTCTCTGCTCCTGTATTCGCCACTGCTGTCTCCCCTGCTGCTTCGCACGTGGGCTCTGATGGCCTTGCAGCAGGACCAGGAGGAATGTCAGCGATTGCAGCAGCGGCAGTGGCAGCAATAGCAGTTGTAGCAGCATCTGGGGCCAGGGGAGGCATAACTGGCCCGGCATTGCCCTCGCCACCTCTACTCAATGTTACCCACTTTCCTTTTCTCACACCACCGGTGGGAAGTTTGATCAAGGGAACTTCTTTGATCCATAATGCAGCTCCTGCGTGGGAGCCAACATCTCTTGGGCTTAGATCTGCTGCGTTTGAATTGGGTTCTGCAAGCAGCAATTCTCGTTCAGAGAGGTCTCAAGATAGTGGGCTTGGGGACTGGCACCCGGGTATGCATCGGAGGATGCTGGTGTATTCACTGATGGAGTCACAGGTGGTAGCAGCAGAGGCAGGAGTAGCAGATGCAGGAGCACGAGAGTGGACTGATGGCGAAGTGAGTGCATCCAGGTCATTGCTATCAGGTACAGCAGCCGCAGCAACAGCAACCGCAGTATCAGCAGCTGCAGCAGCAGAAGCAACAGCGGACAGAGCAGAAGCAGCAGCAGGCAGGACAAGAGTGGCAGCAGACGAAGAAGCAAATGGAGCAAAAGCAGCAGCAGCAGCAGAAGAAGAAGCAGCTGCCATAGGAATAGCAGCAGCAGCAGCCACTCCCATAGCAGGAGCAGCGAAGTCAGAAGCTGTTTCAGATGCAACCAGTGCATGCTACATCCTGATGAACCTGACAGCTGCTCTCGCCATTGTTGCTGCTGCATACATCCCAGTCAACAATGCCCACGCACTCATCCAGATCGTTTCAGCCTGTGTCTGCGCTATTTGTCTGGTTACCACCAGCCGTGCGGACTTGTCCTGGGTTACATATGCGGCTCTGGTGGTGTACCACTCGTGGCATGAAGCTACTGGGGCTGTTTGCGCGGCTAGGATCGCTGCACACGTGCGACAGTCAGCAGTGAGTGTGATGGAAATATCGTCACTTGCAACAACAGACGATGCACCGACATGCCTGACAGTGTCACTTTCGCCAGAAGTGACAGCACCAGCAACACCACCAGTACCCACATCGACACCAGCATCTGCACCAGCATCAGCACCAGCATCACCAGCATCAATGTTAACATTAACCCCTTTACCATTAACATGTACTAATGAGCCGATGCGAACACCGGGTTTACGTGACCTAGAGCAGCAGCTGACCTCCCTGTTTGCAGCAACGGCAGCTACCTCAGTGGTGCTGCAGTCTGCAGTGCAAGCTGGGTTGCTGTTATTCCTTGGAGGGTCGGTGGCTGGGTGGTTCCTGGTGGACGGCTTTGCATTGCTGTCTCTCGCAGTGTTGCTAGGTGGAGCAGCCGTTTTTCGAGCGATAGTACCAGTAGTTTAACAATAGGGATTCTGTTTCTTAGAATGAGAAGAATGTATTGAAATTGTCCTCTTGATACAATCAGGACGTGTAGCAAGGTTGATGACTGCATGTACTCTCTGAGCTACTTGTAATTGACTGGTGGAGATTCAGTCTGGGTTGGAACAGCACAAGGTTGAGCTATTTGGACAAAATCTATAACAGGCGGATGCCTATAGCGAGCTTCGAGGGTCACTTGAAGGTTTGAAACTGTGACACAAGCGAATGCTGAAAGAGCACTCTGAATGATGGAAATCCGACAACTGATGGCTGCTGTTCAATGAAGGGGAAAGCTGGGGTGGAGCGAAATTGGACAATCATGGAATGTAACGACAGCTGAGGTTTCGACAAAATCATAGAGTTCCAAGCTGGTAACCACTATCGTTGAAACCCGATTTGCCCGTGACGACGATCGCTAGAACCACAACCAGCAGCAATTCAACCCGTTACTGAAACTCATGCTCGACGCCCTTGCGTCGGTCAGACTAGACCATCATCATGCAGTATGTCAGTCTCAGTCAGTATTGACCCACTCTAGTTTTGACCTAGTCACACACGGTAAGTAGAGGGTTGTGTGAAAAGCTGGTTTCTCGGAGTCTGTCATTCTCTTTCTCCCAGCCACGCCATCCCTGTTGGTCCGATCTCATCCAAAAAATGGCCATGGGATGTTATGCGATCAGCTGGTAGGGCTTGATTGTGTTTGTTGGGCGCTAGAAGGGATTTTGTTCTCTCTCTCGCTCTCTTTTATGGAACCTGCTAGTAGCAATCGTCTCTTTCTGAGACGATATCTGTGTCGTGTTAGTCTTACGGAACCCGATTTTAGTTAGCGTTTAAGGCTTAGCGTTTAGTGCTTCGCGTCCCTGCTGTAATTTCCTCGTCATCCATCCGAACCCTTCAAGCCGTGTTAGCGCGTTGATTAGAGGTGTCTAATTCCCCCCCTGATTCTATCTAGCCTTCCCACTGCTGCCTTTGTCCAACAGCGTCCGAGCCCGTTTCTTTGTTCTTTGTTTCTTTCCTCCGTCGTTAGCGGCATCTGTTCTTGATCCTCCCGTCGATCAAAATCTCGCCTATCCCTAGCGCTCCTGGCTCTTGTAGTCGTTCTTAGAATCCCGGAACCATTGCTCGCCGTCCATAGGCGATCCTAACCGTCAAGACAATTCTAGCCGTCCCCAGTGAATTCCAGCCGTAGATCCGGACAGATTTTCAGCCATGGGGTCTGCTTACAATCCTTCCGCCTACTACAATTCACAGCAGCACCAGCAGCAGCAGCCGCGGCAGCCGCAGCAGCCGCAGCAGCAGCCGTCGGCTGGTTCCCAGGCGAACACCCGACAGTTCCTGAATGGAATCTTGGAGCAGCGAGGTCCGGGGGCTTTGCCTTATAACGAGGGCGACAAGTGGCTTATTCGCGAGCAGCTGGCGTTCACTATTCAGACCTTCTCTGGTCTGCAGGTTAGTCCGATTATTTGTTACTTTGCGTCGATACGCGTTATAACTAGCGGATGCTTTGGCCGCGACGTTCGTAATTTTTTTTTATTGTACTGCAGTTACTGGTCTTGCGGCCTCCCTTCTTCGGTATCCCCTTTGTTTTTCGTATCCCCACCCACCTTTTCAAGTTCTCACGCGTCCCTCACCCGTCAATTTGATGTTGGATCTCTTAAGGAAGGGAGAATCTCTGGTAAATCGGACTGTTGGCAACGCACAGCCTCGTTGGCAACGCACAGCTTACTATGGGGGGGAACACCCCATAGTAACCCCGGATAGTTGGGAACGCATCGAAGCCCACTCTCGCCCATTCTAAGTCTTAAAACACACTCCGCTCCGTGTCGCTCCCCCTTGTCCCTCCCAACCCCTCCTCACTACCCCTCCTCGCTATCCCTCGTAACGCCCTTTCCAGGTCCGTCCTGCCACGTTCACGCACAACGATGGGCGACAGGTGCAGCTATTGCAGCTAGAGGGCACTATCCCCATGTGGTACAAGGAGGTTAAGTACAATATCCCCATCACCATGTGGCTCTTAGAGCAGTTCCCGCGCGCCGCTCCCCTCGTTTATGTCACGCCCACGCGGGATATGATCATCCGGCCGAATCACTCGCACGTGAACGCCTCGGGATTGGTCGACGTGCCGTTTCTGCGCGAGTGGGTGTACCAGCGCTCGACGGTAGTCGATCTGTTGCAAGTTTTGTCGGTTATGTTCGGGCAGGAGCCGCCTCTGTACTCCCGCCAGCCCGCGCATGCGGCGGCTGCGACGCAGGCGCGCCCGCCAGGTGCGCGGACCGGCGGACCTGGCGGAGGAGATGTCCGCGCACAACAGCAGCAGCAGCAGCAGCAGCAGCAGCATCATCATCATCAACAACCGCAACACCATCAGCAACAGATGTCACCTACACCACAAGCGTACTCCAGCGGTGCTGCCCCCGCCCCCTTATCCCCGGCCTTCCAGGGTACTAACCCCATGCACATGCACGGGCCCCCTTCCTCGGGTTTAGATGGTGCGCGGATTGGGCCGGCAGGGCCGGGCGGGAGAGAGAGGGGCATCAGCGGAAGCGGCAGTGGTGGTGGGGGAGGGGGAGTGGTGGGAGGAGGTGTCGGTGCGTACGCGCAGCAGCAGCAACAGCAACATCAGCAACAGCAGCAGCAGCAGCAGCAGCAGCAGCAGCAGTACGGGCAGTATAAGGGAACGTTCGCACGGCCAGGTGCTGCGCCGACAGGTGGCGCAGGAGCAGGCGCAGCAGGAGCAGCGCCGACAGCAGGAGGCGCAGGCGGGGCGGGAGGCGCGGCAGTAAGAAGCGCGTCCGGCCAGGGATCAGGCGCAGCAGGCGCTGGAGCAGCAGCAGCAGCAGGGGCGGCCGCGGCGGCGGCGGCGGCAGGGAGAGGGGAATCCGGGAAGAGCAAAGGCGAGGAGGCGAAGGAGGTGTTTAGAAAGGCGGCTGTTATATCCCTGTCGGTGCAGCTGAGCGCGGACGTGAGTGAGAGTTGGCAGACGGCGAACCGGCTTATGGAGGAGCAGCTGGGGCTGCAGCAGATGCTGGGCGCGCGCAAGGAGCAGGCCAGCGGGGTTGTGAGGGAGCTCGAGCGGGAGAAGCAGGCGCTGGAGGAGTCGCTGCAGGTGAGAGAGAGGGAGTTTGGGGTGGTTGGGAACGGTGCTGCAGGCGAGAGGGGTTTGGGGTGGTTGGGATGATGCTGCAGGTGAGAGGGTTGGGGCAACGGGAAAGGTTCTGCTGCAGGTAAGAGCTCTTGAGTGGAACTGGAGGTTGGGGGGACGGTGCAGTTGAAGGGGGAATTGAGTGAGAGCTGGCAGACGGCGAACCGGCTGATGGAGGAGCAGCTGGGGCTGCAGCAGATGCTGGGCGCGCGCAAGGAGCAGGCCAGCGGGGTTGTGAGGGAGCTCGAGCGGGAGAAGCAGGCGCTGGAGGAGTCGCTGCAGGTGAGAGAGAGGGAGTTTGGGGTGGTTGGGAACGGTGCTGCAGGTGAGAGGGTTGGGGCGTGGGGAAAGGTGTTGCGGGTGAAAGGGTTGGGGCGTGGGGAATGGTGTTGCGGTGAAAGGGTTGGGGTGTGGGGAAAGAAGCTGCAAATGAGTGCTCATGCGTGAATCGGAGCGGAAGGGGCCGGTGTTAAGGTAAAAATGGAAACATTCAGACGACAGTGAAGATGTTGCCCGCCTTGAAATAGAAAGGATTGCTTGCAGAGAGGTGGAACTTGTTGCTCGTGTGGTGTGGGAAGCTTGTGGGAGCTGGTGTCGTGGGGAAGTCTTCCCCGTTAACCAGAGTGTTTAACCATGCCAGAGTGTTTCTGACTGCTGCTCGCTCGCTTGGAGCTGGGCAGAGTGGGTGGGGGGAAGGTGGGGTGGGGGGGTTGAGATTGTGAGAAAAGGTCCAGGGGAGGATGGGGATAAGTGGATGAACAGGGGAAGGCGGTTTTGATCTGTCTCTCTCCGTCCCCCCCCCCTTCCCCCACCCTCCACCCCACGTTATCCGCCGTTTCTTCCCTCGCACTCCCCCTCTCCCATTCCGGTTGTTCTCGCTTGCGACTCACCTTTTTCTGTCTGTCTACCCCACTCCCACTTATTGGTCATGGTGTATGGGTGATGATGTATGGGTGATGGCGCATGGTTGATGATGTATGTGCAACAATCTGCATGCCTCAATACGTACTGTCTCTGGTGCAGGTCCAACAAACCAACGCCGATGTCATGGAATCATGGCTAGCCCAGAACGCTTCCTCTTCCAACACCAGCACCACCACCACAACAACAACCACTACCACGGTCACCACCAGCGGCACCACCACCACCACCTCCTCCACCCAACCCACCGACGCCGCTGCAATCGACATTGATTCTGCTTTTCAGCCTTGCGATTCTCTCTCAGCTCAGCTGCTGAAGCACACGGCAGCAGACCTAGCTATAGAAGACGTGCTTTACTCCCTAGACCGGGCCCTTCAGGAGGAGCGGGGGCACGATGAGTATGACCCTTCATCTGCCAACTCGCGTCGGCGAATCCTGACCGTTGATGCGTACCTGAGGCATGTGAGGATCTTGGCCAAGGAGCAGTTTCTGCAGCGGGCAACGGCGCTGAAAGTGCAAGCGGTGCAGAGGAGTGCGAGGGTGAATCAGATGGCTGAGAGAGCGGTTTCCGGGCATGGACAGGGGCACGTGCAGGCACATGGGCATGCGCATTCTCTTTCGTCTGCTGCTGCTGCTGCGGCGTCTTCCGCTGCAGCTGCTACGGCTGTTGGATTGGGGGCAGGTAGCAGGGGTTTGTGAGAGGGAAGAATGTGGCTGAGCTCTACTGCTGCTTGCGCATCTGCCGGCGCTTGCAGTGCTGCTGCTAGTGCTGGTGGTGGTGTTGGTGTTGATGTTGGTGCTGGTGATGATGCTGGTGGTGGTGCTGCTGCTGCTGCCACATTGCAATCCGTACATGTGAAGTAAAGAAAACACCGGATGTGGCATCTCTAGGATGGGTTTGGGTGGGCGGGTTTGCTTGTACTTGCAGGAATGAGTACGGTAGGTAGGTAAATTTGGTGCATTCATTACATTACAGTAGTACGATTGCAGTTTTCGAATTCCCACTCATGATCTGGCAGTGGATTGTTGTACTGTATGGCACTTGCATTATGCAGCAGAAAGTGCATCAGAGGACAAATACGGTAGTGGTTGAGCCCCACCAAAACGATCTTTACCTGGTATGGTAGAACCATTATCACGCACCCCACTACCAGGGTCCTTTGCCCCTCAGAAAGCAAGAAACCTGTTGCTCTTTAGTCCTATTTCATCTCAAGAAAACGCAAGTCCACCCCATTCTCCCCAGGAAAGCCCATGATACTCTTAAACCCTTTAATGAAACAGAACTTGAGTGTAAGCTCGAATTTATATGAAGCTACACTGAAGTAGACCGCACAACTGGAATGGGTCAAGAAGCGTACCACACGGCGCTGTCTCTCGTGGGTCATTTTCACGACTAGACTAGAGTCAATAGAGTGGGTGGGAACATCTCCCATCCAGCCAAGGTTACCCAATTGCTCAAGCCGTCAGTGTGTTCTCTGGCCAGCTTGCGGGCGGGGATTTCGCAGGGTTCAAATCGTCAACAGTAGCAACGTGTGCAATTTCGCCAAATCGGATGGAACACACCCTGAAATGCGAACTCCATGGGAAAATACCCGGAAACGAAGTGATTTTAGGAACCTCCGTTTCCGACTACAGAATCGGAGACTCGCATCCGTTTCAGAAGCAGCCAGACTTCTGGCTGTTGGCGCTTCTGGGATGCGAGTCTGGCTGGCTGCTGCTTCTGGCTGTTGGCGAGTCTGTTGGCGCAGACCCCTTCGGGGTCTGGCAAACCGCGGGCAAACCCCTTCATTGGAAAACCCCCTTCCCAAGTGGGTGGAGTTTTGAAGCTTGAAGCGGACAGAAGGAAGTTCAGGTTCCACTCGTGGTCCTTGTATACGGGGATGAACCTAGTCATGGGGTAACTAGAAAATGGACGTCATAAACGAAGGAAGTCTTTCTCTGATACACTCTCTTCGACAGTTGTTGTGTCGTCAAGAAGAGCTGGTTACAGTGTGTACACCAACATTTGGTCCCTGTCTATTCTGGACGTTGTCGGGTTGTCGAAAAGCCAATGCGCGCCGCATGCAAGCATTTGACGGGGGCGGTGCGTGGCTGCCTCAGGTCGAAATTTGTGCATAAAACTCGTTCAATTCACTCTACTCACATCAGCCAGTCACTTCCAGCGGACCTGTTACTACCAGCTGTCGCTGTTTATTCGGCTGCTAACCTATCTGCTTGGCACTCACAGTTGAAGTAGCGAGTCCTACTCTCCTCGCCCAGTCCTACATTTGGTAGTACCATCATTACCAAATTCGACTCCCTTCGACCGCTCTCCCTTTTTCGAAGCGTCAGTTTTCTTCGTAGTATCTTAACACATTCCTTCCAGCTCGGTGAGTGCTAATCACGTCACGAGACATCATGGCGAGATTCAGCGTGCTGCTTGCGATCGTGCTGGTGATAGCAGTGCCGTCGCATGTCGACGCCGCAGCCGGAGGATCGACGAGCACCAACACGACCGGAGGATCGGGCAGCAACAGCCCCACGGGCGATCCGTGCGTACCGGCGCAGAACATCACGTGCTCCACTGCGTGCAACTCGGGCAACGCCGGCGTGTACTCGCGCTACTCGCTCCCCGCGTTTCTGCAGAATGCGAAGTGCCCGCCAGAGTACAACAACGCCATCAGCACGAGCCGCCTGTACTGCTACGACGGCATGAGCCTGCCGTCGTGCTGCAACAAGTGCATCAGCCGCCGCACGTGCACCTACTGGCAATTCAACCAATTCGAAAATTTATGACACATGAATCGATCCACGTGGACATAAACCCGAAACCCTGAACTCTGAACCCTAAACCCTAAACTCACATTGTGACGATATGATTGGATTCCGATCTATCGGGAAAAAGCTGGATCATGATGAAACCAGAATGTCTTATTCATTCTTTTACTACTACTACCCTTGTCTCCGAACAGACGGTCGGATTGCGCCAACTGCGGCGTGTGCTACATCTACCCGCCGCTAGCGGCGCCTCCCACATGCATTCCCGACGGGATCCTGTGGAACGTGACCCGCGTGGCGCGGCCGTGCCCGTCGTCGCTCAACGACCCGCACTTCACGGGCGCGGAGGGCACGCAGTTCGACTTCAACGGGCTGCCCGACCAGAGCTTCTGCCTCGTCACGGACGCGCGAATCCACGTCAACATGCGAATGCGCGGGTATTACGACGACCGCACGATCGGCGCGTCGATCCTGAAGGGCGGAAAGGCGGTGCGCACGTGGATCAAGGAGCTGGGCATTATGTGGATCGACGCGGCGGGCGTGAAGCACTCGTTCCGCATGGCGGCGCGCGACGTCAAGGAGATGGCGCGCGGCGCGGGGTACATGGGGGAGATGGAGTTCGACGGCAAGGCGCTGCCGCTCCTCTCCGTGGGCAGCAAGTACGCGCTGCCCGGCGGGCTGACGCTGGCGTTCACGGGGTACGAGAAGCAGGGCGGCGGGTTCTTCGACGTGGACGCGTACTCGCTGGAGGTGGACGGGCTGATCAAACTGGATGTGAAGCTGCGGCCCGCGCACCCGCTGCTGCAGACGGACGCGGACGCGCAGACGCACATCAACCTGCACTTCGCCAACGTGGAGCGCACCCCCGCCATGCACGGCATCATGGGGCAGACGTATCGCGAGGGCCGGCGGAAACGCGCGTTGGAGTACACGTCGCTGTCGGTGCTGCTACGGCGGTCGTTCGCGGCGGACGGCGTGGAGGGCCGAGGGTACCTGGACGGCGAGGTGAAGGACTACCGCACGTCCAGCGTCATGTCCGCCGACTGCCTGTACACCGCGTTCGACGGACACTCGCTACCACCCATCAACGAGGCCAACGGCGTGATCCGGGCGTAGAGATTCCCTGTATAATAAATTCGTCTTTTAGTGCGGCAGGAATGCCAAACAAAATGTGTTCCTTTTTCACTCGAGAACGAGTGATATTGGTATTGTTTGTTGTTTTTGCTGTTTTATAAAATGATAGTTGTAGTTCCTCTTTTTCACGGCCCCATGGTTGGAGCCCTTCTGTGTTGCATTGGTCGTCAATAGTGACCGTATGTCAATATTTCACTCCTTATAAAAGTGTGATATCAATAATAGTTGCTTACGCCAATTCAGAAACTCGGGGAATGATTGAATTGACTCTGTTCGGACATTGGCTGATCATCTTCGCGTCGCAAACTTGCGTAGACAATTTAGGCGATGTCGAAGTCCCAACGTGTAATCTCCACCATGGTGTGAGGTTGCGAAACCTGAAACAGGACAGGAATCTATTATCAGCCAGCTTCGTCTTGATGGCATGGGTTGGGGGTTCGGATTGGATGGGATTCGAGTACATGCGAATCGCCACCACGAGCATCTCAAACAGGAGGGGAAGTGATATGTGATGGGACGAGATAGGTTGGGACTGGCTGGGATGGGTTGAGATGGGATCGATCGGATTTGAGCGGAGTAGCTCGACATCAGGTCCGTCAACTGCTTGACTCACGAATTGACAATGACGGCTGTCAGCACGACAAACGAGCAACCCCGCCGCGCACCGCACCGCACCCGACCAGGGGTTGCTGGTTTGTTTTTTGGTCAGTGCTTGGTTGTTTTTTTTGTCTGCTGCCAGACTCGTTGAGATGTGAAATGAAATGAAATGCTTCGACTGGAACATCCTCTCTCGTGTTGTAAACCCACACCCTCTTCCCACAAGCCCGTGTCGTCCCTTCACCAGTATGTGCTTATCTGGAAAAGTGATTTTACATTCCCTAGCCATAGCAGCAGTTGACAATGAGTTAGCTAGGGTGAAAATACAAGCACAACCTAGCAAGACATTCTGAAGATAACCCAGGCAATACCCCATTGACATCCTTCCTCACAACCAGATCTAGCTACAGTCTATATTGGGAACACGCAACCAAGCTATCTTCAACAGTCTGGATAGACACTCTTGTGATGTTATAGAAGATGAGTCTTGCTTCTGAAGTCACCACCATCACACCACCACTCCGCTGCTGCAGCCCAACTCCACTACACCCCACACCTCATTTTGAGGCACCTACAAAACATCACACTTGCTAAAAACCCATGCCACATTGACTCTGGTTAGGGGTCAGTCAGCAGCAGCACGAACGTACCTACCATGGCCTACCCCGTAACCCGATTTGCTGACTTGCTGCTGTTGTCGCCAACCCGCAGGAGCATCAGCAACAACACTACCATCACAACAAGCACTGGTACCACTACCACTGCTAACCACCACCACCGCCACCATCACTAGCACCAGCAGCATCAGCAGCAGCAGCACTTGCACCACCACCAGCACCAGCAGCAGCAGCAGCAGCACCACCAGCGCCAGCACTGGTGCTGCTGCTACCAGCAGCACCTGCCTTCCCTCCCTCTTTCTTCGCCTTTGCAGCAGCCCTAGCTCGGCGCCTCTTCTCTCTCTCCCTCCGCTTCCTCTCCTTCAAATCAACCCACTTGTACTCCTCTGGAATGACAAAAGGATCAACCGCCCAATTATCCTCTTTCTCTCCTGCTCCTCCTCCTCCTGCTGCTCCTGCTGACGACGATGAAGCCCCTTTTTCCCCGGTGCCCTCCCCACCACTGCTCCCCCCCTCTCCTCCCCCACCCTTCCTCCTAGCCCATCCGAACCACGACCTCTTCCCTCCTTTTCTCCCACCCTCTCCTCCTCCTCCTCCTCCTGCTCCTCCTGCTCCTCCTCCTGATCCACCCCCCACGTCCCTCTCCGGACTAGCAGTAGGAGTGTGAAACTCGTCTCCCTCCTCCCCACCCTCCTCCCCATCCCCCTCCTTCCCGCCTCTCCCCCTCCGCCCTTTCCCCTCCCCTTCCCCCTCCTCCTCGTCCTCCTCGCCCTCCCCATCCCACGCTGCATCCTCCTGAGCAAGTGCAAAGGCTTCTGGCAGGGGGGCGGGAGCAGCTCTGAACTCCTCGAATTTGGAGAAGGTGACAGACACGCGGACAGTGGGAACCACTGGTATGGCCACCTGTAGACAGGCAGGAAGGGGGGACCGGAAGGAGGGGTGTGTGTTTGAGACACCACAACAGGCTTCTGGCAGGGGTGCAGGAGCAGCTCTGAACTCCTCGAATTTGGAGAAGGTGACAGACACGCGGACGGTGGGAACCACTGGTATGGCCACCTGTAGACAGGCAGGAAGGGGAGACCAGAAGGAGGGGTGTGTTTTTGAGACAGCTCAACAACAGGCTTCTGGCAGGGGTGCAGTAGCAGCTTGGGATTCTTCGCATTTGGAGAAGGTGACAGACACGCGGACAGTGGAAACCACTGGTATGGCCACCTGTAGACAGGGAGAAGGTGTGTGTGTGTGTGTGTGTGTGTGCGTTCGTGGGGAGGACGAGGAGAAGGGGAGAGGGAAGGGGGAATGGGAGGGGGATGGGGGAACGGGAGGGGAAATGGGGAAGTTGCAGAGTGCAAAAGGTGGTAGGAGTTGCATCAAGCTGCCTTAAGAAATGGATATGGAAAACGTGACAGATACACAGACAGTGGATGGAAACCACTGGAATGGTCACCTGTCGACATGGAGGAGGGGAGGACCGGGAGATGGGTTGGATATTGAGATGGGGATGGGGGAGGGGGGCCGGGGCTACACACACGTGGACAATAGGCAGCACGAGTGGAAGAAAGCATTTTGGGCCGAGATTCTAATCGACAAAAAAATTGGCTGATAGCCAGAGTGGGGGGTGCAAAGGGGAATAAGGCCGAGGTGAAAGGGAAGCGGGAGGGAAGGAGGGGGGAAGAGGGAGGGGGGGGGGGGGGGTGGGGGGGAGAGTGGGCCATACATTGCGCCTATACATCCCAAAACCCATAGCGTCCGTTCACCATGGCCCCCACCAGCACCCACCAGCACCCACCAGCACCCACCAGCACCCACCAGCACCCACCAGCACCCACCAGCACCCAGCAGCACCCAGCAGCACCCAGCAGCACCCAGCAGCACCCAGCGGCACCCAGCAGCACCCAGCAGCACCCAGCGGCACCCAGCGGCACCCACCTTCACGGGCACCATCCCCGGGGGCAGTTTCATGGTGAGCAATTCCTTCAGTCGCTGCACCGCCTTCACTCGGTTTGATAGAAGGTCAAGCAGAGGCAGCAGCTCCTGCATATCCAAAGGGAAATCCCTCGTCATCCATAGCACCGGCTTCAGCCCCCGCCGATACTCACTCTCCCCTTCCTTCTCCGCGTATTCCTCCCCCTCTACCCCTCCCTCCCCCGCTCCCGCGCCCCGCCCGCTCCTCCCCGTGCTTCTCCCCTCGCCCTTCTCTCGCTTGCTGCCTTTCCCAGTGCCCCCCTCCTCGTCCCTGCTGTCTCTCTCGCGGTCTGAGAAGCTTCTTGAGAGCTTTCTTTCAAGCTGCCGCTTGCTCTCTTTGGACTCTTCTTGCAACTCACTGTCGCTCTCCACCTCCCTCTCTTTGCCTCCCATCCCTCCTCCTCCTCCCCCTCCTCCTCCTCCCCCTCCTCCTCCCCCTCCCCCTCCTCCGCCTTCATTACTTTTCCGCCTGGAAAACCAGCCTCCCTTTTTAGACGCCTCTGCACTCCCATCCTTCTCCTCATCCTTCTCCTTCTCCTTTTTCTTCTTGTCCTTGTCCTTTTTGCCCCCCAACCACCCTCTCCTTCCCCCCCCATCCTCCTCCACCTCCCTCCCTGCATCTGCCTCGCTTGTCCCTCCCCTCTCCTTCCCCTTCCCGCCTCCTTTTGAACCCTTCCCTCCCTCTCCCTGCTTCTCGCGCTCCTCCTCCCTCCCCTCCTCCCCCTCCTCGTCCTCCTCCTCCCCCATCCCTTCCACCTGAGCCAAAGCAGCCTTTAGCTGAGCCCTTTCCTCCTCTGTCAGAATTCCGTTATAGTCCTCCTCTTCATCCTCCACTATCCCATCTCCCCCCTCCCCTCCCTCACCCTCCTCCTCCTCCCCTCCCTTCCCAGCATCACCACCCTTCCCCTCCTTCCCCTCCTTCTCCTTCCCACCACTCCCCTTCTCCCCTCCAGCTTTCGCCTCCTCTTTCCCTTTCCCTCCTTTCCCACCCCCTTTCCCACCACCCTTCCCTCCTCCATCCTCTCCTTCCTTCCCACTCCCCCCCTTCCCCGGTCCGCCCCTCCCCTTCACCTTCCCAGCCCCCTCCCCCAAAAACTCCTCATCAGTCATCGCCCCAGGAACCTGTCTCGACCGAAACATGAAATGCACGTGCTGCATCTCATAAAGCATTGCCCTATGCCCCGCAACTGTCTCCACCTTGGGTAACCCCCGCCAGGACAGCACCTGAGAGAGCTCCGCTTGCGAAACATCGATTCCTGCCTTGTACACATTCGTCATGAACAGTGATTGCACCTCCGCCTTTAATTCGGCGTCGGTGGGAATCGAACCCGCGGCCTCAAGAGCATCAAACGCCTCTTTCCGCTCGTGCTTGAGCACCAGCAGCGTGCCGGCTTTAAGCTTCCCGTCTGGGCTGGGCGCTCCCATGAAGATCAGGCTCTGTGGCTTGCGCTTCACCCTGATGGGGGGGGGGGGGAGGGGGGTAAACGAGAGGGGGGAGCGTAGGAACGAGCAGGTATCAGGGTTGAGGCACATTAAAAACAGGCTGGGCGCGCCCATGAAGATCAGGCTCTGTGGCTTGCGCTTCACCCTGCGGGGGGAGATTGAAGGGAGAGAGGAGGTGGGGGGGAGAGGGGGGTGGGTAGGAGAAAGGATCTGGTTTTGGATCGCCTCAAAGACAGGCTGGGCGCGCCCATGAATATCAGGCTCTGTAGCTTGCGCTTCACCCTGAGAGGGAGGAAAAGGGCCGGAGGAAGAATAAAGATCTAGTTCTGAGGCGCCTCAAAAGCAGGCGGCTGGGTGCACCCACGAAGATCAGCTCTGTGGGTTGTGCTTTACTCTAAGAAGTTAATAAGTACATCCCATGCATGCATGCCAAGTGATAGATGCTAGCCTCAGAACCAGACTATAACCAACGTATAACCGCCTTTCTTCAATCAAGCAGCTGAGCAGGTGAGCACACACACCTGAAGCCATCAAAGCCAGCCAGAGTCATGTCAGCCCTAAGCCGGGGCCCACGCTTCCAAATCCGGTACGTATCACTGGGAGCGATCCTCGAGACGAAGGGGATGACGGACGACTCGAACGACCACGTGACCTCCATGTAGAAATCGCGCATGCGCGTGAGAATGGCTGCGAGCGCAGGCAGGCGGCGCATGTAGCGCGCCCACACCTGCACCCCGCTGTGGCGGAGGATAGCTGTGGCTATGACTTCATCCCGCGTGCACACCGCTTCTTGAATCGCTGTCCAGCCGCCTCCGTTCTGGGGAGGAACAGAAGGGAAAGGGGAGGGGGAAAAAGGGGAGGGGAAAGGGAAGAGGAAGGGGAAGGGGAGGGGGAAGGGGAGGGGAAGAAGCAGGGGAAGAAGCAGGGGAAAGGGACGGGGAAGATAAAGCACAGGACGACTCAAAGGACCACGTGACCTCCATGTAGAAATCGCGCATGCGCGTGAGAATGGCTGCGAGTGCGGGCAGGCGGCGCATGTAGCGCGCCCACACCTGCACCCCGCTGTGGCGGAGGATGGCCGTGGCTATGACCTCGTCCCGCGTGCACACGGCCTCTTGGATGGCCGTCCAGCCGCCTCCGTTCTGGCGGAAGAAGAGAGGGAGGGAAAGGGAAAAGGGAGGAGGGGGAGGGGAAGGGGCAGGGAAAGAGGGAACGGGAAGGGTGGAACGGAGGGTGTTTTTGAGTGGGGTCGGAACAGTCACTGCTGGTTGGGAGAGGCGGGGGGGCAGGGGCGCAGGCAGGCCGGCGGGCAGGCGCCACATTTAGCGCGCCCACACCTGCACCCCGCTGTGGCGCAGAATGGCCGTGGCTATGACCTCGTCCCGCGTGCACACGGCTTCTTGAATCGCCGTCCAGCCGCCTGCGTTCTGTGGAGTGGGCGGGCGGGGGAATGGGAAGGAAAGGGAAAACGGGGGAGGGGAAGGAGAAAGGGGGACGGGGAAGAGAAGAAGGGGAAGGGGACATGGGGAAGGGGAGGAACATAGGGGTGATTCTGAGTGAGGTATGGTGAGGTATGGAACAGGCACTGCTGGTTGGGAGAGGCGGGCGGGCAGGCGCCTGCACCCCGCTGTGGCGCGGAATGGCCGTGGCTATGACCTCGTCCCGCGTGCACAACGCTTCTTGAATCGCCGTCCAGCCGCCGCCGTTCTGGGGAAAGGGGAGGGCAGGGGGATGGGGGAGGGGGAGGGGAAGGGGAAGGGAATGGGGAATGGGGAACGGGGAATGGGGAGGGACAAGGTGGGAAGGGGGAGGGGTGGAAAGAGAGTGCTTCTGAGTGCTGCAGGACGGCTGTGGCTATGGCCTCGTCTCGAGTGCACAAGGCTTCTTGAATCGCCGCCCAGCCCCCTCCGTTCTACAAAAGGGATGGAAGGGGAGGAGAGGAGAGGGGACGAGAGGGGAAGGGAGGGGAGGGGAGGGGAGGAGAGGGGAGGGGAGGGGAGGAGAGGGGAGGGGAGGGGAGGAGAAGGGAGGGGAGGGAGGGGAGGGGAGGGGAGGGGAGAGGAGGGAGGATGGGGCGGAGAAGTGGGAAGGGGAAGGGAGGGGAAAGCTGGGGGAACGGGAAGGGGTAAAACGGAGAGTGCCTGTGAGTCGACTCAGAACAGCCACAGCTGTTCAGGAAAGAAAGGAGGACAAGGAGGGGGGGAAAAAGGGACGGAGGGGGGCGGGGAGTGGGGGGAGGAGGGGTGGAGGGGGGTGTTGAGTGAGGGAAGGGAGGGGAAAAGGGTGAGATGTCGATAGTGAGGGTGAAACTGCGTGTTTGCGTGTGTGAGCGTGCGCGTGTGTGTGCTCATGCATACACTGGTCTTGGGAGGTTTCCATTAAGGCCTCACGGTGGGCTCAGTGCGGGCCCAGTGTCAGCTCCGCTGTGGGCTCCGCTGCTGATTACGTTCTATCAAGCAACCCGCACAATAAATAGATCGAAATTTGAGTCGACTCAGAAATCGTACTGGAAGCGAGTTATAGATTGTACGGTAGGGCGCTTGCTAGACTGAGTGCGCGCCACCCATCCCCCCACCCCATCCCATCGTTCAATCAACCTCCCTTCTCCCCTTCCCCCTTCCCACCATTTGCCCATTTCCCCCCCTCCTTCCCTTTCCACCCCAACCCAAGCAGCACACCTGTCATCCCACCAACCAGCGGCGCACCTGGAGGCTGACGTCAGCGCCAGCCTGGACCAATAACTCCACGGCGGCCCTATCCCCGAGCCGCACCGCCAGACACAGCGGCGACTCCTTGTGCGGCACGTCGCGCCGATCCAGCGTGCGCTGCGCCACGTCAGCCTGGACCTCCGCAGCCAATGACTGCTCCTCGGTCTTAATACTCCCCGGGACCGGCGGGCGCGGGACCGACGCGAGAATACGTCTTAAAGCGTGGTAGTCGCGCTGAAGGATCGCCGTGTGGATGGGGCTGTGAGAATAGTCCTGGATATTAATATTCGCGACGGCGCGCACCGTCGCGGCGGCGAGCGCCTCGGTCGACATGGAGCTGCCGGAAGAGCCCCCGCCGTGATTGGCGCCGGTTTTTGCGGCGACGACGCGGTTGGAAGTGTGAGACGCACGGGGATGATCCGAATTAGCAGGCGCCGCATTGGCCGCTGTTGCCGTAGGCTGCGGAGGGGGGTCTTCGGAGTGGGGCATGGCTGTTACCGCGGGATGGCTGATGTTGACGCAACCAAAGCAGAACTATACGTAGGGTTACACGAGTTCGGTTGACGAAACTGGTTCTGTCGTCGTCGCCTGGTCAGGCGACGGTCGGCCGTCGCCTCGTCTGTTCGCCTTTCGTATGTTTGAGACTCCTACTACAGTATTCACACAGAGGCAGAGACAGCAGGGCTGATGTAAGGCGAGGAGATGGCAAATTATGAAGGAAAAAATGTAACGGTCACGCTAATGGTAACGCTAACGGGAACGGCGGACGAACGTCACGTCACGTGGACTTCTCAGGACATTTCACCAAGCCCTGGCCCTGGAACGCAGCGGCAATTCTCGCATCGCGACGCAAGCTTCCTCTAACTTCCTCCCCGTCCCAGTCTAAAACTACAACGGAGATCGCGCCCGTGATTGCGCGAAACGCGGGAGAAACGCAAGGCGGAAGCGTGAGTATGGCAGGTACGGTACCTACCATATGGTGGGTAAGAATCAGTCAGTGTGGGATGGAAATGTACAATTTACTGCCAGCAGCAATTACAGGACAGGACAGGTCACTCAGGGAGTCATGATTCATGAGTCACAAACAAGTCACGACACGGGAGGGAGTCTAGGCTGCGACTGATGCTGTTGCAAAGTTACTGTACTGTATACACTGTGCTGATCAGGGGGTGTCCAAGGGGAAGCAATGTGTGTGGACTTCAATTCACACAATTTACCACTGTTTAGTCCGTTTTGTTGCGGTCTGACGTGGTAGTAAGTTGCTACCGTGGTTCACCATTTGGAAACGTGCTGAAACGTACTGTACGATCACTGCACCAACGTGTGCAACCACCCCGAGACGTGCTCCAGACCACAGGCCTGCTGGTTTTGGGGACTACAAATATTCAAAAGTATTTGGCAAGTACCCTTTGAAAATAGTATAGTACAGTACACCTATGTCCTATATTTTTTACACAAAAATTGCTTTAAGACTCTTCTTCAGCAAGCTTCACAATCACAAGAGTGCACAATGCTAAGCACATACATTTGATGGTTTCTTCTAAAACACTTGAACAAGCACTAGGATTTGGTACTTCAAGATCAACCAAGTCCCCATCGCCTCCTCCACAACAGTATCAGTCATACCCCTGTGTCGCACCCCTCTAAAAAACGGGATCACCTTATAACAAACCGCTGTTTCAAACTCCGTATGCTCCGCCCAATCCCCTCCCCTCCCCTCACCCACTACGAAATCACCAGCTTCTGCTGCTCTCTCAGCGCATTCCACTCCTGGAGCACTACCAGCTGCAGTGCATGCTCCTCCTCACCTCCGGAATCACCGGTATTTCCGGCACCTCCTCTCCCCTCACCCACTACGAAATCACCAGCTTCTGCTGCTCCCTCAGCGCATTCCACTCCTGGAGCACTGCCAGCTGCAGTGCATGCTCCTCCTCACCTCCGGAATCACCGGTATTTCCGGCACCTCCTCTCCCCTCACCCACTACGAAATCACCAGCTTCTGCTGCTCCCTCAGCGCATTCCACTCCTGCAGCACCGCCAGCTGCAGTGCATGCTCCTCCTCGGGAATCACCGGGATATCCGGTGCCTCCTCTCCCTCCGCAGGCGCGGGTTCAAACATGCCGGGCAGGGGAATGCTCTTGGAGGCGGGGCGCACGGCTGAGCTGAGGAGTTCGAGGGACTCGTCGTGGCGCTTCTTCTTTGTGACTGTGAACGCTGCTAGCTCCTCCTCACTCACTGCCCGTATGGCCCCGCCTGGGGATGTCGTGGGGTGAGTGTGTGTGAGTGAATGTGTAAGGGAAGGGGGGGGAAGAGGGGGGAAATGGGAGGGACAAGGATAAGGCAATCTGGATACACTGCACGGAAGACCATTTTTGGCAGGCGAATGCTCTTGGATGCAGGGCGCACGACAGAGGAGGGGAATGCGAGGGACTCGTCGTGGCTAGCTCCTCCTCACTCACTGCCCGTATGGCCCCGCCTGAGGATGGGGCGATGGCGTGGGGTGAGTGTGTGTGTGGGAGGGGGTGGGTGGGGGGTAAGGGGGGGGAGGCAGGCAGGAGCGAACGGGAGAGGGAGCGGGGGACCAGGATGAGATGGTTTGGATGGATTGTGTAGAACGCCAAAGAGGAGCGCGTGAGTGCAGGAGTGCGGGGGAGGGTGGGGCGAAAGGAGAAAGAAGAAAGGAGAGAGTTGGCGCGAGACGACGACAATGGAATGAGGAGCGGGCAGGGGAAATCTTGACTTCGTCAGAGGTTCCTCGAAAATCGTCTTTAGAGGCGGGTCACAAGACAAGGAGGTTGGAAATAGAGGGAGCGGGTGAGTGGATGAGACAAGGAGTGAACCAACCAGGCTCCCTTTACCTGTGAGGTCATTCAGCCACTCCTGCGGGGCGGCGAGGATCTCATTGACGGCGTGGGGAGAGGAGGAGCGCAGCACAGAGGGCCAACCAACCAAGTGCACTCTCACCAACACAGTGGGTCGAATGTAGGGAACCAGACCAGGCCATACGTACCTGTGAGGTCATCGAGCTACTCCTGTGGGGCGGCGAGGATCTCGTTGACGACGTGGGGGGAGGAGGAGCGCAGCACGAAGGGCCGCGTGCATATCAATAAGACTGGGTAGTGTGTAAAGACCTTAGAGCACAGCACGGGCCATACGTACCTGTGAGGTCATCGAGCCACTCCTGCGGGGCGGCGAGGATCTCGTTGACGACGTGGGGGGAGGAGGAGCGCAGCACGAAGCGGCAGAACATGGTGGTGGAGTCGGCTGCAAAGCCGCCGTCGCTCGCTATGTCACTCGTGCCAAACACTATTATGGCCAGCGTGTCTCCGAACCACGTCTTGGCCGCATAGAACACCTGGGGGAGAGGAAGGAGGGAGAAGGAGTGGGGGAGAAAAGGAGGGTGAGAAGAGGAGGGGGACAGGGAATTTGAGCGACCTTTAGGGTGTCTTGCATACAGACACCGGCTTTACTGGGGGATAGGGGGGGAGGGAGTGCGAGGCAAGGCAGAAAGTGAGCATGGCTGGGAAGGTGCGTGGGGGGAGGAGGAGCGCAGCACGAAGCGGCAGAACATGGTGGTGGAGTCGGCTGCAAAGCCGCCATCACTCGCTATGTCACTCGTGCCAAACACTATTATGGCCAGCGTGTCTCCAAACCACGTCATGGCTGCATAGAACACCTGGGGATAGGACGGAGACTAAGAGGGGTGAGGAGCGGAGTGAGGAGGTCAACAGGGTGAACAAGTGGAGAGACTCAGAAACAGAACACTTGGAACAAGGGCGGGCTCAATACACCGCCCAAACACCACCCACTGCAGATACCTGGAAGCCTCAACACACCACCAGCACACATGCACACATACCTGGGAGCCTGTGCGGCTGCATTTTTTTTAGTCGACTCTAAAGTCAGCGCGGCTGCGGATGAGATGTGAGGCGATTTTGAAGACGGGACGAGAGTCAATGCCACGCAGCCCTGCGAGCAGCCTGCGGATGCCCACGAGAACTGCCAAGCGCAACCCTCTCAGACCTTACCACCACTTTCACTTTACACATTCTCTGTAACACCCCAAAACCTGTCATCATGTAGTGAGTGAATTCCCACGCGCACCGCTTATGGAATGCACGCAGCTTTCACCCAGGTACAGAGCCTCAACACACACACCGCCCACACACCACCACCCACACACACACATGTATACCTGGAAGCCCGCGCGGCTGCGAATGAGATGCGAGGCGACTTTGAAGACGGGGCGAGAGTCAATAGCGCGCAGCCCTGCTAGCAGCCTTCACCCACGTACAGAGCCTCAACACACACCACCCGCATGTACCTGGAAGCCCGCACGACTGCGGATGAGATGCGAGGCGACTTTGAACACAGGGCGTGAGTCAATGGCGCGCAGCCCTGCGAGCAGCCTGCGGATGCCCACGTCGTCGGAGGAGAGGACGAGCGAGGAGTGCGTTGAGTCGTAGAGGTAGGCTCCTGTGTGCTCGCCCACTGCTGGGAGACTGGGTAACACTCGAAAGAACTCCACTGGGGAGCACCTGGGGAGGGGGGATTTGAGAGGGAGAATAGGATGGTGGAGGGAGAGGCGAGAGGGGCATTGGAAGAGGAGGGGGAGAGGAGGAGAGGGAGGAGGTGCAGGGGGGGGGGGGGAGGGATGATGTGTGGGAGGGTAAGAGGGGAATCAGCGCCTGGAAGGGGAGCGTGAAGGAGGGTTTGAGAGGAAAGTGTTGAGTCGTAGAGGTATGGCCCTGTGTGCTCTGCCACCCACTGCTGGCAGGCTGGGCAGCAATCGGAAATTGGCTCACACCCACACACACTTGCACACACACTCGCACACACACGCGCGCACACACACGCGCAAACACACGCGCACACACCCACCCACACACACCTGTATGGCACGAGCAGGTCAGTCAGCGGCACACGGTACGGCACACACCGCAGCCTCACAGGCGGCCGCACGGGCCCACTCGCCGCACCCCCCTCCCCCTCACTCCCACTCGTCCTCCTCTTCCTCCCCAACCCCCCAATCCCCCCTCCCCCTCCCCCTCCGCCCTCCTCATCCTCCAAACTCAACCTAGCTATATCCGCTAACACTCCTCCCGCTCCCGCTCCTCCTCCCCCGGGGCTATTATGCGAGGAGCGGCGGTTGTTGGCCGAGCGGGGGCCAGGGAGAGTCCCGTGATAGAAGAGCATGTGGAGCTGTAGAGCGTTGCGCTGGAAGCGAGTCACTGAGACTGTCACGTCGGAGTAAATGGGCTCCTGTGAGGGAGGGAAGAGGAGTGGGGAGAGCAGTGGGAGAGCAGTGGGAGAGCAGTGGGAGAGCAGTGGGAGAGCAGTGGGAGAGCAGTGGGAGAGCAGTGGGAGAGCAGTGGGAGAGCAGTGGGAGAGCAGTGGGAGAGCAGTGGGAGAGCAGTGGGAGAGCAGTGGGAGAGCAGTGGGAGAGCAGTGGGAGAGCAGTGGGAGAGCAGTGGGAGAGCAGTGGGAGAGCAGTGGGAGAGCAGTGGGAGAGCAGTGGGAGAGCAGTGGGAGAGCAGTGGGAGAGCAGTGGGAGAGCAGTGGGAGAGCAGTGGGAGAGCAGTGGGAGAGCAGTGGGAGAGCAGTGGGAGAGCAGTGGGAGAGCAGTGGGAGAGCAGTGGGAGAGCAGTGGGAGAGCAGTGGGAGAGCAGTGGGAGAGCAGTGGGAGAGCAGTGGGAGAGCAGTGGGAGAGCAGTGGGAGAGCAGTGGGAGAGCAGTGGGAGAGCAGTGGGAGAGCAGTGGGAGAGCAGTGGGAGAGCAGTGGGAGAGCAGTGGAGAGCAGTGGGAGAGCAGTGGGAGAGCAGTGGGAGAGCAGTGGGGAGAGCAGTGGGAGAGCAGTGGGAGAGCAGTGGGAGAGCAGTGGGAGAGCAGTGGGAGAGCAGTGGGAGAGCAGTGGGAGAGCAGTGGGAGAGCAGTGGGAGAGCAGTGGGAGAGCAGTGGGAGAGCAGTGGGAGAGCATGGGAGAGCAGTGGGAGAGCAGTGGGAGAGCAGTGGGAGAGCAGTGGGAGAGCAGTGGGAGAGCAGTGGGAGAGCAGTGGGAGAGCCGTGGGAGAGCAGTGGGAGAGCAGTGTGAGAGCAGTGGGAGAGCAGTGGGAGAGCAGTGGGAGAGCAGTGGGAGAGCAGTGGGAGAGCAGTGGGGAGAGCAGTGGGAGAGAGCAGTGGGGAGAGCAGTGGGAGAGCAGTGGGAGAGCAGTGGGAGAGCAGTGGGAGAGCAGTGGGAGAGCAGTGGGAGAGCAGTGGGAGAGCAGTGGGAGAGCAGTGGGAGAGCAGTGGGAGAGCAGTGGGAGAGCAGTGGGAGAGCAGTGGGAGAGCAGTGGGAGAGCAGTGGGAGAGCAGTGGGAGAGCAGTGGGAGAGCAGTGGGAGAGCAGTGGGAGAGCAGTGGAGAGAGCAGTGGGAGAGCAGTGGGAGAGCAGTGGGAGAGCAGTGGGAGAGCAGTGGGAGAGAGCAGTGGGAGAGCAGTGGGAGAGCAGTGGGAGAGCAGTGGGAGAGCAGTGGGAGAGCAGTGGGAGAGCAGTGGGAGAGCAGTGGGAGAGCAGTGGGAGAGCAGTGGGAGAGCAGTGGGAGAGACAGTGGGAGAGCAGTGGGAGAGCAGTGGGAGAGCAGTGGGAGAGCAGTGGGAGAGCAGTGGGAGAGCAGTGGGAGAGCAGTGGGAGAGCAGTGGGAGAGCAGTGGGAGAGCAGTGGGAGAGCAGTGGGAGAGCAGTGGGAGAGCAGTGGGAGAGCAGTGGGAGAGCAGTGGGAGAGCAGTGGGAGAGCAGTGGGAGAGCAGTGGGAAAGCAGTGGGAAAGCAGTGGGAAAGCAGTGGGAAAGCAGTGGGAAAGCAGTGGGAAAGCAGTGGGAAAGCAGTGGGAAAGCAGTGGGAAAGCAGTGGGAAAGCAGTGGGAAAGCAGTGGGAAAGCAGTGGGAAAGCAGTGGGAAAGCAGTGGGAAAGCAGTGGGAAAGCAGTGGGAAAGCAGTGGGAAAGCAGTGGGAAAGCAGTGGGAAAGCAGTGGGAAAGCAGTGGGAAAGCAGTGGGAAAGCAGTGGGAAAGCAGTGGGAAAGCAGTGGGAAAGCAGTGGGAAAGCAGTGGGAAAGCAGTGGGAAAGCAGTGGGAAAGCAGTGGGAAAGCAGTGGGAAAGCAGTGGGAAAGCAGTGGGAAAGCAGTGGGAAAGCAGTGGGAAAGCAGTGGGAAAGCAGTGGGAAAGCAGTGGGAAAGCAGTGGGAAAGCAGTGGGAAAGCAGTGGGAAAGCAAAAGCAGTGGGAAAGCAGTGGGAAAGCAGTGGGAAAGCAGTGGGAAAGCAGTGGGAAAGCAGTGGGAAAGCAGTGGGGAAAGCAGTGGGAAAGCAGTGGGAAAGCAGTGGGAAAGCAGTGGGAAAGCAGTGGGAGAAAGCAGTGGGAAAGCAGTGGGAAAAGCAGTGGGAAAGCAGTGGGAAAGCAGTGGGAAAGCAGTGGGAAAGCAGTGGGAAAGCAGTGGGAAAGCAGTGGGGAAAGCAGTGGGAAAGCAGTGGGAAAGCAGTGGGAAAGCAGTGGGAAAGCAGTGGGAAAGCAGTGGGAAAGCAGTGGGAAAGCAGTGGGGAAAGCAGTGGGAAAGCAGTGGGAAAGCAGTGGGAAAGCAGTGGGGAAAGCAGTGGGAAAGCAGTGGGAAAGCAGTGGGAAAGCAGTGGGAAAGCAGTGGGAAAGCAGTGGGAAAGCAGTGGGAAAGCAGTGGGAAAGCAGTGGGAAAGCAGTGGGAAAGCAGTGGGAAAGCAGTGGGAAAGCAGTTGGGAAAGCAGTGGGAAAGCAGTGGGAAAGCAGTGGGGAAAGCAGTGGGAAAGCAGTGGGAAAGCAGTGGGAACGCAGTGGGAAAGCAGTGGGAAAGCAGTGGGAAAGCAGTGGGAAAGCAGTGGGAAAAGCAGTGGGAAAGCAGTGGGAAAGCAGTGGGAAAGCAGTGGGAAAGCAGTGGGGAAAGCAGTGGAAAGCAGTGGGAACAGCAGTGGGAAAAGACAGTTGGAAAGCAGTGGGAAAGCAGTGGGAAAGCAGTGGGAAAGCAGTGGGACAGCAGTGGGAAAGCAGTGGGGAAAGCAGTGGGAAAGCAGTGGGAAAGCAGTGGGAAAGCAGTGGAAGCAGCAGTGGAAAGCAGTGGGAAAGCAGTGGGAAAGCAGTGGAAGCAGTGACGGAAAGCAGTGGGAAAGCAGTGGGAAAGCAGGGGAAAGCAGTGGGAAAAGCAGTGGGAAAGCAGTGGGAAAGCAGTGGGAAAGCAGTGGGAAAGCAGTGGAAAGCAGTGGGAAAGCAGTGGGAAAGCAGTGGGGGAAAGCAGTGGAAAGCAGTGGGAAAGCAGTGGGAAAGCAGTTGAGGAAGCAGTGGGAAAGCGTGGGAAAGCAGTGGGAAAGCAGTGGGAAAGCAGTGGGAAAGCAGTGGGAAAGCAGTGGGAAAGCAGTGGGAAAGCAGTGGGAAAGCAGTGGGAAAGCAGTGGGAAAGCAGTGGGAAAGCAGTGGGAAAGCAGTGGGAAAGCAGTGGGAAAGCAGTGGGAAAGCAGTGGGAAAGCAGTGGGAAAGCAGTGGGAAAGCAGTGGGAAAGCAGTGGGAAAGCAGTGGGAAAGCAGTGGGAAAGCAGTGGAAAGCAGTGGGAAAGCAGTGGGAAAGCAGTGGGAAAGCAGTGGGAAAGCAGTGGGAAAGCAGTGGAAAGCAGTGGGAAAGCAGTGGGAAAGCAGTGGGAAAGCAGTGGGAAAGCAGTGGGAAAGCAGTGGGAAAGCAGTGGGAAAGCAGTGGGAAAGCAGTGGGAAAGCAGTGGGAAAGCAGTGGGAAAGCAGTGGGAAAGCAGTGGGAAAGCAGTGGGAAAGCAGTGGGAAAGCAGTGGGAAAGCAGTGGGAAAGCAGTGGGAAAGCAGTGGGAAAGCAGTGGGAAAGCAGTGGGAAAGCAGTGGGAAAGCAGTGGGAAAGCAGTGGGAAAGCAGTGGGAAAGCAGTGGGAAAGCAGTGGGAAAGCAGTGGGAAAGCAGTGGGAAAGCAGTGGGAAAGCAGTGGGAAAGCAGTGGGAAAGCAGTGGGAAAGCAGTGGGAAAGCAGTGGGAAAGCAGTGGGAAAGCAGTGGGAAAGCAGTGGGAAAGCAGTGGGAAAGCAGTGGGAAAGCAGTGGGAAAGCAGTGGGAAAGCAGTGGGAAAGCAGTGGGAAAGCAGTGGGAAAGCAGTGGGAAAGCAGTGGGAAAGCAGTGGGAAAGCAGTGGGAAAGCAGTGGGAAAGCAGTGGGAAAGCAGTGGGAAAGCAGTGGGAAAGCAGTGGGAAAGCAGTGGGAAAGCAGTGGGAAAGCAGTGGGAAAGCAGTGGGAAAGCAGTGGGAAAGCAGTGGGAAAGCAGTGGGAAAGCAGTGGGAAAGCAGCGGGAAAGCAGCGGGAAAGCAGCGGGAAAGCAGCGGGAAAGCAGCGGGAAAGCAGCGGGAAAGCAGTGGGAAAGCAGTGGGAAAGCAGTGGGAAAGCAGTGGGAAAGCAGTGGGAAAGCAGTGGGAAAGCAGTGGGAAAGCAGTGGGAAAGCAGTGGGAAAGCAGTGGGAAAGCAGTGGGAAAGCAGTGGGAAAGCAGTGGGAAAGCAGTGGGAAAGCAGTGGGAAAGCAGTGGGAAAGCAGTGGGAAAGCAGTGGGAAAGCAGTGGGAAAGCAGTGGGAAAGCAGTGGGAAAGCAGTGGGAAAGCAGTGGGAAAGCAGTGGGAAAGCAGTGGGAAAGCAGTGGGAAAGCAGTGGGAAAGCAGTGGGAAAGCAGTGGGAAAGCAGTGGGAAAGCAGTGGGAAAGCAGTGGGAAAGCAGTGGGAAAGCAGTGGGAAAGCAGTGGGAAAGCAGTGGGAAAGCAGTGGGAAAGCAGTGGGAAAGCAGTGGGAAAGCAGTGGGAAAGCAGTGGGAAAGCAGTGGGAAAGCAGTGGGAAAGCAGTGGGAAAGCAGTGGGAAAGCAGTGGGAAAGCAGTGGGGAAAGCAGTGGGAAAGCAGTGGGAAAGCAGTGGGAAAGCAGTGGGAAAGCAGTGGGAAAGCAGTGGGAAGCAGTGGGAAAGCAGTGGGAAAGCAGTGGAAGCCGTGGGAAAGCAGTGGGGAAAGCAGTGGGAAAGCAGTGGAAAGCAGTGGGAAAGCAGTGGGAAAGCAGTGGGAAAGCAGTGGGAAAGCATGTGGGAAAGCAGTGGGAAAGCAGTGGGAAAGCAGTGGGAAAGCAGTGGGAGGAAAGCAGTGGGGAACGCAGTGGAAAGCAGTGGGAAAGCAGTGGAAAGCAGTGGGAAAGCAGTGGGAAAGCAGTGGGAAAAGCAGTGGGAAAGCAGTGAGGGAAAGCAGTGGGAAAGCAGTGGGAAAGCAGTGGGAAAGCAGTGGGAAAGCAGTGGGAAAGCAGTGGGAAAGCAGTGGGAAAGCAGTGGGGAAAGCAGTGGGAAAGCATTGGGAAAGCAGTGGGAAAGCAGTGGGAAAGCAGTGGAAAGCAGTGGGAAAGCAGTGGGAAAGCAGTGGGAAAGCAGTGGGAAAGCAGTGGGAAAGCAGTGGGAAAGCAGTGGGAAAGCAGTGGGAAAGCAGTGGGAAAGCAGTGGGAAAGCAGTGGGAAAGCAGTGGGAAAGCAGTGGGAAAGCAGTGGGAAAGCAGTGGGAAAGCAGTGGGAAAGCAGTGGGAAAGCAGTGGGAAAGCAGTGGGAAAGCAGTGGGAAAGCAGTGGGAAAGCAGTGGGAAAGCAGTGGGAAAGCAGTGGGAAAGCAGTGGGAAAGCAGTGGGAAAGCAGTGGGAAAGCAGTGGGAAAGCAGTGGGAAAGCAGTGGGAAAGCAGTGGGAAAGCAGTGGGAAAGCAGTGGGAAAGCAGTGGGAAAGCAGTGGGAAAGCAGTGGGAAAGCAGTGGGAAAGCAGTGGGAAAGCAGTGGGAAAGCAGTGGGAAAGCAGTGGGAAAGCAGTGGGAAAGCAGTGGAAAGCAGTGGGAAAGCAGTGGGAAAGCAGTGGGAAAGCAGTGGGAAAGCAGTGGGAAAGCAGTGGGAAAGCAGTGGGAAAGCAGTGGGAAAGCAGTGGGAAAGCAGTGGGAAAGCAGTGGGAAAGCAGTGGGAAAGCAGTGGGAAAGCAGTGGAAAGCAGTGGGAAAGCAGTGGGAAAGCAGTGGGAAAGCAGTGGGAAAGCAGTGGGAAAGCAGTGGGAAAGCAGTGGGAAAGCAGTGGGAAAGCAGTGGGAAAGCAGTGGGAAAGCAGTGGGAAAGCAGTGGGAAAGCAGTGGGAAAGCAGTGGGAAAGCAGTGGGAAAGCAGTGGGAAAGCAGTGGGAAAGCAGTGGGAAAGCAGTGGGAAAGCAGTGGGAAAGCAGTGGGAAAGCAGTGGGAAAGCAGTGGGAAAGCAGTGGGAAAGCAGTGGGGAAAGCAGTGGGAAAGCAGTGGGAAAGCAGTGGGAAAGCAGTGGGAAAGCAGTGGGAAAGCAGTGGGAAAGCAGTGGGAAAGCAGTGGGAAAGCAGTGGGAAAGCAGTGGGAAAGCAGTGGGAAAGCAGTGGGAAAGCAGTGGGAAAGCAGTGGGAAAGCAGTGGGAAAGCAGTGGGAAAGCAGTGGGAAAGCAGTGGGAAAGCAGTGGGAAAGCAGTGGGAAAGCAGTGGGAAAGCAGTGGGAAAGCAGTGGGAAAGCAGTGGGAAAGCAGTGGGAAAGCAGTGGGAAAGCAGTGGGAAAGCAGTGGGAAAGCAGTGGGAAAGCAGTGGGAAAGCAGTGGGAAAGCAGTGGGAAAGCAGTGGGAAAGCAGTGGGAAAGCAGTGGGAAAGCAGTGGGAAAGCAGTGGGAAAGCAGTGGGAAAGCAGTGGGAAAGCAGTGGGAAAGCAGTGGGAAAGCAGTGGGAAAGCAGTGGGAAAGCAGTGGGAAAGCAGTGGGAAAGCAGTGGGAAAGCAGTGGGAAAGCAGTGGGAAAGCAGTGGGAAAGCAGTGGGAAAGCAGTGGGAAAGCAGTGGGAAAGCAGTGGGAAAGCAGTGGGAAAGCAGTGGGAAAGCAGTGGGAAAGCAGTGGGAAAGCAGTGGGAAAGCAGTGGGAAAGCAGTGGGAAAGCAGTGGGAAAGCAGTGGGAAAGCAGTGGGAAAGCAGTGGGAAAGCAGTGGGAAAGCAGTGGGAAAGCAGTGGGAAAGCAGTGGGAAAGCAGTGGGAAAGCAGTGGGAAAGCAGTGGGAAAGCAGTGGGAAAGCAGTGGGAAAGCAGTGGGAAAGCAGTGGGAAAGCAGTGGGAAAGCAGTGGGAAAGCAGTGGGAAAGCAGTGGGAAAGCAGTGGGAAAGCAGTGGGAAAGCAGTGGGAAAGCAGTGGGAAAGCAGTGGGAAAGCAGTGGGAAAGCGAGCATGAGCAAAGATAGGAAGGAAGAGCATGTGAAGCAGCAGGGGAGTCGAGCTGAAAGAGGGTGACTGAGGCTGTGGCATCAAAGCGAACAGGTTGGGGGATTTGTTGCTGCACTAATCTCCTGTGGCTGCAAGCGGTTGAGCCTGCAAACGGCCAGTGGCCTGGCACCCCGTCCAGCAGCCACAAGTGAGTTTTACTTCCCTGATGTGATACAACAACACCCAGCAGCCACACGTGCTCACGCGACACGTTCCCCTCTCCTGTGGCACCACCTTCGACTTTTGACTGTCGTCCAAAAAAACAGGGAGAGTGGATCTCACCTGGGGTTGCAAGCGGTTGAGCCGGCGAGTGGCCCGTGGCACCCCGTCCATGAATCTCAGAGCACCCAGCAGCCCCACATGCACGTCCACCCGCGGTAGCACCACCTCTGTCATATTCAGCACCTGGTGGGAGGAGAGATGGGGACGGACAGCAGTGGGAGAGTGGGGACAGCAGTGGGAGAGACGAGTTAGTAGTGTTCAGAAAGGGGCCGCAGCAGGACTGAAAACTCTCAAGATACTTTGTAAACTACAGCAGGACTTCTGAGGCACCTCAGAGAAACTGACCTTTACACTGAGAGTAACCTGCCTCTCATTCATGGCTGACAGGTGAAACGCCTCTACATACGCCAAGTCACTGCTCCCTGTAATGCTAATCGCCACTGGCGCCGACACCTACCTACCTACCTACCTACCTACCTTCCGAACTTCTGAGGCACCTCAGAGAAACTCACCTTTACACTGAGAGTAACCCGCCTCTCATTCATGGCTGACAGGTGAAACGCCTCAACATACGCCAAGTCACTGCTCCCTGTAATACTAATCGCGACCGGAGCCGAAACCTGCCGCCCCGCCGCGATCCCCGACGAAGCACCCGCAATCCCCGCCATGCCTCCTCCGGGGATTAAAGCTGGGTCGAGCCCTTGGTCCTCCTGCTGCTGCTGCAGCTGCCGCTGTAGCAGCTCATCGGGAGAGGCGGATGGGGCTGAGAGGTCTGAGACGGCGGATTTGACGAGGGACTCGAGCTTCCGGTCCTGCGCTGCTGCTGCGCTGTTGTAGAGAACTGAGAGGCGGTGGTGGGAGAAGGGGTACTCGCCCGTTGCTCCCATGCGCACTGCCCACCTGTGGAGGGGGGAACGGGGAGCGGGGAAGGGGAGGGAGAGAGGGAGCGACAGGAGAAAAGGGAGCGCGGAGAAACGGTAGAGGGGAGAAAGGGAGAGGTCTGAGACGAGGGACTCGAGCTTCCGGTCCTGCGCTGCGGCTGCGCTGTTGTAGAGGACTGAGAGGCGGTGGTGGGAGAAGGGATACTCGCCCGTTGCTCCCATGCGCACTGCCCACCTGTGGATGGGCGGGTGGGGAGAAGGGAGTTGAGGAACGGGGGGGAGAGGATGATAGGGGAGATACGGGGATGGGAAGAATAGGGTGAGGAGAGAAGCGTGAGGGGTATAAGCGGACAGGGAGGGAGAGGCGATAGGAGAAAGGGTCGAGGCCTGAAGCAGCAGATTTGACGAGGCACGCGCGCTGCTGCTGCGCTGTTGTAGAGGACGGAGAGGCGGTGGTGGGAGAAGGGGTACTCGCCCGTTGCTCCCATGCGCACTGCCCACCTGTGGATGGGGGGGTGGGGGATAGAGGTAGAGGGGAGAGATAGAGGGATAGTGGAAGAGAGTGGGGGCAGAAAGTGGGAGAGGGGAGAGAGGTTGGAGAGGGGGGAAGAGAGAGAGGAGATGAGAGAGGAGAGAGGGTGAGGAAGGAGGTAGTGGCATGGAAAGAGAAGGAGTTGAGAGCGGATGGAACGTGCCGGTGCCTGCCACCAGACGTTTCCAACCAACTCCCCCTAACCTTATAAGCACCAGACATGTGCGGTCGGGGAGATGATGAACGTAAGCCAGCCAGCCAGCAACTGCAGAAAACACAGGAACGCTTCTCCCAAGTATCGCAAGGTAATTCTGAGAAATATCTTCTCCCAGGCACGCTCACACTCTTCCCCCCCTCAGATCGGAACCACAAAACTCGCGTGCGGTCAGGGAAGTGGTGAATAAATTCAGCGACAGCAGGATACTGCGGCAGGCCTTCCCCCAAGAAACTCAAAACCCCCTTTCCAAACACTCTCACACTCTCTCCCCCCCCCTCAGCAGCACCACTCACGTGCGGTCAGGGAAGTGGTACACATAGGCCACGGACTGCAGAAAACTGCGGCAGCGGTGGCGAGTGGCACTATCGACCCACACCCACATCCCAGACCATCCCCCACTCTCCTGGCCTGTCCAACCCCCATTCCCCATCCCCCCCACCACACTCTCCCATCCACCAAATAACCACTTACGTGCGGTCAGGGAAGTGATGAACGTAGGCCAGCAACTGCAGGATGCTGCGGCAGCGGTGGCGGGTGGCGCTATCCACCAGTCCCGGCGCCGACTGCAACTCCTCCACCTCCCGACACACCAGCCGACACACCAGTGCTGCTCCTAGCCCCCAGATGCAGCACACACATCAGGACTCCCCTACCCCCCCAACAACCCCACCTCCAACCACACCCACACCCACAACCCCCCAAAACTTCCCCCACTCCCCTGGCCTTCCCCAAGCCCAGCACCACTCACGTGCGGTCGGGGAAGTGGTGCACATAGGCCAGCGACTGCAGGATACTGCGGCAGCGGTGGCGGGTGGCACTATCCACCAGCCCGGGCGCCGACTGCAACTCCTCCACCTCCCGACACACCAACGCCGCCGCCCTGAAGCTCCTCGCCCCCAGATGCAGCGCGCACACCAGAATCGCCTGCACCTCCTGCAACCGGTTCCCACTCATCGCCACCGCTGCCGCACCCCCTCCTCCCCCTCCTCCGCCTCCCCCGTCCCCAGCAACCACGTCCGCGAGCATGGTTCCGGTGGCATCGTCGGGGGAGAAGAGGATGCGGTGGAAGAGGGAGGTGAGGATGGTGACTGGGTCTTTAGGGTCGTCTGGGAAGAGAGGCTCTGGGCCTGAGAAGGACATGTGCTCCGCTAGCACCCACAGGAGCCGCACTCGCAGCGTGGAGGAGGAGAGCTGTGGTGTGACGAAAGGAACGGGGAGGGGAGGTGAGAGGGGTGAGAGGGGGGAGAGGAAAGGTTGAGTGCAGAAAGGGGAGGGAGAGAGGGGCTCTGGGCCTGAATAGGACAGGTGCGCAGCTAGCACCCATAGGAGCCGCACTCGCAGGGTGGAGGAGGAGAGCTGTGGTGTGAGGAGAGGAAGGCGGAGGAAGAGGGGGAGAGGGGTGATGGTGTGGGGGGATGGGGAGGCGGAGGGTTGAGTGAAGCAAAGGAAGAATTTTGAGTCGACTGTAAAAAGAGGGGCTTGAAGCCTGAAAGGGACGGGTGCAGTGCAGCAACATAACATGTAGGTGACATGACACAAGAAGCGATATGACGGGGGGTGAGGGAAGCACGGCTGGGGGCATGGAGAGACACCAGAAGCTGTCTCTGCAGCGTGTACAGCCTCTGCTCTGCACGAATCTGCTCCGGAGCAACTTCTGAGTCGACTCAAACCCACCCCCCCACCCACCTTTACCCACCTTTTTTTGCATCCTCCAGCAGCTGCCTCTGCAGCGTGTACAGCCGCTGCTCCGCACGAACCTACTCCGGAGTAAGTTCTGAGTCGACTCAATCGGATCCCCACCACTCACCCCCACTCACCTCTTTTGCGTCTTCCAGTAGCTGTCTCTGCAGTGTGTACAGCCGCTGCTCCGCGCGAATCTGCTCCGGAGTGGCCCCATCTTTAGCACTCTTCACCCCGCTCGCAGTGTTATACACCTGGCACAGCCGCACCAGCAGCCGCAAATAGCAGTCCACAGCATACGTCCGCCCGCCGCACTGCCACCGCACGCACGCCCTACACACCTCCACCACTTCTAACGCTGTCTGCCCCCACGCCTCCCACCCTCCAGACGATGCCTCCCCGGATACCACTGCTGCTAGGGACCCCCCTCTGCCTGCCGCGGCAGCAGCAAAGGAAAACCCCACTCCTGAGTCCGCTCCGTAGCCTTCCCCAGACATACCTCCCCTGCCAAACCCTCCTGCTAACCCGCTCCCCATGCCGCCCGGCCCCCCACCTCCCCCCCCTGCTCCTGCTCCGCCTGCCCCTCCGCCTACTCCCCCGCCTCCACTCCCACTAGCCAGCTGAAACGCACTCTCTACCAAACACGCCAAAAGCTCCTCTCTAAACAGCCCACTATCGACGTTCGGCACTACTGGCAGCGCCAGCTCGTCTTTAATCTGCGGGTCGTCAAAGAGGGAAGAAACGTCCGTGCCTGTGACTGGTCTCTGCCCCCTGCGCGCCGATTCCTTTGAGAACAAATCCACGCAAAGAGCCGCGCGGCAGATGCTCGCTAGGGCAACCATACGATCCGCTTCCGCTCTTAACCCTCGGACCATCAGCAACAGCCGTTTGAAGAGCGCCGCCTGGGTGTGTATGTCCAGGAGAGGGAGGTTCGACACCACGGCTTTGACTATCGCCTCTCGTCCCGCTGAGTACTCCTGTCGATCCCAAAGCGAGAGGAACGCAGTCACAGGCCCGGTCGCCCACTCCGGTTTTCCCCCAGGCACAGCCGCGAGAGCGAGAATCTGCAAGCCCACTTCGAAGACTATGGATGGGTCTAGAGAGGCGAGGTACGGCGAGAGGTGCGTGACTATATCTGCGACACCAAGCATGCGCTCTGTGTTCACTAAGTCTTTCCGCTCCTCTGCGGCTGCTGCGGCTGTTTCTGAGGATACTGTCGTAGCGAGTGCAGTGGAGGAGGAGGAAGAGCGACGTGAACCCACCTTGCTGCTGCTGCTGCTGCTGCTGGCCTCTTCCTTGCCCTTTCCACTCCTGCTGTCTCTCCCTGATCCTCCTCCTCCTCCTGCTGCTGACGATGCTTTCTTGTCCTTGCCCTTTCTCTTTGCGTCCTTCCCGTCCCCTTTTTCTTTGCCAGAGCCACTATCGGCAGCAGAATCTCCCAGAGCAAGCCCGCCAATCCCGCCCAACCCACTACTCTCGCCCTCTCCTCCTCTCCCTCCGCCAACACCGCCGAAATCCCCCAGGCCTAGCAAATCATCCCCGAATCCACCTAAACCGGCGCCACCATCACCGGTAGCACCCACGGAAACGGCGCTGCTTCGTCTCCTCCTCGCGCCTTCTTCCTTAGGATTCAACATCATTCTCAGATCATCTACCAGCCCCGTCGCAAACGCCCGCGCGGCGTAGGCAAGCGGATAGATCGACGAGCGGAACGCGTCCGGAGTGAGTAACCCCGCGCGCGCGATTAGCATGTCCCGCTTCCCCCAGACTAGCCCGGTCAGCGCAACCACCAGCTGCGCGCGCACCGCGGCGGAAGATTCCGTCGGAACGAGCCGTTGCGCCGCGATTCTGCTCATTTTTTTCGTGGCGAATTCTGAAAATAGACGGCCCACGGCGTCGAAAGCTGCGGCTGCGACTATATCGGAAGGGTCTAACATCGAAAGGCCGATCTGGCGCCACCAGAGCGAGACGCGGTCTAGGAGGGAAACGGACTGCGCACAGAGATTAATTACGTCGTCGCGTAGGAGAAGCGTTCCGAGGGAGTCCATCGCGGCTTGTCTTAATCCCACGTGGTCGTGGACGATGCAGTTAGAGAGCTCCTTAGAGTGATCATCTAGGAACTTCCCGACCCGCCAGCCCGGAAGCGCGACGACGAAGCGCAGCGCGGCAGCGGTGACGTCAGGATCCGGGCAGCTGAAATCATTGTGCATGCCCCGACACACCACGTCCCAGTCGTCGTCCGTTAAGTGGCCCGCGGTGCGGAGAGCATCGTACGCGAGCTGCTTACTAACGGCGTTCGCGCTGCCGGCGATTAACTCCGTGCAGAGAAGCGACGCGAGACACGATACGTCCTTACCGCCGGCTGCTAACTGCAAGGCGACTAGGATCGCGGACGTCTGACGGCTGACGTCATTAGATATTATGTCGCCCCGAATGGCTTGAAATATGACCTGATCCATGGCTGGTGCGGTAAATATTAAGACGCGAAAGAGGTACTTTTACGAGGCTATCACAGTCGCCGGCGTCGTCGCCGTAGCCGCCGCTGCAGGTGGGCTAATCGACGGAACGATACGCCCTACCTGGGCTAGCGAGGATATTGATTGGATTGGCCGCAATCTAGGGGAACAATCTAGGGGAACAACGACGCCCAGTATAGTGGGAACGGGAGCTTCCAATCGAAAATAAGCAGCGGGAGGAACGGCATGCTCTTTTGAAAACTTACGTAGCTACTCTACGATGTTGCGCGGCGGCGCGACCCCTCAGTACGATCCAGCCATGGATGGTCCTCCCAGTAACTCTACCCGCCCTGAGCAAAGTGATTCTTTTCAGATTTCCAGATTTCAGCTTGGCAGTGAGGGGCACCCTGCGTGTACAATCTCGAGGGACCACCCGCATCGATTGTGTCGGCTCTCCAGAACAGATAAGAGAGCACGTGGCCGTGTATACGAAAGGAAACTTTCACATATTGTGCTGTATAACTTGAGAAAGACCATCATATTTGATTTCCCCCATGTGTTCACTTTTATACGATGAAAAGTGTGTGAAGATCAGTGCACCACTTCATATTATTCAAAGATTCAAAATATTGGTATTCAGCATGTCATTTCATTACATTCATTATCCCTGAAATATGGTATTGTATCGAATCTTTTATATTTTGACAAAATCCATTTGTTACATCGATGGTGCACATGCAATTAGGTTGATTTATGTTGGCATTTTGATGAGGAAGAAATGGCAGTGCGAAGAGAAAACAGAAGAGAAAACAGAATAAATGCTCTCTCATACTCGGAAGTGATACAACATTTGCACACTCAGATGGAACGGGGACTTTTCTGGATTTAGGTTTGGAACATGGTTACATGAGCATGTGTCATACCACTGAGGTTGTTCATGAATATGTTACACGCCCTAAATAGTCATGGCGATTGCCGACATGGCACTCCTCATTCCATGGATAACAGGCGAATAGAAACAGTCGATTTCAACATCCACCAACGACCCTCCAAAGCAAGAAGCGAATAGCCGAATGCAGAATGACACAATGAGCGTCACAGCCACAAATTTCTGGCGGCCACGTGCCACGGGAAGAGCAGAAAAGCACTCTTGAATAAGTCTCCATTCCTACACTGGAGCGCACACGACGGTCCGCGTCGGGTTCCTGATTGCTAAAGCGTCAAAAGCGTTCACAGTGCGTAGCAAAAGCGTACTGGAGTGAGTCCCTCTCACAGTACAGGTTGCCCATTCCGACACGTAAAACAAGAACAAGCGTACAGCCTCAACTCAGGGTCGTGTTACATGAAGCTTGGGATTTCGTAAATACGCCCTCGAAACAGTTCTATTGGGATTCCCTTTTCTGAACAACGGGAATCTCCCGGCCCGCACAAGGCTAGGAGCCTTCCGAAACAGATTCCCTTCGGAAGAAATTTCTGTCAACTCCTCTTGCTCACTCCAGCCAGTGCATGTATTTTCTACGTCCAGCGAGCTCCACCTTACTTGCACCTGGCACAATCACGTCCACTCGCACATAGTGTTGTCGGCGCGCTACTTCTTAGACATTAGGAAGTAGTTAGTCTTTCACGTTTCCCTCCGGCGTTTATTTACGGTATATAAAAGCTGTAAACGCCTTCTCCTTTGACCATCGTAAGCATATCCTGCCTGTCCTTGTATATTAAAAGCCACCACCTGCCATTTTTCAGGGGCATGTTAAGAAACATTGCGAAGTTTCTCCCAAGTCGCTTCCTGCTCCCGCACTCCCACTCCACGCCTAGCTGCTGCTTCGCCGATACAACAAACATCGGCGCGCTGACTTTCCGCATCGAAGCAGCTCTACCATTCGACGCGCGAAATCCGTGGCTTTGCTCGTTTTCTGCGTCCGCGCCGCCATCGGCATCGGCGTTGGTATCGGCTTCGGTTTCAGCTTCGCCGTTACCTCTGTCTTATCGCCATTTGCCTTGTGCTAACCTCGTGTCACCACCGGTCTCCTATATGGCCTCCCCCTCTGCTCCATACCATAGACCTCTCCTTAGGATTCTCATTCAACCACCAACATCAGCCGCTCCGTTATCGTCCTGCCGTAGCGCGTTCTTCACTCTCCTGTCGCATGATTCCTCTCGGAAACACTTTAGTTCCCGAGCCGTATCCGGACCGCTAGTCGCCTTTCCACGCTTTTCCTCCTGGAAAATCCACCCTAGAGTCCATTCTCGCCAGGCGCACATACGCTTGTCAGTAGGGACGTCTTTAATTCCCATTACCGTGGCCATGTCTGCCGCTTCAACCTCTTCAGCGTCGAACAGCAATTGCAGCACGAGCAGCGGGGGTGGAGCGAACAGAGGGAACGGAGGGAGCGGAGGGAACGGAGGAGCCGCATCTTCAGAGCTGCACAGGCAAAGGCTAGGGCCAGCAGGATTCAGATTGAGCTCCGCTCCCTCTCCGTCTTCTCCTACTTCCTCCGCCGCCTCCGCTTCTTCCTCCTCCTCCTCATCCTCTACTTCCTCCTCTTCCTTCCCGTCCTCGCCTGCAGCACCCGCGGCAGCTGCGTCGGGCTCGTCCTCTCCGTCCTCTCCGCTTCTTTCTCCTTCTGCCTCCTCGTCTGTTTCGTCGTCTTCCATTGACGGTAGGACGAGCAACAACCCTTCGCCGTTCCTTAGCGCGTTCCGGTCGCGCGGGGAGGAGGAGCAGGCGGCTACGAGAGCGGCCATGGTTAGGGAGGCTGGGAGGCAGATGAGCGGTGAGAGCGACGGCAGCAGCAGCAGCGGTAGCGACGACGAGTGCAAAGCTACCGGCGATGACAGCGGAAGCAGCTTCGACGGGCCGGCGACAGCTGCGACGGCCGCTGCGACGACCGCTGCGACGACGGCGACGGCGACGGAGGTCGCAGAGAGGCTCCACGTGTCGTCGAACGAGGAGCTGATGAAGCGTTGGAAGCATCTACCGACCCCCATAGGCCCGGAGCCCACGGCAGGGGCGGAGAAGGACGACGCGACCCACCAGTGGACGAGTGCCGTGTGGGCTAGCGCGATCGACCCGCGGCGGCATATATTCTGCAATAGGTCTTTAAATATGAAGAGTATTGAAGCGGTGGGGTTCGATATGGACTACACGCTGGCTCAGTACCGGCCGGATACGTTCGAGTCGCTGGCGTACAGGGAGACGGTTAAGAAGCTCGTGTACAGTCTCAAGTACCCGGATGAGGTGAGAGTTGAACGCGAGGTGAGCCGATATTTAAGTCGACTTAAAAATGGTTTGAGTCGCTGGCGTATACGGAGACGGTTAAGGAGCTCGTGTACAGTCCTAAGTACCCAGATGAGGTGAGAGTTCAATGGGAAGAGAGTCGTTTGTTTAGTCAACTGAAACATGGTTTGAGTCGCTTGCGTATAGGGAGACGGTTAAGAAGCTCGTGTACAGCCTTAAGTACCCAGATGAGGTGAGACTCGAGGGCGAGATGAGCCGCGAAGATGAGACGAGACGCGGTTGGACGAGGTGGGACGAGGTGGGAAGTGGTGAGTGGTAATAGGTAGTAGGTACTGCGCGCGTGCTTCGTTTGCAAGGTGGGTGTTTTATGCCAGCGAGCAAATCTCTTCATTCTCGTGCATAACAGCTTGCAAAAGAGAGTGTAAGAGTTGCTAGCTGTTGTGCACACGCGAGTGGAAAGCCAGAGACTTTCAAAAGTTCAGCCTTTTTTTCTTTAAACACCTTCAATCTCACTTTCCCATGGTGTTCCGTCATGTGATTGCATGTGCGTGCATGCGCGTGCATGTGCGTGCATGTGCATGTGCATGTGCATGAATGCGCTTGTTGGCGTGCAGCTACTGCTGTGGAACTTTGACTGGCGCTACATGGTGCGAGGGCTTGTGCTGGACAAGAAGCGAGGCAACATTCTCAAGGTACCGTTTTGCATTTGCTCTTATCCCTCTGCTGCTCTGGTCCCACTGCTGCTTCTATCTCTCTTTCCCTCTCTCTTCGGCGCCTTTTCCCCCCCTCCCCCCTCCTCTTTTCGTACCTCTCTCTTTCCCTTGATGTGCCTTTGCCTCTGCCTCTTTTCTCTGTCTTCCTTCAAGCGCGAGTTAACAAAATGACAGCTGAAAGTGGTGATGTTGGAAAACGAAAACACGCACACACACTCACAAGTCCTTATCAAACCTATCCTTGCCATTTCCCTCAATTACCCCCATTTTCTCCTTCCCCCCATTTCCCCCATTCCCCCTATTTCCCCCGTTCCCCATTCCCCCCTTCTCCCTATTCCGCCCATCACCCCATTCTCCCATCCCCCCATTCCCCCCTTCCACCTCTCTTCTTTTTCTCCCCCTCCCGCCGTCCCCCATTCCTCCCAACCCCCCCAGTTCCCCCTTCCCCCCTCCTCCCCCCTCCTCCCAGTCCTCCCACTCCCCTCATTCCCTCCATTCTCCTCCCCATTTCGCGCATCCTCCTCAACACCCCCATTCCCCTCATTTCCCCAATCTCCATTCCTCGCCATTCCACCCAACCCTGCTCCCTACCTCCTCATCCTGATCGTATACTCTTCCCTCACACTCAATGTTATACCCCTCACAACCAATCTCGTACTCCTCATAGTCAATCCGCTTTCTATCCACTCCCTTATGCACATCAGACGGACCGGCACAAATACATACTAGTTACCTTCTGACTCGTCTCAGAAGTATCCCCTAGTATTCCCTCACAGTAAACCCTTCTTTCCACCCTACGTCCCACCCCCACCCCCCGCCGCACCAGATGGTCCGGCACAAGTATGTGAAGGTGGGTGGCCTATCATGGCTTCCAGATGCTTTCCCGGAAGGGGTGTGCTGCCTTTCACACTGTCCCGCCACACTCACTCTCAATTTTCCTTCTGGCGCCTCACATTCCAACCTCCCCCCCCCCCCCCTCTCCCGCTCCTCTCCCCCCCTTCCTTCACCCCGCTAACACCAGATGGACCGGCACAAGTATGTGAAGGTGGCGTATCACGGCTTCCAGGCTCTCTCCCGGGAGGAGCGGTGCGCCACATACACAGACACGCCGCTGCGGGAGTCCTTTGACGAGCCCGACTTTGCTCTCATCGACACTCTCTTCTCGCTCGCCGAGGCGTACATGTTTGCCCAGCTGGTGGAGTTCAAAGACGCGTTTCCTGACCGGATTCCGTCCACCAGGTGAGGAGGGGGAGAAGGGAAGAAGGGACGAGGAACCTGACTTTGTGCTCATCGACACGCTCTTCTCGCTCGCACAGGCGTACCTGTTTGCACAGCTGGTGGAGTTCAAAGATGCGTTTCCCGACCGGATTCCGTCCACCAGGTGAGGCCAAGGGGAACGATGGACCCGAGTTTGTGCTCTCATCGGCACGTTGTTCTCTCTTGCAGAGGTGTACCTGGTTCTCTGATCTGATTTCGTGCAGTGCACCAGGTGAGGAGGGGAGAGGGGAGAGGGGAGAGGGGATAGGGGACAGAGAAAAGTGGAAATGGGAAAGAGGAAAGGGATGAGCGGTTGGGGAGGTGTAGGGGGACGAGGTTAGGATTAAAAGTGGTGCTGGGGTGTAGAGTCACTGTGCTGAGCTGGGTGGGAGGGAGTCATGCTGACGACCACGTTTGCAGCACTGCAAAAGCAGCAAGCAACCTACCCTCCTTCCTCCCCTTGTCCCCTCTTTCCCCCCACCCCGCTCGCCCCCCCATTCTCCCTCCCTCCCGCGCCGCAGCTATGCCGCCATGAACCCGATTGTGTGGACCCGCGCCGCAGCTTTTGAGACGTCTCTGTGCCACAGACACAGAGACGTCTCAAGAAGCGGTATACGAGAAACAGTGGACTTGTTTCTCGTAGACGGAACGGGGAGTCCATGCAGTCAATTACCCCCCCTACCTCGTCTTCTCCCGCCTACCACTCACCGCTCCGCTTTCCCCGCCTCACTCTTAACCGTCAGCTCCCCCCCGACAGCTATGCTGCCATGTGCCGGGACACACACACGCGCAGCAGTGGACCTGTGGCACTGAGCAGTCACTGTAGTCGTTCACTCTCACTACCCCTTCTCTCCCGCACCTACCTCTCCCGCCCCTTTTTCTTCCCTCACTCACCCCTCTCCCCGCTTCCCCCATACCTCCCCCGGCAGCTATGCCGCCATGTACCGGGACGTGCGGGCAGCAGTGGACCTGTGCCACAGAGACGGGACGCTCAAGAACGCAGTTGCCAACGACCCCGCCAGGTGAGCCGAGTGCGTGAGGCGCAAGGCAGACATAAGTCGCGTAAGGAGCAAAGCCTAGGGCACCAGGCGTAGGGCGCAAGACGCAAGGAGTGAAGTGAAAGGAGTGAAACGCAAGGCTCTAGGCGCAAGGTGTACGGCGCAAGGGGGCCCAGGGGAAGGGGGGGAGGGGGGTTGAGTGGGTTCGGGTTCGAGGGCTAGCCTCGTTGATTCATTCCCGTGTGGTGACTTAAACAGAGGCCCAACCCAAACAGAGCCTCACGTGCATGGGTCAAGGGACAACGAGCACGTTCATTCTCGTGGACATGCTGCAGATGCTATGACTGTTACGACGTCTCGGAATTCCCCGTCTCCCCCTTCTCTCCCTGCTCCTTTGCCCTCCATCCCCCTCCTCTTTGCACAATGGCAGGTACATCACAAGGGACGACGAGCTAGTGGACCCACTGGCATGCTGCTGCAGATGCTGCCACTGCTGAGTTCTTCTTCCACTGCTCCCTGTGCCTGTGCCTGTGCCTCTGTCCCGCACCCATGGTTTCTGCCAGGTACATCACAAGGGACGACGAGCTAGTGGATATGCTGCAGATGCTGCGGGACTCGGGCCGAAAGACATTCCTCGTGACCAACAGGTGCCTCTCCCTGCCTTCTGCGGCTGCTTCCACTGCCCGTCCCCACCTCTTCCTGTCCATTGCTCTTTGTCCACTTCTGCCCCCTCGTCCTCCTCTGCTCTCCCTCCCGTCCCCGTCCAATGCTTTGCTTCCACTCCACGCGCGCCATTCTCCTGTTTGCTCATGTGCTCGAATCCTCCCCATCCGCCCTTGCGCCATGCTCCTTCTTCCCTTGTGCTGTGCCACCGCACCTTTTCTCACTCGCCTCTCTCTCCTCGTTCATTATGTATGCCTTGCGCATGGCAGCCTGTGGGACTACACGCACGTGGTGATGAACTACCTGGTGGGCAACTGTAAGACTCGTATCGTCTCTCACTCCTCCCTTCTACGCTTGCTACTCCCCTTCCCCTCCCCACCCCTCCCCACCCCACCCCACCCCACACCGGCATGGCAGCCTGTGGGACTACACGCACGTGGTGATGAACTACCTCGTGGGCAACTGCAAGCCTCAGAACTCACATCGCTCTCCCCCCCAATGTCCGTTACTACCATCTCCTGTGCACCATCCCACACCCTCGTTCATGGCAGCCTGTGGGACTACACGCACGTGGTGATGAACTACCTCGTGGGCAACTGCAAGTCTCAGAACTCACATCGCTCTCCCCCCCAATGTCCGTTACTACCATCTCCTGTGCACCATCCCACACCCTCGTTCATGGCAGCCTGTGGGACTACACGCACGTGGTGATGAACTACCTCGTGGGCAACTGCAAGCCTCAGAACTCACATCGCTCTCCCCCCCAATGTCCGTTACTACCATCTCCTGTGCACCATCCCACACCCTCGTTCATGGCAGCCTGTGGGACTACACGCACGTGGTGATGAACTACCTCGTGGGCAACTGCAAGCCTCAGAACTCACATCGCTCTCCCCCCCAGTGTCCGTTACTACCATCTCCTGTGCACCATCCCACACCCTCGTTCATGGCAGCCTGTGGGACTACACGCACGTGGTGATGAACTACCTCGTGGGCAACTGCAAGCCTCAGAACTCACATCGCTCTCCCCCCCAATGTCCGTTACTACCATCTCCTGTGCACCATCCCACACCCTCGTTCATGGCAGCCTGTGGGACTACACGCACGTGGTGATGAACTACCTCGTGGGCAACTGCAAGCCTCAGAACTCACATCGCTCTCCCCCCCAGTGTCCGTTACTACCATCTCCTGTGCACCATCCCACACCCTCGTTCATGGCAGCCTGTGGGACTACACGCACGTGGTGATGAACTACCTCGTGGGCAACTGCAAGCCTCAGAACTCACATCGCTCTCCCCCCCAATGTCCGTTACTACCATCTCCTGTGCACCATCCCACACCCTCGTTCATGGCAGCCTGTGGGACTACACGCACGTGGTGATGAACTACCTCGTGGGCAAGTGTGGCACGCGGCACGGCAAGCCAAGGGATTACTCCTGGCTCTCGCTCTTCGACCTTGTCATCACGGGCAGGTAGGTGGCTGCGTGCGTGTGCGACTTGGCCTGTGCGTGGGTAGGTGGATGGGTGGGCTCCTTTAATTTGTCTTCAAAGCAGAAAGGCACAGCTTCTTACCTCGCCCACTCGTCTCACCCTCTCTCACCTCACCCTCTCGTTACCGTCCGCATCCGTTGTGCACCCCTTCGCCTCCCCCCACAGTGCAAAGCCCGGTTTCTTTCTAAACATGCACCGGACGCAGATGTACGAGGTATACCGTGGACATACGCAGGTGGTTAAGAATAAAATAATAATAATAATTAAAAACTAAAAAAAAACTATCCGTCATGCACCTTCTTCTCGTTTCCCTCCCACAGTGCGAAGCCGGGTTTCTTCCTGAACACGCACCGGGCGCAGATATACGAGGTGGATATTCGCTCGGGCATGCTGTTCAACACTGATAACGGCAGCCCCATGGCGCAGGTGAGAGCGAGGGGAGGTGGGGAAGCAAGCTGCATGGCGCAGGTGAGGAGGGGGGGCAACCCAGCTTATGGGGCAGGTGGGTGGGACCCATCCACACCGGGCGCAGATATACGAGGTGGATATTCGCTCGGGCATGCTGTTCAACTCTGATAACGGCAGCCCCATGGCTCAGGTGAGATGGAGGAGAGGGGGGAAGGGAGGGAGGAACCCAGCCTATGGCGCAGGTGGGGGGGGGTAGCAAGCTGCGTCACCCAGGTGCGTGCGTCACCCAGGTGCGTCACCCAGGTGCGTCACCCAGGTGCGTCACCCAGGTGCACCGGGCGCAGATATATTACATTCACTCAGGCATGCTGTGCAACACTGGTAACGGCAGCCCCATGGCTCAGGTGAGAGAGTTGTGGGACGTCTCAAAACGCAAGCTGCGTGGCGCAGGTGAGGGTACGGGGGTGGGTGGGAGGACCTGAGGCATCCCCATCCGCATCCCCATCCGCATCCCCATCCGCATCCCCATCCGCATCCCATCCCATCCCATCCCATCCCATCCCATCCCATCCCATCCCATCCCATCCCATCCCATCCCATCCCATCCCATCCCATCCCATCCCATCCCATCCCATCCCATCCCATCCCATCCCATCCCCATCCGCATCCCCATCCCATCCCATGTCATCCTGCCGATCCCCATCAGGTGGGGAAGCTGTTTGACACCTTGGCTGTACTGTTTACTCCACCTTAGAAAATCCCATGCTGTAGATTTACAAGGTGCTCTGCTCACAAGCGAATCCATTTCCATTTTGCCCTGCCTGCCCGTGCTTTGTAGGTGGGCGGTATGGGTGACTGACGTGACGCGATAGCTGTGGCAGAGAGCGCGGAGCAGTCACACGCTCACAGCCACCAAGGGTTTTTGAGGCACCTTAGGAGCCGTCTCCATTTCACCCTGCCTATCCCCTTGCAGGTGGGCGGTATGGGTGACACCATAGCTGTAGCACAGCGTGCGGAGCAGTCACAGCCGTGCAGAGTGTTCCAAGGGGGCAATGTGGGGCACCTGCACCACATGCTCGACATTGCTGCTGGCGCACAGGTGTGCAAATGCTGATTGGTGACTTTGACACATAGATTGGCCTTTTCTTCTTAGCATCGTGGGAGGTGACAGTGCTCTGGGTGGAAAGATCAGTCACAGGTGGATGGGTTGATGTACGATGCATGCGGGTTTTCCTTGCATGCATGTGCCTTTCCCATTCATGCATGTGTTTTTCCTTGCATGCATGTGCCTTTCCCATTCATGCATGTGTTTTTCCTTGCATGCATGTGCCTTTCCCATTCATGCATGTGTTTTTCCTTGCATGCATGTGCCTTTCCCATTCATGCATGTGTTTTTCCTTGCATGCATGTGCCTTTCCCATTCATGCATGTGTTTTTCCTTGCATGCATGTGCCTTTCCCATTCATGCATGTGTTTTTCCTTGCATGCATGTGCCTTTCCCATTCATGCATGTGTTTTTCCTTGCATGCATGTGCCTTTCCCATTCATGCATGTGTTTTTCCTTGCATGCATGTGCCTTTCCCATTCATGCATGTGTTTTTCCTTGCATGCATGTGCCTTTCCCATTCATGCATGTGTTTTTCCTTGCATGCATGTGCCTTTCCCATTCATGCATGTGTTTTTCCTTGCATGCATGTGCCTTTCCCATTCATGCATGTGTTTTTCCTTGCATGCATGTGCCTTTCCCATTCATGCATGTGTTTTTCCTTGCATGCATGTGCCTTTCCCATTCATGCATGTGTTTTTCCTTGCATGCATGTGCCTTTCCCATTCATGCATGTGTTTTTCCTTGCATGCATGTGCCTTTCCCATTCATGCATGTGTTTTTCCTTGCATGCATGTGCCTTTCCCATTCATGCATGTGTTTTTCCTTGCATGCATGTGCCTTTCCCATTCATGCATGTGTTTTTCCTTGCATGCATGTGCCTTTCCCATTCATGCATGTGTTTTTCCTTGCATGCATGTGCCTTTCCCATTCATGCATGTGTTTTTCCTTGCATGCATGTGCCTTTCCCATTCATGCATGTGTTTTTCCTTGCATGCATGTGCCTTTCCCATTCATGCATGTGTTTTTCCTTGCATGCATGTGCCTTTCCCATTCATGCATGTGTTTTTCCTTGCATGCATGTGCCTTTCCCATTCATGCATGTGTTTTTCCTTGCATGCATGTGCCTTTCCCATTCATGCATGTGTTTTTCCTTGCATGCATGTGCCTTTCCCATTCATGCATGTGTTTTTCCTTGCATGCATGTGCCTTTCCCATTCATGCATGTGTTTTTCCTTGCATGCATGTGCCTTTCCCATTCATGCATGTGTTTTTCCTTGCATGCATGTGCCTTTCCCATTCATGCATGTGTTTTTCCTTGCATGCATGTGCCTTTCCCATTCATGCATGTGTTTTTCCTTGCATGCATGTGCCTTTCCCATTCATGCATGTGTTTTTCCTTGCATGCATGTGCCTTTCCCATTCATGCATGTGTTTTTCCTTGCATGCATGTGCCTTTCCCATTCATGCATGTGTTTTTCCTTGCATGCATGTGCCTTTCCCATTCATGCATGTGTTTTTCCTTGCATGCATGTGCCTTTCCCATTCATGCATGTGTTTTTCCTTGCATGCATGTGCCTTTCCCATTCATGCATGTGTTTTTCCTTGCATGCATGTGCCTTTCCCATTCATGCATGTGTTTTTCCTTGCATGCATGTGCCTTTCCCATTCATGCATGTGTTTTTCCTTGCATGCATGTGCCTTTCCCATTCATGCATGTGTTTTTCCTTGCATGCATGTGCCTTTCCCATTCATGCATGTGTTTTTCCTTGCATGCATGTGCCTTTCCCATTCATGCATGTGTTTTTCCTTGCATGCATGTGCCTTTCCCATTCATGCATGTGTTTTTCCTTGCATGCATGTGCCTTTCCCATTCATGCATGTGTTTTTCCTTGCATGCATGTGCCTTTCCCATTCATGCATGTGTTTTTCCTTGCATGCATGTGCCTTTCCCATTCATGCATGTGTTTTTCCTTGCATGCATGTGCCTTTCCCATTCATGCATGTGTTTTTCCTTGCATGCATGTGCCTTTCCCATTCATGCATGTGTTTTTCCTTGCATGCATGTGCCTTTCCCATTCATGCATGTGTTTTTCCTTGCATGCATGTGCCTTTCCCATTCATGCATGTGTTTTTCCTTGCATGCATGTGCCTTTCCCATTCATGCATGTGTTTTTCCTTGCATGCATGTGCCTTTCCCATTCATGCATGTGTTTTTCCTTGCATGCATGTGCCTTTCCCATTCATGCATGTGTTTTTCCTTGCATGCATGTGCCTTTCCCATTCATGCATGTGTTTTTCCTTGCATGCATGTGCCTTTCCCATTCATGCATGTGTTTTTCCTTGCATGCATGTGCCTTTCCCATTCATGCATGTGTTTTTCCTTGCATGCATGTGCCTTTCCCATTCATGCATGTGTTTTTCCTTGCATGCATGTGCCTTTCCCATTCATGCATGTGTTTTTCCTTGCATGCATGTGCCTTTCCCATTCATGCATGTGTTTTTCCTTGCATGCATGTGCCTTTCCCATTCATGCATGTGTTTTTCCTTGCATGCATGTGCCTTTCCCATTCATGCATGTGTTTTTCCTTGCATGCATGTGCCTTTCCCATTCATGCATGTGTTTTTCCTTGCATGCATGTGCCTTTCCCATTCATGCATGTGTTTTTCCTTGCATGCATGTGCCTTTCCCATTCATGCATGTGTTTTTCCTTGCATGCATGTGCCTTTCCCATTCATGCATGTGTTTTTCCTTGCATGCATGTGCCTTTCCCATTCATGCATGTGTTTTTCCTTGCATGCATGTGCCTTTCCCATTCATGCATGTGTTTTTCCTTGCATGCATGTGCCTTTCCCATTCATGCATGTGTTTTTCCTTGCATGCATGTGCCTTTCCCATTCATGCATGTGTTTTTCCTTGCATGCATGTGCCTTTCCCATTCATGCATGTGTTTTTCCTTGCATGCATGTGCCTTTCCCATTCATGCATGTGTTTTTCCTTGCATGCATGTGCCTTTCCCATTCATGCATGTGTTTTTCCTTGCATGCATGTGCCTTTCCCATTCATGCATGTGTTTTTCCTTGCATGCATGTGCCTTTCCCATTCATGCATGTGTTTTTCCTTGCATGCATGTGCCTTTCCCATTCATGCATGTGTTTTTCCTTGCATGCATGTGCCTTTCCCATTCATGCATGTGTTTTTCCTTGCATGCATGTGCCTTTCCCATTCATGCATGTGTTTTTCCTTGCATGCATGTGCCTTTCCCATTCATGCATGTGTTTTTCCTTGCATGCATGTGCCTTTCCCATTCATGCATGTGTTTTTCCTTGCATGCATGTGCCTTTCCCATTCATGCATGTGTTTTTCCTTGCATGCATGTGCCTTTCCCATTCATGCATGTGTTTTTCCTTGCATGCATGTGCCTTTCCCATTCATGCATGTGTTTTTTCCTTGCATGCATGTGCCTTTCCCATTCATGCATGTGTTTTTCCTTGCATGCATGTGCCTTTCCCATTCATGCATGTGTTTTTCCTTGCATGCATGTGCCTTTCCCATTCATGCATGTGTTTTTCCTTGCATGCATGTGCCTTTCCCATTCATGCATGTGTTTTTCCTTGCATGCATGTGCCTTTCCCATTCATGCATGTGTTTTTCCTTGCATGCATGTGCCTTTCCCATTCATGCATGTGTTTTTCCTTGCATGCATGTGCCTTTCCCATTCATGCATGTGTTTTTCCTTGCATGCATGTGCCTTTCCCATTCATGCATGTGTTTTTCCTTGCATGCATGTGCCTTTCCCATTCATGCATGTGTTTTTCCTTGCATGCATGTGCCTTTCCCATTCATGCATGTGTTTTTCCTTGCATGCATGTGCCTTTCCCATTCATGCATGTGTTTTTCCTTGCATGCATGTGCCTTTCCCATTCATGCATGTGTTTTTCCTTGCATGCATGTGCCTTTCCCATTCATGCATGTGTTTTTCCTTGCATGCATGTGCCTTTCCCATTCATGCATGTGTTTTTCCTTGCATGCATGTGCCTTTCCCATTCATGCATGTGTTTTTCCTTGCATGCATGTGCCTTTCCCATTCATGCATGTGTTTTTCCTTGCATGCATGTGCCTTTCCCATTCATGCATGTGTTTTTCCTTGCATGCATGTGCCTTTCCCATTCATGCATGTGTTTTTCCTTGCATGCATGTGCCTTTCCCATTCATGCATGTGTTTTTCCTTGCATGCATGTGCCTTTCCCATTCATGCATGTGGTTTTCCTTGCATGCATGTGCCTTTCCCATTCATGCATGTGGTTTTCCTTGCATGCATGTGCCTTTCCCATTCATGCATGTGGTTTTCCTTGCATGCATGTGCCTTTCCCATTCATGCATGTGGTTTTCCTTGCATGCATGTGCCTTTCCCATTCATGCATGTGTTTTTCCTTGCATGCATGTGCCTTTCCCATTCATGCATGTGTTTTTCCTTGCATGCATGTGCCTTTCCCATTCATGCATGTGTTTTTCCTTGCATGCATGTGCCTTTCCCATTCATGCATGTGGTTTTCCTTGCATGCATGTGCCTTTCCCATTCATGCATGTGTTTTTCCTTGCATGCATGTGCCTTTCCCATTCATGCATGTGTTTTTCCTTGCATGCATGTGCCTTTCCCATTCATGCATGTGGTTTTCCTTGCATGCATGTGCCTTTCCCATTCATGCATGTGTTTTTCCTTGCATGCATGTGCCTTTCCCATTCATGCATGTGTTTTTCCTTGCATGCATGTGCCTTTCCCATTCATGCATGTGTTTTTCCTTGCATGCATGTGCCTTTCCCATTCATGCATGTGTTTTTCCTTGCATGCATGTGCCTTTCCCATTCATGCATGTGTTTTTCCTTGCATGCATGTGCCTTTCCCATTCATGCATGTGTTTTTCCTTGCATGCATGTGCCTTTCCCATTCATGCATGTGTTTTTCCTTGCATGCATGTGCCTTTCCCATTCATGCATGTGTTTTTCCTTGCATGCATGTGCCTTTCCCATTCATGCATGTGTTTTTCCTTGCATGCATGTGCCTTTCCCATTCATGCATGTGTTTTTCCTTGCATGCATGTGCCTTTCCCATTCATGCATGTGTTTTTCCTTGCATGCATGTGCCTTTCCCATTCATGCATGTGTTTTTCCTTGCATGCATGTGCCTTTCCCATTCATGCATGTGTTTTTCCTTGCATGCATGTGCCTTTCCCATTCATGCATGTGTTTTTCCTTGCATGCATGTGCCTTTCCCATTCATGCATGTGTTTTTCCTTGCATGCATGTGCCTTTCCCATTCATGCATGTGTTTTTCCTTGCATGCATGTGCCTTTCCCATTCATGCATGTGTTTTTCCTTGCATGCATGTGCCTTTCCCATTCATGCATGTGTTTTTCCTTGCATGCATGTGCCTTTCCCATTCATGCATGTGTTTTTCCTTGCATGCATGTGCCTTTCCCATTCATGCATGTGTTTTTCCTTGCATGCATGTGCCTTTCCCATTCATGCATGTGTTTTTCCTTGCATGCATGTGCCTTTCCCATTCATGCATGTGTTTTTCCTTGCATGCATGTGCCTTTCCCATTCATGCATGTGTTTTTCCTTGCATGCATGTGCCTTTCCCATTCATGCATGTGTTTTTCCTTGCATGCATGTGCCTTTCCCATTCATGCATGTGTTTTTCCTTGCATGCATGTGCCTTTCCCATTCATGCATGTGTTTTTCCTTGCATGCATGTGCCTTTCCCATTCATGCATGTGTTTTTCCTTGCATGCATGTGCCTTTCCCATTCATGCATGTGTTTTTCCTTGCATGCATGTGCCTTTCCCATTCATGCATGTGTTTTTCCTTGCATGCATGTGCCTTTCCCATTCATGCATGTGTTTTTCCTTGCATGCATGTGCCTTTCCCATTCATGCATGTGTTTTTCCTTGCATGCATGTGCCTTTCCCATTCATGCATGTGTTTTTCCTTGCATGCATGTGCCTTTCCCATTCATGCATGTGGTTTTCCTTGCATGCATGTGCCTTTCCCATTCATGCATGTGTTTTTCCTTGCATGCATGTGCCTTTCCCATTCATGCATGTGTTTTTCCTTGCATGCATGTGCCTTTCCCATTCATGCATGTGGTTTTCCTTGCATGCATGTGCCTTTCCCATTCATGCATGTGTTTTTCCTTGCATGCATGTGCCTTTCCCATTCATGCATGTGGTTTTCCTTGCATGCATGTGCCTTTCCCATTCATGCATGTGTTTTTCCTTGCATGCATGTGCCTTTCCCATTCATGCATTTTTTTTTCCTTGCATGCATGTGCCTTTCCCATTCATGCATGTGTTTTTCCTTGCATGCATGTGCCTTTCCCATTCATGCATGTGGTTTTCCTTGCATGCATGTGCCTTTCCCATTCATGCATGTGTTTTTCCTTGCATGCATGTGCCTTTCCCATTCATGCATGTGTTTTTCCTTGCATGCATGTGCCTTTCCCATTCATGCATGTGTTTTTCCTTGCATGCATGTGCCTTTCCCATTCATGCATGTGTTTTTCCTTGCATGCATGTGCCTTTCCCATTCATGCATGTGTTTTTCCTTGCATGCATGTGCCTTTCCCATTCATGCATGTGTTTTTCCTTGCATGCATGTGCCTTTCCCATTCATGCATGTGTTTTTCCTTGCATGCATGTGCCTTTCCCATTCATGCATGTGTTTTTCCTTGCATGCATGTGCCTTTCCCATTCATGCATGTGTTTTTCCTTGCATGCATGTGCCTTTCCCATTCATGCATGTGTTTTTCCTTGCATGCATGTGCCTTTCCCATTCATGCATGTGTTTTTCCTTGCATGCATGTGCCTTTCCCATTCATGCATGTGTTTTTCCTTGCATGCATGTGCCTTTCCCATTCATGCATGTGTTTTTCCTTGCATGCATGTGCCTTTCCCATTCATGCATGTGTTTTTCCTTGCATGCATGTGCCTTTCCCATTCATGCATGTGTTTTTCCTTGCATGCATGTGCCTTTCCCATTCATGCATGTGTTTTTCCTTGCATGCATGTGCCTTTCCCATTCATGCATGTGTTTTTCCTTGCATGCATGTGCCTTTCCCATTCATGCATGTGTTTTTCCTTGCATGCATGTGCCTTTCCCATTCATGCATGTGTTTTTCCTTGCATGCATGTGCCTTTCCCATTCATGCATGTGTTTTTCCTTGCATGCATGTGCCTTTCCCATTCATGCATGTGTTTTTCCTTGCATGCATGTGCCTTTCCCATTCATGCATGTGTTTTTCCTTGCATGCATGTGCCTTTCCCATTCATGCATGTGTTTTTCCTTGCATGCATGTGCCTTTCCCATTCATGCATGTGTTTTTCCTTGCATGCATGTGCCTTTCCCATTCATGCATGTGTTTTTCCTTGCATGCATGTGCCTTTCCCATTCATGCATGTGTTTTTCCTTGCATGCATGTGCCTTTCCCATTCATGCATGTGTTTTTCCTTGCATGCATGTGCCTTTCCCATTCATGCATGTGTTTTTCCTTGCATGCATGTGCCTTTCCCATTCATGCATGTGTTTTTCCTTGCATGCATGTGCCTTTCCCATTCATGCATGTGTTTTTCCTTGCATGCATGTGCCTTTCCCATTCATGCATGTGTTTTTCCTTGCATGCATGTGCCTTTCCCATTCATGCATGTGTTTTTCCTTGCATGCATGTGCCTTTCCCATTCATGCATGTGTTTTTCCTTGCATGCATGTGCCTTTCCCATTCATGCATGTGTTTTTCCTTGCATGCATGTGCCTTTCCCATTCATGCATGTGTTTTTCCTTGCATGCAAGTGTTTTCCCTCCCATGCATGCATGTGCTATACGTGCGCGACCACATCGTTAGTGACATCCTTTTGAATGGGCTCGAAAGTAACTCTGTTTTGAGTCGACTCAGCATAATTGTGCGCTCTCCCTCCCATGAGTGTGCAGGTAATGTATGTGGGCGACCACATCTTTGGAGACATCCTTCGATCCAAGAAGTCCCTTGGTACGTTGCTATAGAGGCCATGGGGTCTAAGTTGGAAAAAACGCGTTTGGCGTTTTATACGCTAGCGTTTTAACGCTAGCGTATAAACGCCATATGCTTGTTGGGTTGTGTTATATACGCTCTGCAAACGCATGGCCGGGCAGGGTAAAAAAAGTTTTGGGCAGGGGGAAATTTGAGGTTAAGAGGTGGGGATGGGGGGAGGTGCAAAGCACCAGCAAAACCCATCCCTTATTGATTAATTTCCAGATTTCAGTCATGCAACTTCCTACAACATCCCCCCACCCCACCTTCCACCTAACATCCTACACCCTCTATGGCACTGCTGCCCCTCATTCCCACCATCCAACCGCCCTTCACCTAAGCATACTCGTCCTCAAGAATAGCATCCTCCCCCTCCTCCGCATCCTCACCCTCCTCCTCCACTGTGTAGCCTTCAGGAGTGGGGGGGTCCTCCATGTTCCCCGTGACGACCCCCTGGCCAGCAGGGACCGAGTACCAGTTGTGTGCAACATAGACTAGGTCCCTGCACTTCTGGGAGCCTAGGCGGTTGCGCCTTGCCGTGTGGACTGCGTCCCACACAGCCCAGTTTCTCTCGCATGCAGCCGCTGAAACTGGCTGCGAGAGCACACGACAAGCAAGCGTCGCGAGCTCGGGGAAGTCAGTGCCGTTCCAATTCCACCACTCAACGGCGCTCTGCGTTCCCTCCTTCACTGCCGCACGTTCAGCAATGGCCTGCGGCAGGCCAAAGCTTCCCTGCAGGGTCATGATCGCGGAAAGCCCCTCCTGCAGCACCACGGAAGCTCGGCGCTCCACGCCGTCCTTCCGAGTGATGGTGAGGTGGTCGTAGTGGGTCGTGATGTAGGACTTCAGGACGCGCGTGCACTCAATGTCGCTCCTGAAGATCCCTTCTTCCTGGTTGACAGGATTCAGGATCCTGCCAACGACGTGCATGGGGCACGCGAGAGTCTCATCCCACCGCTTCTTCACGATGCGCGTGATGTCCCCCACCTCCCCCCTCGTCAGGAACCCGTCCGCCTGCTCGTCGAGGAGATCCTGCAGGTTCTTGGTGAGCTCGAGCATGTTGTCATAGATGCGGCCCATCATTCCCTTGGCCGTTGCATCCGTCGCGCGCATCATGACGAAGGGGACCTTCATGATGGCCGTGAAGAACTCCGCGAGCTTCCACCACGGCTCATGCATCACTTGCACGCGGAAGGCTTCCGCGCTCAGTATCCTTGCGCCAGTTGCACAGCCACGCCACTCCTCACTCAGAACCATCTGCAGGAGGGAGAGGCGCACTTCACACAGGCGGGAGACCGCGATGAACTGCGTGCCGAAGCGCGTCCCCGCGGGCTTCAAGACCTGCTTCCCCTTCCCGCCGTTGACTTGAGGGCTGCGCAGGTAACCGCGCGTGAAGTGATGGTTCCGCACAAAATTGATGATCTCCGCCGCCCGGGAAATAATCTCCCTCGCCCACGACATCTTCCCAATGTCCTCCATCATAAGGTCGAGGACATGGGTCGCACACGGAACCTGCTCGATGTGCGGGTATTCCTCGATGAGGGCACGGCACGCGGCGGCGTAGTTGGAGCCGCCATCCATGCAAAATGCCACGATGTTGTCGGCCCCGACCTTCTTGATGATCGGGCGAAGAAGTTCGGCAATGTAACCGCCAAGCTTCTGCTCCATTTTCGTGTCCACGGACTCGTCGAAGACGGCCCCGCTGTCATTGATGAGAAGTACGGCCGAGGACGGCCGCTGCTGTCCGTCATCATATCGCTCGCTATCGTAACGCCATCACGACGCCAGCTCGCCGCGACTGGAGCAAGCGCCACTTCAATGCGCTCGTGACACTTCTGGAGACCGGCACCACCGACGACGCGACTCTTCGGCGGGGTGTATCCAGCTCCCGCCCGCGCAATGCACGCGACTGCATTGCGCCAGAGGGGATGGTCGGCGTGATGTTCCGACAGGTGCAGACCGGCGAAGAGAAGACACACCGCCTCGTCGGCGGACATCTTCGCGCAGGCGGCGTCGTCGCCGTAGAAGTCTGTCATGCGAGACTTCTTCTCGCCATTGACCGCCGAGATTGCCGAAACCTCCGCGGTGCGCTTATTCTCCCGCGCCTTGTTCTTCTTCTCGTAAATCGCCTTCACGCCGTCCTTGGCCTCCTTGGGAGATTTGGAGCACAGGTGCACCTCACAGCGCCTCATCTTGGCCCAGCTCGTAATGTGCTGCGCTGCGCGGTACATTCCGCCCGTGAACTTGAACTTGCAGTATTTGCAAACCTTGGTGGCGTGGTCGACATCGTCGCCGGGGGGCACTAAGAAGTGCTTGTAAACAGCGTGGTTACTGTCCATGCAGACCAATGAAGAGCTCGTAGCCTCAGCAAAAGTACTACAAGGCTCTTCAGTCGGGGTAGAACGTGGTGTTGCAAAACGATGGGGAGCCATGCTGGAAATGGAGCTAGAGGAAAGAAACTGAATGAATGACGAGAGGAAATGAGCTACATTTATGTTGAAGGGAGGGTGGGTTGACGGCAAGATTGGTGAATATTAAGTTGGAAAGGGAAGTGGGAGTTGACGGGGTGTGGTGGTGTGTGAAGTGGTGAACAATTGTGGTGGGTGCGACTCGGCTTGGAAATTCAATTTTCAAGCCACTTTCGTGCTGTTTGAAACCCAACCCTCGCGTCGCCACGTTGCGAACGGAAACTCAAATTTTGATATAATTTTTTTTGGGCTGCCCAACACTTTTCGAGCGTTTCTACACCAAAAACGCTGCGTTTGTTTTTTCGTAGCGTATAAACGCAAAACGCACAAGTACATTAGCGTTTTTTCCAACTTAGCATGGGGTCACACTCGTTTACTACGGCACGTCCCAGTTCTCAACGCGTATTCACTGCAATAAGCACCTCTTTGGCTTGTCTCCTCCTATAACAAACATAAACGAGAAAAAAACAAAATGAGGTTCTAGCCACAGGGGGGGGGGGGGGGAGTTGACCAGAGGGAAACGTAATAGGGCTGATACAGTGTGCCACTTCCTGTTCTTACCCTTTTTTTGCTTGATCCTCGCTCGTCCTCACTCTTTCTTCCTCTTCATCTCCTTCCATCATCACATGTGTGTGTACCATGCGTGTGTGTGAGTATTCGATTCTGGTCATCCCAGGGTGGCGCACCATGCTGGTGGTCCCTGAGCTTGTGCGAGAGATTCACGTGCTCAAGGCCACTCTCGACCTTCGCCAGGTGACTTGCTGCCTCTGCCTCCCACCTCTCCGTCTGTTGTGTGTGAATGTGTGTGTGTGCATGGGTCATCCCAGGGTGGCGCACCATGCTAGTGGTCCCTGAGCTCGTGCGAGAGATTCATGTGCTCAAGGCCACTCTCGACCTTCGCCAGGTGACTGTGTGTGAATGGGTGTGTGTGTGGGTCATCCCAGGGTGGCGCACCATAACGCACCTGTTACCATGCTAGTGGTCCCTGAGCTCGTGTGAGAGATTCATGTGCTCAAGGCCACTCTCGACCTTCGCCAGGTCAGATGCTGCTCTCTGCTCTCTGCTCTCTGTTCTCTGCTCTCTGTTCTCTGCTCTCTGCTCTCTGCTCTCTGCTCTCTGCTCTCTGCTCTCTGCTCTCTGCTCTCTGTTCTCTGCTCTCTGTTCTCTGCTCTCTGCTCTCTGCTCTCTGCTCTCTGCTCTCTGTTCTCTGCTCGCTGCTCGCTGCTCTCTGCTCTCTGCTCTCTGCTCTCTGCCCTCTGCTCTCTGCTCTCTGCTCTCTGCTCTCTGCTCTCTGCTCTCTGCTCTCTGCTCTCTGCTCTCTGCTGATTTGCGTATAAATGACTTTGTTTTGGACAAATCTGGCTTTCTCAATCGCACACACTATGCTGCATAGCGTCCTTCACACTTGCGCGCAGTAATGAGGAGGGAGGAACTCGTCCACCTCCCCTTCCATACACTGCACTGCACCCATGCTGCTCCGTCCTTGCTCAACCCCCTCTTCCGTTTCTTCTATCAACTGTTTGTTTCTGTTCCATGCACGTCCCTGCATTTTGAGGCGCCTCAAAATACACCTCACTGCTCGCGGGACTCGTCCACCTCCCCTTCCATACACTGCACTGCACCCATGCTGCTCCATCCTGGCTGAACCCCCTCTTCCGTTTCTTCTATTAACTGTCTGTTTCTGTTCCATGCGCGTCCCTGCGTTGTGAACAATCCACCCCTCCCTACTCTGCCCGTGATCTCTATCTGTGAGAGCAGGCGTTTCATGACCTGCGGCATCGGATCGACTCTCTGGATGATGCCATGCAACGACTTCACAAACAGAACTAAATAAGCATCCACCCCTCCCCATTGCCCCTGATCTCTATCTGTGAGAGCAGGCGTTTCATGACCTGCGGCATCGGATCGACTCTCTGGATGATGCCATGCAACGACTCAGCTGGGCCATCAGGTGACACGCCCTGCCATGCCATTCCACGCAATGCCATGCCATGCCATGCCATGACATGACATGTCTTTACTCTCTGGTGACGTATATGTTGCCATCTACCCCATAGCGAGTCATTCCGTGCCACAAATAGCCATTCCATGCATGCCTACAGAATGATTATCCGGCCCATGCCGATGCCGTATTGTGCCAATCCGTGCTGCAACCCCTCGCCTCTGTCTGTGCCATGCCATCTCATTCAAAGCACATTCACATTGTGGCACGGCACCCCATTGTTGGATGCTCTTTGCTTGCCGACGCATGTGTGGTTGCTTGCGTGTTGGACCCTACCCTGCATGGATGCACCCGGTTGTGGGCTGCAGGTTTGAGAGAATGGACGAGGAGAAGAGGCAGCAGGCGGAGCAGGAAATGGTGTCCCTGCAGGTAGGGCTGTGTGCGGCCATGGGGGGTGCGCCAACAGGGGGTGCAGCCATTTTAGGGAGGAAGTAAACGATGCAGCCTCTTGAAGATTTCAGCATTGAGAGGAGCTGGCTAGAATCCCGACTCAAAACACTATTGGCCAACTCCACTAAATGCGATTTGAGAGTTTCCCCTGAGGCTTGGAATCAGGGAGCCTGAACCGAGCTGAACCGAGTCATGCAGCTTCAGAACTGTGCGCTGTGCATGCTACTTATTGGTCGGCTTCAATCCAGAGTTTGGGTTGGGTGTGTGTATCATGTCATGTCATCGCATGCCAAAGATCTCGGGCACTGTCGTCTCTAGTTACAGAGGGGCAGAAAGAGCTGTAGACCCTCCCTGTGTCCTTGTGATGGTGCCGGTGTCATTAGGGTGTCTGAATCTGTGAAAGTTTTAGAGTTTCATGTCGGTGCCTTGTCGACTCTACAGTGCCGTGTCATGCCATGCACAGGTGCCTGTGTGTGTCTCTCTCTCTCACTCACCCTCACTCATTCGCTATTTTTCGTCCCATCAATGAGCAGGCTCAAAGGGAGGCAGCAGGGGTGCAACGGCGTGAAACCATGCAGCGATGGCACAAACAAGTGAGTTCAGGAATGCACCAACCGTGCAGACATGGCACTTCAACATGTCCCCGCTCCAGGCTCTCCTATTCCGACCACAGTTTCTTTCCTTCTCCTCTCAGGACATCCTGTCCACCCCCTTCCCTCTCTGCCCTCGGCTACTCCTTTGCTGGCTTCTACAGTCCACCACATATAGCATATGATGTCATTCCATTTTACGTTCGAATATGTTTATATAATGCTCCCTGCTTTCCCCCTTCACACCCGCCCTCCGCATGGCATCTGGCTTGCATGATGTGTGCACAGTTCCACCCAGTGTGGGGCCAGTTGATGAAGACAGGATACCAGAATTCCCGCTTTGCTCACCAGGTCCGCTCCTCCTGCTCTGCCTTGAGCCTTTGTGTGTTTGTTGTTTTTCCCTGCCCGCTCTTTGGAGAGTGCCAGGCATTGACATCTGGGTGGTTCTCACACTGCCTTCCTCCCGCTCCCTCCTGGCTTTCGTTCTTTTGTGACTGGCCTGGTTGTGACGGTGGTTGTGTGTGTTTGCATTTTCTGACATCGACCCTTCGCTTCTCTTATCTCCCATGCGTCCAATATTCTCTGTTTGTCATGACACAGGTTGAGCGTTTTGCTTGCTTGTACACCAGCCATGTTACCAACCTAGGCTATTATTCGCCGGACAAGAGTTACCGCACATGCGAAGACTTCATGCCGCATGAGCTAGACATTCTTGACATTTGATGGAAACGGGATGTTCTTGCTGTCAAGTGGCCAAACAAAAGTGAAGGAACGCATGACAGCTTTCTTTTTTCCGTGTGTAATGTCATCGATGCCCTATAACATGTCATTGCATTTGAAAGTAAATATGTATTTTGGCATGCGTATGCACTTGGTTAAACCATGATATGTATATCAATGCCGGTGTTATCGTAGCGGAGATTCAATCAAACTTTCTTCACAATCTCAAAGCTCGCTGATCTCAGTTTTCTCCCCACGTCGCGCATGGGATCTGTAGTGCTGACCGTCCAATATTTCCCACCACTATTGGATTCCATCAATCTAGGAGTGATGGGGGCACCCAGATTCGTGGTGTTCGTGTTATTTGTATATAAAAGATAGAGAGATTCTTAGTACATGCAGCACTAATGCAGGGAGCTATTGGGCCGATTACACCCCAAAAAATGCATATTATGATAAATAGCGTTTACGTACTACCCGGAGAACTAAAGGGGAATTAGTGCTGAGACAAATTGCTGGCGCAGCGCTGAGATGCCTTCCCAACCCGCTTCTCGAAGCATGATTTCAGCCGTCGGATCAAGTGATCTGAGGATCCTGCTGCTTCTTACCCATCTCCACCCTCCATCCCATCCCATCAACTCTTCCCTCTCACCCCCACCTTTCCCTCTTCAGTAGATTCTACTCCCCCTTTCTTTTCGCTCTTCAGTTGACTTCTGATCTAACTTCGAGATACTTCAGGGAACTACGCTGATCCGCGGGCTTCCGCACATCTTTAGTCCACTGGTCTCAGATTCGTCGTTCCTGAGCCCCGGCCGCGCCGATTAGGATTAATATTCTGTTTGTGCGGCTGAGTTACTCTGGCCTTGCAGCTGAGGGTGTTTCTCGCGGGTTCTTTCTAGGGGGACTTGGACGATAGAGAATCGCGTTTGACCGCTTTCGTTATCAGTCCACCATGTTGGGGGAGATCCTGAGCGTTCAGCCTGGGGAGTTGAAATTCCCATGTGAGTATGTCGCTTACGCGATTCTATCTTGATAGAATGTGTATGTCGCTACGAACGGCATGTTTCGTCTGCCACAGGTAGTAATATGCGCCGTAGAGTTCTAAGCTACTTCAGGTACAGCTATTTCAGCGATCCCCGTGTTTCCAGTACGTACGTGTATTTCCGTTTCTGCCGCACTTCAAGTCGCGATGGTCAGTATTGGAAGGATGTTTTTCTTTTGTTGATCTTTCTACCTATTATCTTTCCCGATCAGCGACGCGCGTCTTATGGCAGCGGAGTTTCGGCTCTATCTAAGCGATCCGCGTTGTCCGGACTGTTTCTTCGCGAGATTCGCGTTACTTCGTAAACGATCTGTGTATTTGTGCACTCAACCTATTGCCGTGCATTCTCTATCGCGTCATCTGTGCAGTCGAGCTCCGGAAACAAGTCTCAACGTCCCTCCGACTGGTGAACGTCACTTCGGAATATGTCGCCTTCAAGGTGCGTTGCACTAGCAACCACGGGCACTCACTGCACTCCACGTCATCTCGTCCCTTTCCGCGGCTATCGCTGTTCACTTTCCCGTGCTGTTCTGGCAGATCTGTCTCACTCAGTCCCCCCGTTGCACTTTTCCATTGTTTTCCCTCTGCCTCCTTCCCTCCTGCTGCCTTCCTCCGTTTTTACCCCCTGTTCTCCCTCTCAGGTTAAAACGACATCCCCTAAAAAGTACTGCGTGCGGCCCAACACGGGTCTGGTCCCCCCTCAAAGTAGCGCGGAGGTCGTCGGTACGTATCCCCCCATCCTAGCCCTCCCTCAAACATCTCTCACGTGCTACTATCGCTGTTCCTTAGGAGCCTCAAGAACGTGCTTCTGGCTACCGTTGCTGTCGGCTCATCGTGTGTTCTCCATCGTCGCTTCTTCCCAGCCGTTCGATCGGCGATAGCTCCTACCGTGTGCTTATTGGCGCGTGTGGCTTATTCGCGTGTGGCTCTGTCCGTTTCTTTTGGTATTGATTGCGTAAACGCGCTGCAGTGACGATGCAAGCGCAGAAGGAGATGCCGGCGGACCTGCAATGCAAGGACAAGTTCCTCGTCCAGAGCGTGCTCGTGCCGGGGGGAGCTCCCAAGGAAACCACGCAAGACTTCGTACGTTGCTCCTTGTTGCTCATCCCGTGCGGTGCCGCCTCATTTATGCGTGGTCGGGAAAGCGATCGTTCCTTCCAGTCGTCGTCATTCAGTCTGCTCCTCGTCCTGCTTCCATTGTTGCACAAGGGTCCTCCATGCACAAGGGTCCTCCATGTCCTCCATTGATTGTTTCCTTTTTCTTTGTTTACGCGAATCGCTGCGGATTGACGGGCTTGCATGCAGTTTAACAAGGAGAACGGCCGGGAGGTTCACGAGGTGAAATTGCGGGTGATCTACGTGGCGCCACCTCAGCCGCCCTCTCCGGTGGCTGAGTCAGCAGAAGAGGGTGTCATTTCGCCCAGCCCCTTCCCCACCAGCACCAAGGGCCTCACCCCCGCTGATCCTGTACGTTCGGTTGCTGCCTTTCCAGAATTGTGTTGCTTCATCTTTAGCTTCGTTCTTTGTTTCCCCTGCAACCCTCTCTGCTTCATGCGTCGTGTAGATTGTCTCTTTCTTCGCCCACCCTGATGTCACCCAACCTCTCTCTCCCTCCCCCCCTTCCTGCCTCTCATAAAAAAGTACTTTGTCGCTTTTTCGTTCTCTCCCCGCCCCCTTTCGGTCTTCCACACACACACACACACACACACACACACACACACACACACACACACACACACACACACACACACGAAGAAGCGCACATTCACTGAAACCAGCTATGCGCATGCACTTCGTGATTGCACGCACCTTGTTGAGCGTTGCAGCATTGTCACTCGTCTACTGTGTGCTCTTTCCCCTGGGGGCGTATCAACGATTTTCCTTCCCCTGCGCTCGGAATTCGCTGTGCCTGATATTCTGTAATGCAGAGTGCAAAGGACGTGGTGGAGCTCAAGGCAAAGCTTACAGAGGTATGTGCCATATCGTTCATCTCTTACTGCTGCTCTGCACTTCTTCCCACCACCCCCCAACCCAACCACCAACCCCCCCCTTCCCCCCCCCCCTTTTGTGCCCTCCCTTACTCCCCTCCCACCCACCCACCCACACAACGCCATCCAGTTGTCCCCCAAAACCCTTGCCCGTTTCCCTATTTTCTTCCGCATTCATCGTTCTTGCACCCGCTAATTGTGCCATTATGCTTATTCGATTTAGTTGGTCGTCCCTGGGTCCACCACTCAAAACACACACTCTTTCTGTCCCGTGGTGCTTACAACTCTACATCAGGCCAAGTCTGCTCTTACGCAAGCCACGGACGATCGCAACAATGCAGTGCGGGAGGTGCAACGCCTCAAGGTCAGTGCTGCTTGCTGATCTTGTGCTTTCCCACAATTAGGGTTGGCGGAATTTTGATGGCTCCACTAATTGTAAGTGTGCGGATAGGAACAAGGCAGAGACGGCAGGATGCTTTTTCCGCGCCGTTTTTGCTGAAACTTTCTGAAGTGGATTTGATTGTGAGTCGTTTCGAGTCATTTGCTCAAATCAGCCCTAGGCATCTCGTGTGCTCACTTCCCTTCCTTCCATTCCCCATCTGTTTCCACTCTGTACCTTTCCAGAGCAATTTGTCTGGGCAGGGTCAGGGAAAGCAGGGTGGCGGCGGATTCTCCTTCATGACTCTACTCGTGGTGGCCCTTATCTTCTTCCTCCTCGGTTTCCTTGGAGCCAAGGGCATTCTGCCGCTGCCTGGCCTCTCCCCTGCTGGCTCAGGAGGCGAGCTATGAGCTATGAGCTACGAGCACCGGGGTTTGTGTGTGGAAGCACGATAGAATCATGGAGCCTAAACTGTTAATCACAGGTGGTATAGAAGATACACATGTGCGCTATGCGTTATGTATGGGGTTTTGTGGTGCCTTATTTAGGGCTGAAGATGGTCTAGTTGCACGGAGGAAATGTAGTTTTTCGTAGTGGTTGGGTAGACTGGGTTATTTCACTGGCCTAATGGAGTCACCTATGTATACAGTGCCTAAAGTCGCTCAAGGTGTGGAAACATGGTCTGACCATAGTACCGTATCATATTACGTTGTGCCTCATTTCAAGTGTACCATTTGAGACAGTCGACGTCATTATTCAATTGCACGTGTATTATTTTGTACCGAAACGTCATCAAACGAATCACATTCGTCCACTCGCCTGCACTGGCATGCATGACACCACTCACAATACTAGCGCTGGCGTTGCAGTGACAACCTTGGTGTTGCATTCTGCAAACCACCTTGCGCTCCCTCATGCTCGCTCGCGGTTCCACCGTCGTGAATACGCTCCGCCGATCTCTCTCCTGCCATCATCGCCGGACCACCATGGACGTAGTTAGTCGCTCGCGTCTATACCTCACCATCCATACCCCCTCGCACGTGCGTCAGTTGCCGAATTCCACGGGCTCGTGTAAACCACTAGCGGGGGACCATTCAACGGCGCTGCGTGGAGCAGTTACTAATGGAATTCCGTTTCTCTCTGGAATTCGCGCAGGGTTTTGCGTAGGGCTGCTGCCACGTCAGACATATGTCGCCGCAGCTAGAACCGTCGGCCAGCGGCAGCTCGGCGCGCAGCAAAGCGCGCTGGGGGGGCTACGGTTGGCGGAAGGGATCCGCGCGCCACATGGGTGCGCGTACTCTAGTCGCAGCGGCGCATTCTCCGGCGCACGGTTTGCGCCCGCTGTCTGGATTGCGCGCGCTCAGGTATCTGGCGCGGAGGAAGCAGGCGCAACGTTGGCGGAAGAAGCGGAACTAGCGAATGGGGGAGCGGACGCGGGGGAAGGTGGACGCAGGCGGAACAGTCAGGGGAAGCCGCGAGGAGGAGCAGGAGCAGGGAACTGGCAAGAGGGGGAGGCGGAACAGTGGGTGCGCGCAGTGCAGGCGCGGGGGGGCAGCAGCGGGGAAGGTACCGTTGGCGGAGATCGGGTTGCGGGTACGCGGAAGCCGCGGAAGGGGGAGGAGCTGGAGCTGGTGTGCGATATCCTTGCGTTCAAAGTGAGCCGCTTTTGAATCCTCCACACCATTTTAAACCTCTCCAAACCCCTTCTAAAGCACTCAGCCTTTTCAAACACCCTGAAATTGCCGAAGCACTTCAAAACCCTTACATTACCTTTTCATTTTATTTTCTCCACCAACTCCGTGCACTAGTCTCTTCTGTGCTCCCACGCGAGAATGCCCGCTCAGCTAAAACCCCTGTAAACCCTCCACCTTCGCCTAAACCCCCCACCTTCGCCTCTCAGGGTTTGGGCGTGTGCCGCGTGCCTGAGAGCGGGTTTGTGGTGCTGTGCGAGCGCGCATTACCAGGGGAACGGCTGGTGGCTCGTATCGTCAAGGCCAAGCGACAGTATGCAGAGGTGAGGTGATTTGATTTTTGAGGCGCCTCAAAAAGAACGGCTGGTGCCTCGTATCGTGAAGGCCAAGCGGCAGTATGCAGAGGTGAGGTGATTCTGAAGAGGCGTCTCTTTCTAATCACAAGTGGTATGCACGGAAGATTTGGTTCTAAAGAGGTGCTTGTAGAGACGTAGTGACCTACGGGCCCATACATTCTGGCACATATTTCTCATGCTTGTTTTCCCCACTTCCCCTTCTTCCCTTGCACTCCGCTTTCCCCAGCTTTCCCACGTTCCGCCTTCCCCTGCTCCCCCTCTCCCCACTCCCCCTCCCCTCCCCTCTTCCCCCCCGTTCTCCCCCATTCCCCCCGCCCAGGCATACAAGGTGCGAGTGCTCTCGCCCCACGACCACGCCACAACCCCCCGCTGCCAGCACTTTGGGCACTGCGAGGGGGGGAGGGGGGGGGGGGGGGGGGGTTTGAGACGTCTCAAAACTCCCACTTTTCCTCCCCACTACCGCCCATTCCCCCCACCCTCAGGCGTACAAGGTGCGAGTGCTCTCGCCCCACGACCACGCCACCACCCCCCGCTGCCAGCACTTTGGGCACTGCGGGGGGTGCCGCCTGCAGAACCTGGAGTACGAGGCACAGCTGCGCATCAAGCAGCAGCAGGTGAGAGGGTTTGAGACGCCTCGAAAAGGGTTGGAGGAGTCGGGCTTGCAGGGCTGGTCCGTGCATGTCAGCCTTGCTCGCTTTTTTCTAGGCGCCTCAAAAGTAGATTTTTCTAGGCGCCTCAAAAGTATATTTTTTTAGGTGCCTCAAAGGTGAGGGGTTTTGACACGTCTCAAAATAGGGTTGGAGGAGTCGGGCTTGCAGGGCCGGTCCGTCTGTGCCAGGCTTGCTTGCAGCGCCGCTCCTCGATTGTTGCCACCGGCGTTTCTTCTGTCCTTTCTCTTCAATCATTGCGTCAACTAATTCTGTTCTCTCTGATTCTGTTTGCCCTTTCTTGCACGTGCGAATTTATGTGTGTGTGTGTGTGTGTGTGTGTGTGTGTGTGTGTGTGTGTGTGTGTGTGTGTGTGGTGGGGTGGGTGGGTGGGTGGGTGGTGGGTGCGTGCGTGCGTGTATGTGTGTGTGTGCGTGCGAGCGTGTGTGTATGTATACCAGGTAGCAGAGCTCATGGTTCGGGTGGGCAAGTTCACCCTAACGCCACCTCCTGATGCCCTGACCACAGCACCAACACCATCACCAGCAGCAGCAGAAGCACCAGCAGCAGCAGCAGAAGGAGAGGCAGAACCACCACAGGAGCAGCAGCAGCAAGCTGACGCTCCTGTGGAGCTAAGGGAAATTATAGGATGTGCCGAGTCGTACCATTATCGCAACAAGGCAAGATGTCTCCTAATCGTGCTCTATCCCACTCCTCGCCCCCCCCTCCTCGCTCGCTTTCTCCCCGAGTTTTTTTTTCCTCTCCATCTGTATCCCCCCGCGTACTCTATTCTTCTCCCCTTCTCTCCCGCCCACTCTCCCGTTCTCCACTCACTCTTCCACTGTTGCTCACTGCTCACCCACTTACCTATCCTCACTCTCAGTCACCCGCTCTTCTGCTCTTCCCATGCTCTCTCCACCGCTCTCACCCCTCAGATGGAGTTCTCTTTCAGCTCTCGTGTGTGGCTCCCCGCCACTTCGCATCATCCCACTCACCTTTCTCCCTTCCCATGCCCTCTCTCCCCATCCCTTTCATCCCGCAGATGGAGTTCTCTTTCAACTCCCGTGTGTGGCTCCCCCCTTCCGAAATGCCCGAGAAGCCCCCTCGTGTGCACACGGGAGGAGCAGCATCACCAGGAGCAGACGCAGCAGCAACAGTATCAGCAGTACCACCAGCAGCAACAGCACCGGATGTAGCAGCAGAAGCTGCAGAAGTCGCCACCGGAGAAAGCGGGAGCGAGAGTGAGGGGGAGGGAAGCAGAGAGCTGGGCGAGGAGGCTCAGGAGGGGCGGCAGAAGCAGAAGAAGAAGGGGCGGGGCGGGAGGGGTCCCAACGTGACCCCGAACCCGGGGGGCTTTGCCCTGGGCCTGCATGCTCCGCGGCGGTTTGACAAGGTGCTGCCGATCGAAGAGTGCCACCTGCAGCACCCCATCGCCAATGAGGTCAGTCAGACAGTTAGTTAGCCAGCCAATTGGTCAGTCAGATAGTCAGTTAGCCAGCCAATTGGTCAGTCAGTTAGTTAGTTAGCTTGGTCAGTCAGTTAGTTAGTTAGCTTGGTCAGTCAGTAAGTCGGCCGGTCGGTCCGTATAGAGGCGCCGCAGAAACGCACTCCCCGGAGATTTGATAAGGTGCTGCCGATAGAGTATTGCCACTTGCAGCACCCCACCGCCAATGAGGTTAGTCAGGCAGTCAGTGTGTCAGTCGATCAATTGGTTGGTCGGTCGGTCGGTCGGTCGGTTGGTTGGTTGGTTGGTCGGGTGATTTTGAATCATCTCTAAATCTATCGAACAGTGCCACCTGCAGCACCCCACCGCCAATGAGGTTAGTCGGGCAGTCAGTGCACCGCTAGTCAGTGGTCACTCGGTCCAGTTAACCAGTTAGCGAATGCGTTTGGTCAGCTAGCCGTTAGCCAGTCAGTAGGTTAGCCAGTCAGTAGGTTAGCCAGTCAGTAGGTTAGCCAGTCAGTAGGTTAGCCAGTCGGCAAGACAATCTGCCAGCAATGCCCCCCCCTGCTTTCCCCTTACTCCCCGCTGCTTCCCCCTGGTTTCTCTCCCTGCCCCATCTGCTTTCCCCGCTTCCCCCTCCCCTCCCCCCCTGCATGGCGTCATGGCAGATCCTAGCGCATGTGCGGCAGTGGAGTGAGCAGCACCAGTTTTGAGGCGCCTCAAAAGCTTTCCCCTCCCCTCCCCCCCCTGCATGGACCATGGCAGATCCTAGCGCATGTGCGGCAGTGGAGTGAGCAGCACCAGCATGTGCTACCACCATACGACCCCATCACCCATGAAGGCGTGCTCAGACACCTCGCCATCCGCAAGGGCCGGTGAGAGGATGGGTGGGTGGGTGGGTGGGTGACTGGCTGGGTGGGTGGGTGGGTGGGTGGGTGGGTGGGTGGGTGGGTGGGTGGGTGGGTGGGTGGGTGGGTGGGTGGGTGGGTGGGTGGGTGGGTGGGTGGGTGGGTGGGTGGGTGGGTGGGTGGGTGGGTGGGTGGGTGGGTGGGTAATATTCTGGGAAGAAGCGGCTGCCATGAGTTCAATGTGGTGCTAGTCACACAAAAGTGTCACCAAGACCAACTGCCTTCGACCAGGCTCTAACAAAACAATCATGTTCATGTGCCTGTGTGCGTGTGTGCGTGTGACGTGCCCCCACTGTGTGCACCCAGCGATGAGCTAACAGGAGAGGAGGAGTTTATGGTGGTGCTGGTCACAAAGACAGACTGTCCGGACCTCCTGCAACCCCTCGTTGACCACCTCTCCCACGCCTTCCCTCGTTTGGTATGTATGCACTCACTCTCTTTCAAGTGTGTTGTAAGCATTCTCATCTTTCTACTCACCCACCACGTTTTCTTCTTCTGTTTCTTCCTTTTTTAAGTTGGAACGTAGAACGAAGGCGAGAATGCTTACAACACATAGAGTGCTAAAATGTGACTGAACGAAGTGCTCTGAAGTGCCATTTGAGTTCAGTCACAGTTTAGCACTCTAGGGTGTTTTTGAGAATTCTCAAAAACACCCTGCAGTGTAGCACTCTATGTGTTGAAGCGCTCTGAAGCACTCGTGGAGGCCCTTGAAGCACTCAAACCCTTGAAGCCTTAGAACGGCTGCTGTTGTGTCGGCGTCACACCCCCTGACGACTCGCCGCGCTCTGCCCTTCTCTCTCCCCTTCCCCGTAACCCTCTTCTTCTCTCCTTTTCCCCATGCAAGTCAGTGTCATAATGACGGCAAAACCCCTCTCTCGCCCACGCCACATCCCCCAACGCCCTGAAGCGACTCCTGCTGGAGCTACGTGTAATCTGTTTTTGAGGCGCCTTAAAAAACAGACTCATGCTGAGACGCCGTGTAATCAGTGACACTCCACTTCTCCTCTACCCCTCTTTCCTCGTTCCCTCCACTCCACTCCCCATACAGGTCAGTGTCATAATGACGGTGAACCCGTCTCTTGCGGCACGGACGCCATTCCCCCCAACGCCCTGGATAAAGTGTGATCAGCTCTCCACTTCCGCTCTGCCCTTTCCCCTCCCCCTTCCCCCGTCCGGTCCCCCCTCCTCTCCACCACAGGTCAGTTTCATAATGACTGTAAATCCCTCTGGCGGACGTCACACCCCCCAACGCCTTGGAGAGCGCCTGCTGCTGGGGCAGCGGGTGATCAGCGACACTCCACTTCCCCTCTTCCCCTCTTTCCTCATTCCCTCCCCTCCCCATACAGGTCAGTTTCATAATGACTGTAAATCCCTCTCTGGCGGACGTCACTCCCCCCAACGCCCTGGAGCGGCTGCTGCTAGGGCGGCGGGTGATCAGCGACTCGCTGCACTTTGACATCTCAGCCGCCTCCTTCTTCCAGACCAACTCCGACCAGGTCTGTGTCCCCTGCATGCCTGCCTGCCACCCGCCTACCTGCTCGCCTGCCCGGTTTTTTAGGTGCCTAAAAGGGACCACTGCCCGCCTGCTGTTTTCTTGCTTGCTTGCCTTAAATCTGTTGCTTAAAAAAAAAATCATTTTGTTTGGTACTTTCCATAAGTTTGTTTGCTCACGTATAAGAGTGTCGTGTAACCGTTTGTTCGCCTACTGTGTCCCTCCTCTTGCTGAATTTGTGTCAAATGAACTACTCCGCACCTTTTCTCTCCCATTCCCATCTTCCTCATCTCGCGCAGGCGGAGGTGCTGTATGGGCTGGTGGAGCAGGCGTGTGTGCTCAACGGCGACAGCAGCGAGCACCTCCCTGCTTTTGTTTCAACTCTACGAGTTATCCCCTTTTTGTCCCATTTCTCGTGCCGCTCCTCATCTCTCTCATCCCCCACAGGCGGAGGTGCTGTATGGGCTGGTGGAGCAGGCGTGTGTGCTCAACTCAACGGCGACAGCAGCGAGCTCCTCCCTGCTTTTGTTTCAACTCTACGAGTTATCCCCTTTTTGTCCCATTTCTCGTGCCCCTCGTCATCTCTCATCTCGCACAGGCGGAGGTGTTATACAAGCTAGTGGAGCAGGCGTGTGCGCTCAAGGGCGACGGCAGCGAGCTGCTGCTTGCTTTTGTATCACCTGTACGAATCCTCCTCCATGTCCCGTGTCCCGCGGCCCCCCATCTCGCACAGGCGGAGGTGTTATAAGAGCTGGTGGAGCAGGCGTGTACGCTCAAAGGAGACGGCAGTGAGCTGCTGCTTGACCTCTTCTGTGGCACCGGCACCATTGGCCTCTCGTTGGCCTCCCGGTGAGCTGCTTTGCCCTCCGTGTGCTTGCTGCTAGCTGCCGCTGCGGGGGAGAGGCACCAACACCATGGCAGAGCAAGTTGCTGCTGGACCTCGTCTGTGGCACCGGCACCATTGGCCTCTCGTTGGCCTCCCGGTGAGTGCGCTGCCATGGATCTTAAAACACTGCCAGGCGGACTGCTGCTGGATCTGTTCCGTGGCACCGGCACCATTGGGCTTTCTTTAGCCTCCCGGTGAGCTGCTTGGCCTTCCATGTGCTTGCTGCTGCGGCTGCTGGGAAGACGCAGCAACTGCATGGTAGTGTGAGCTGCTGCTGGACCTCTTCTGTGGCACCGGCACCATCGGCCTCTCCCTGGCCTCCCGGTAAGTGTGCTGCCATGGATCTTAAAACACTGCCAGGCGGACTGCTGCTGGATCTGTTCTGTGGCACCGGCACCATCGGGCTCTCCCTGGCCTCCAGGAGAGTTGCTTGGCCTTCCGTGCGCTTGCTGCTAGCTGCGGCTGCTGGAAAGACGCACCAACTGCATGGCAGTGTGAGCTGCTGCTGGATCTGTTCTGTGGCACCGGCACCATCGGGCTTTCTTTAGCCTCACGGTGAGTGTTGTGTTGCCATGCGACCATCAAGAGCACGTGCCTGTGCGCTTGCTGCTGCAATGCATACTCTGTACCGCTCACATGCGCAATGCACACCCTCTCCCCTCCCCTCCACCCACCCACCCACCGTCCAATCAGAGTGCGCCACGTGTACGGGTTCGAGCTGGTGCCAGAGGCGATAGCAGACGCGCGTCGCAATGCGGACCGCAACGGCATCACCAACGCCACCTTCCTCACAGTCGACCTCAACAAGGCGCTGCCCACCCTGCCCAGCACTGCTGCTGCTGCCTCTGGAAATGGCAGACCCGATGTGATCATCACAGGTATGACTTGAGTGCATGCGTCAGAAGAATCATGTCACAGACCCAACGCCACCTTCCTCACAGTCGACCTCAACAAGGCACTGCCCACCCTGCCCAGCGCTGCTGCTGCTGCTGGGGAGAGCAGGCCTGATGTCATCATCACAGGTACGTACGCCCCTGTAGATGCTTCGACAAAGCTTTGCAGAAAGCGCGGACCGCAACGGCATCACCAACGCTACTTTCCTCACAGTCGACCTCAACAAGGCGCTGCCCACCCTGCCCAGCGCTGCTGCTGAAAAGAGCAGACCCGATGTGATCATCACAGGTACGACCTTAGGAGACTTTTGAATGCATCGCAGCCCCAATGGCATCACCAGTGCGTCGTTCCTCACAGTCGGCCCAACAACCCACCCTGCCCCCCCAACTCTGCGGCGGCTGCTGCTGCTGCTGCTTCTGGAAATGGCAGACCTGATGTGATCATCACAGGTATGACTTGAGTCAGTCAGGTATGCGTCAGAATCATGTCACAGACCCAATGCCACGTTCCTCACAGTCGGCCTCAACAACCCACCCTGGCCAACTCTGCTGCTGCTGCTGCTGCTGCTGCTGCTGCTGCTGCTGCTGCTGCTGCTGCTGCTGCTGCTGCTGCTGCTTCTGGGTTTGGTAGACCTGATGTCATCGTCACCGGCGGGTACGAGCTGCAGGAGGCACAGAGGGGGGATCGAAAGGGGTGCTTTTGCTGGGATACTGGATGTGATGTTCATTGCTGCCTCTCATCACAGGCTCAGCTGGAGTGGGGAAGAAGAGAAGGAGGAGGGGAACAAGGGAGTGGGTCAGCTTGCAGTTGCAGCTGTTAGAGGCCTTCCGAGGGCTTCCAAGGGCTGTTAGAGGCCTTCTGAGTGCAGCAGCTCGTGTTCTCCCCCTCTTCTTCCCCACTCCCCCGTTCCCGCCGCCCGCTATCTCCCCCTCTCCTCCCCCTCTCCCTCCCCCCGTCGTCCATCAGACCCGAACCGGCCGGGCATGCACCCGAGGCTGCTGGAGCACATGGCGGAGGTGAGGGCATCGCGCATCGTCTACGTCTCCTGCAACCCCTCCTCCATGGCGCGCGACCTGCACGCACTCTGCCACCAACTGCCCGTGAGTCTGCTTCTTTTTGTCGCCTCAACTTCGTCTCCTGCAACCCCTCCTCCATGGCGCCCGACCTGCACGCGCTCTGCCACCAGCTGCCCGTGAGTCTGTCCGTTCCGCACGAGGATCTTCTGAGTCCAAAGGTCACCTAGTCAACTCAAAAGTCATCCTGTAACCCCTCTTCCATGGCGCGCGACCTACACGCGCTCTGCCACCAGCTCCTCGTGAGTCTGCTTCTTTTTGTCGCCTCAACTGTCTCCTGCAACCCCGCCTCCATGGCCCGCGACCTGCACGCACTCTGCCACCAGCTGCCTGTGAGTCCCTCCCTCTCGCACGAGTGTCTTTGGAGTTGTGGGTAGAGAGACAGATGCTTTGAGGCGCCTCAAAAGGTGCCAGCAACCCCGCCTCCATGCCCCGCGACCTGCACGCACTCTGTCACCAGCTGCCCGTGAGTCCCTCCCTCCCTCACGAGTTTCTGACCAGTTGTATATTACGTGTATCCCACGAATAGCTCTCACGTTGTACCTAACGATGATTCCACGATTGCCACCTGATTGGGTATCCTACTCACTCATGTGCGTCCCCTTGCATCCTCGCCACCACGGCATGGCTCGGGATCTCCATTTTCCACTCCGTATCCTCTGCAACCAGCTCTTTCATGCCATTGCCCCAATTGTCCCTCTGACTTTTCCTTTTCTCTGGTATCCTTCAACTCCCCTGACCATTGTTCGCTGCTCTCCTCTCCTCTCCTCTCCTCTCCTCTCCTCTCCTCTCCTCTCCTCTATTCTCCTCTCCTCTCCTCCGCTCCTCCTCTCCTCTCCTCTCATCTCCTCTCCTCTCTTCTCCTCTCCTCTCTTCTCCTCTCCTCTCTTCTCCTCTCTTCTCCTCTCCTCTCTTCTCCTCTCTTCTCTCCTCTCCTCTTCCCTCCTCTTCCCTCCTCTCATCTCCTCTCCTCCTTTCCTCTCCCCCTCAATTTCTCCTTTCTCCGCTCCACCTCTCTTCTCCGCTCCTCCTCTCCTCTCCTCTCCTCTCCTCTCCTCTTCTCTCCTCTCCTCTCCTTCCTCTGAACAGAGTGGTCGTCCGGGGCCGTACCGATTGGAGTGGATACAGCCTGTGGACATGTTTCCGCACACACCACACGTTGAATGCGTGGCTGCTCTTGCACTTAGATAGGCACTCACATGGTTGACTAGGCATGCTGGTTCACACTTCTGCGCATTTACTCGTGTATAATGAAACACACTCTGAAATTATCAATCTCACCTTCACTCACTAAAAGCAGACATGTGCTTGCGTCCTTCAGTAGCAGGTAATAAACCATATACCGAGCGCGCTTAGGAAGACCGTGAATATGACATGTAAAGCAAATTTCTTTTGGTGCTTGTTCTGTAATTATATTATAAAACTTCATGCTTTTGTTTTATATCTACAGTGAATTGCTCGGCAGCAATAGCACTTTATCGTTGGCCGCGTGGCGCTGGTGTTGTCTGTCGTCTATGTGGATGGCATTTGCTGCTTGTGTTTTCATCATTATGCATGACAGCCCACGTGTTAAGAACGGTGAGTATTCACTGCAAGGGAAGCCTACTCGGCCAGACCTCACTTCCCCTAAATTTCGGGTCTTTACCTGAGTTTATGAATGGAGGTGGGGATAGTGGATGTTCTTTCAACTCTAATTCCAATCAGGTTCACAATCACAAACTCCCAAGGTATATGACAATACCCTCACCACCTGTGGCTTCTCAGAAAGATTCTTGGGTTCAGGGGAGAATCGCTGAATGATGCTGAACGAAGCTGGGCTGGAAAAAAACCTCACTCATTTGGGGTTCTCTCTCTACTCCTCAAGCCCTCTCAAACGCATGTTTGAGACCATGAGTCGCTCACGGTCAGATACAGACCGCCCGCGAATGCGCCACTCGGACTCTCTTAAAGCCCAAGACCCGAACTGCAAAAAATGAAGGCAAACTCTGCACAGTTTGCCTCCCGCAGCCCACAGTTTTGCCCCGTGTTGACTTGCGTTGATAAATTCAGGTTTTGGGCTTTAAACTGGGTTTCTAGGTTGTGTACTCCTGTAATAGAGTCGTACAGCTGCCCAGTCCAACTTTTGCAAACTCGCAAGGCACACCCAGGCCGACAAGTTGACCACACCCACACGCAAGCCCAGAACGTAAAAAATGTACACCTTCTGCCTGAGGGGTCAACGTCGACTCTCACGTCACCATCCGTAAGAATTGGAGAGCACTTGACCCGCTTTTCTCGATTTGTGCAATCATGTTTTCCAGAAAATAGGATATTCGGCAGGGACAATGTTTTGACAGGAAATCATGGTACTTGCCCGTAAGACTGTTCAGTGTGAAAGGTTTCCTTGAAACTGTGTCCTGCCGTTCCTCTCCGCACCGCAGCCAGCTTGGCTTGCAATGCAATACAGCCAAACCACTCCACCAACCATCTTCAGTTGGTCCCTGGTTTTGCGTTGTGCGCGATTCTACCACATCCGTTGCTACTTTCGCAATGTGTTCGCCAGCTTGAGAATGCTTTAGCATTTGTTCGCCAGCTTGAGAATGCTTTAGCATTTGTTCGCCAGCTTGAGAATGCTTTACTCTAGCATTTTTTCGCCTGCTTGAGAATGCTTTCGTCTGATTTCGACCGGTCCCACTTCAGGACCTTGCTCCACTGGGCTCGTGTGGATTCCTCCAAACCAGCAGACACGCTTCACCAGCAGCAATTTGAACCGACAAGCCTGATTGTTGTATCCCAGTGTCTCCCACGCCTAGATACTACAGACAACTCGATTGCCAAAACCACCGCCAAATCGATCGTCCATACTCCTCTCGCTCTCGTCCTACTAAGCTGAGAAATATTCTCATGGTCCCTAGGATTTATTGCATGCCTCTCAGGCAAGAAGAACCATGTTGGCCGGTAACGTATCTCCTTGTCACGCCGATACCTCCAGTCGGGCAAAGAACTTCAGCAGAATGTAGTCCTTCTCACGGCGGCAGTCGGGAATCCATGGGCCTAATCTCGCACTCGCAAACGGTGTCCAGGCTTCCACCAAGTGGGATTAGTAGTAGGCACGGGGCGGCGAAACGCCAAAAAGGACCAATTCGCCAGCAGTCGGTTGAATCAGAGCAGTCGCTTCTTGCGAGCGAAGCGCCTGTAAAAGGAAACGCTAGACTTTCGTTTGGAAGGCAAGAACAGTCAAACGATGGTGAATTGGACCAGTATTGCCAGCAACGGCAGCAACCGCAGCAGCAGGAGCAGCAGCAGCAGCGTCAGCAGCAACAACAGCAACCGCAACAGCAGCAGCAGCAGCCGTTTCGGCCCCTGTCAGCTGGATACTCTCGTCCCGCGAGTAGTCCTACTCAGCAACGCCATGGAGCCGCCGAGTTAGCCGTTAGCGTATCTCCATATCACGCCAACACCGCCACCGCCATTAACTCTGTCAGTTTCGATGGCTCTGGCTCTGTTTCAGGCGCCGCATCCAGCGGTACTCTGCTAAGAACCGATTCGAACGTTGCTACTGATTCGAACTGCCCGCGCCCCGCAAACGAGCTCCGAGGGCAGGAAAAGCGTCGAAGCCTGGTCTTTCGTTCCCCGCGTTTCCCTATCCTCTGTCCCAATCCCCCCGACAAATCGTCGACTCAGCGCAACCGTCTATCCGCAAGCCAAGCCGCTCCCCCACCCACCGGGTTCCTTCGCGCTTCTCCCCCTCCCCGCGCGCCTCCCCGCGCGCTACCGTTTGCGACACCCCGCGTGCTACCGTTTGCGCCACCCCGCGCGCCACCCCGCCCGGGACACCGCTTGCGGTCCCCGTGGGTCGGGCGCCCGGAAGTAACGACGATTTCTTGGCAAATAGTAATTGTGCCGTCGCGGGGTTGAACCCGCGACTGTTGCTGTCGCGAGGAGCCGGGTCGCAGTTGCTACATCCGTCGTCGTCGATTAGCCGAATCTGGACCCAACCGCGAGCTGAGTTAAGTCTCCTTACTTCTCGGAGCAGCGACGCGGCCGTTTCCGGGAGAAGCGGCGCTTCCTCCGGGGCGCATCGGGGAGCGGAAGGATGCGGGGGAAGGGCGGGTCGCAGTGGGACAGGGTCGGCGCGCGGAAGTGGCGAGCGGGTGGGGGATAAGCGGCGCAAGAAGCGCGATCTCGACGTGGAAATGCGCAGGCTAGGAGTGGGGCGCGCGCAATTGGAACGAAGGGAACACGGGGAGGGGGAGGTTAGAAGCCAAGGGGATGCGGGTGCCGGGCCCTGTGAGCGGAGTGAGCGCGGCGGAGGTTCTTCTCCGAGGGGCCTTGGGGCTTCCGCGCATCCGCGCGCGCGCGTCCCTCCCGCGCATGTTTCCGCCACCCGCGGGTCCGCCATGCAAGTTTCCGCCATGTTCTGGGAGGCCCTGCTAGGCGGCGGAGGCACGGCGGAAGGCGCTGGGGGGATGGGCGGAAACGGCGGATTCCATAAGGGGGGAGGCGCGGAGGGGGAAGATCCACTGGGGGGAGTGGAGGGGAGAAGCGGGGCGTACGGCGGGCGAGGGTGCGAGGAGGAAGAGTGTGAGGAAAGAGCACGTGGAAAGAGAGTGTGTGGAGGAGGCATGGCGGAGAGATTTGTGCAGGATGCGGAAAAGGAAGGGTGGATGGTAATCGGCGGAGTGGGAGCGGGTGGGCGTGTGGTTGGGGGTGTGGGTGGCGTGGATGATGATGTGGGGTCATGCACACCAAGATGGAGGAGGCAGAGGCAAAAAGAATCCATTACGACGGGTGGAGCAGCGGTGGCAACAGGCAGGGGAGTCACGGTGGTGAGAGGGAGACGAGCGGACGCAGCGACTGCACGAGCGGTGGGTTCTGAGACTCCTCGAATGGCAGCCGCGGCCTTGGAAGATTCTCTGAAAGCTGCTGGGTTAGTCCGCAGAGCAGGGAGGGGTGAGGCTGTTTTTGAGTTGACTCAAAAACAGGCAGCCGCAGCCTTGGAAGATTCTGTGAAAGCTGCTGGGTTAGGCCGCAGAGCAGGGCGGGGTGAGGCCAGGGGCTTGGACGCGGGAGAGGATGAGGGAGGAGGCAGAGGTGGGAATAGGAGCAGTGGGGTTGCAAGGTTCTTGTCTCGGGAAGTGATGACAGATGCGAGTGGGATGGCTGCAACAGCACAAGGAGAGCAGGGGGGTGGAGGAGGCAGGGCTGCTGCTGCTGCTGCTGCTGCTGCTGCTGCTGCTGCTGCTGCTGCTGCTGCTGCTGCTGCTGCTGCTGCTGCTGCTGCTGCTGCTGCTGCTGCTGCTGCTGCTGCTGCTGCTGCTGGTGCTGACGTGGCGCTTGGTCAGGCATGGCAGGCGTGGGCGGATGACTGTGCTGAGACGATAGCCATGGCCTGAGGCTGAGTCGCCATGATCAGCCGTGCACTACGATTGTTAGCTGCTTTGGTGCACTATGCCTGAAGCACGGTACAGTGCGGTGGGAAGAGGTGCTGGTAGGGAGGGGAGGGAGAGTCATGGTCATGGATCATGGTGGTGGTGGGTTTGGAAATTGGAATGGAACAGAGCAAGCCTGTCGCTCTCTTCCTGCCTTGGTACCTAGGTACGCCCAGCTGAGCACTGATTATGTTTGTATGAGGTGTATTTGTATATACGTACCTATTTGGAGCACTCATGTTGGACTCACAGTCTCAGTACCCGTAGCTACAGTACCAGCATTTATCTTTCATCCACACGTACAAAGAAGCAACATGATCAGATCTCTTGGTTTCAGCTTCTGGGGTGCATGGATAGAGATACCGGTAGATCGGTGTTCCTCCCCCCCCCCACCTACCCCCCCCTGGGATTGCAATTTTGCAACCTCGATTCTGCATTTTCCCTCACCTCATTGTACAATATCCTAGGTATTCCATCTCATGCACCTCAATTTGTGTTACCTCCTGCATGAAGTGCCCACTTCTCCCACCGCCATACTGTTATAACGATCCCTCCGCCTGTCCCAACCAAACAAAGCTTCAGGGTTGTTCTGTAACTCATACCTATTGCTGCAACGCAGTGCGTGCATGTCTGCCTCTTGTGAATGCTGCAATTCAAGCAGGCCGACGAGCTTTTCTTGGTGGGGTATCATTAATTATAGCAGAGTCATAAATAAATATGTAAATGTTGCCAGAAGTAGTCTAGATAATATTCTGGCAAAAAATACCGGCTCAAAGTTACCCAGTATACGCACAGAGCAATCATGCAATGGCCTCTCAAAGCAGGCAAAACAATAACAATGCAGCTGTGTGAGGGTGCGTGTGGTGGAGGCCAGAAAAATGACCACATGAGTGGATATGGAATGGAATGTGCTCATGTCATGTCATGTGATGTGATGTGACCATATCTACTGTGGGGTTGCCTGGTGCACGAGGCGAGGATGGGCGTGGATGGGTATGAAAGGGTACCGAAGGGTACCATATGGAAGGGTACGGAAGGGTATGCATGGGTACGGGTGGATATGGTTAGGTATGAATGGGTGCCATGCAGTACCATCCCTGGCCGGCCATCCATGGTGTGTGTCAAAGCCTTAGCGAGTCGAGACTAATACGATCCTTGGGAGCGAGGCAGGTATGCAGAGGAGGAGGAGAGAGAGCCGTTTGGCAGGCCCAGTAGCTTCAGCCCTTGCCCACTGCTTACCCTCCTCTCACTCATTCCTCCCCACTGCTGTTGCCCCTGCCACTGCATGTCCCCCTCCCCCTGCCCCTGCCTCTGCCCTTGTTCATTCCCTAGCTGCTGCCCCACCTCCGCCTCCTGCTGCTGCTGCTGCAGCTGCTGTTGCAGCTCTAGCAGTCGCAATCTCTCGTACAATCCTGCTGTTGCTGGTGCTGCAGCATCTAGGGACGATGTGCCTGCCGCTGCTTCTGCTGCTGCTGCTGCTGCCATGGTGGCATGTGGATGGATCTTCATACTGTCTGTGCTCACACCACTCAAGACCATAAATGTGCCTGCACTTGCACCAGCACTTGCACCAGCACCAGCACCAGCACTAGCAGTAGCAGCACTAGATGGAGCAGCAGCTTCGAGAGAGGCGCGTGCAACAGCAGCAGCAGAAAGAGTGGCAGATGACAAAGAGACATGGAGATTTTCAGTGGAGGCAGAAACAGCAGCAGCAGTATCTGCTGCATCAGAACCACCCGCAGAAGCAGACCCACTACCATTAGCACCAGCTGCAGCACCAACCGCTGTAGACCCACCAGCACCAGCACCAGCACCAGCACCAGCACCAGCCGCACCAGCAGCGGCACCAGCAGCGCCACCGGCACCGGCACCAGCAGCAGCACCAGCAGCAGCGGCGGCGGCGGCAGCAGCGGCAGCGATGGAAGGGTCTTTGGCAGCCATGGCAGCAGCGCGTGCAGCAGCCTCTGCCGGCGGGGGATGGTCGAACTTGCATGTGGCTCCGTAGCGACACGTGCCCGTCTGGATTGGGGGGGAGGGGCGGTGGGGGGGAAGAGGGCGGAGGGGGGAAGAGGTTGGAAGGCAGGGGGAGAAGGAGGTCTGAGACGTCTAAGAGATTGACACCATAGCGACGCGTGCAGCAGCCTCTGCTGGCGGGGGATGGTCGAACTTGCATGTGGCTCCGTAGCGACACGTGCCCGTCTGGATTGGGAGGGAGGGGCGGTGGGGGGAAGACGAGGGGAGAGCGGGGAGAGAGGGGAGGGATGGGGGAAAGGGGGCGAGCGGGAGGTGGATGAAAAAAAAAATGAGATAAGGGTTTGAGAGAAGCCTGTGAGAAGCATGCAGCTGCAAAGTTATGCAAAGTTATGGCACTCGTGTGAGTGGCAGGTGACAGGCACAATGGGCAACGATAAGACGGGAGCGTACATGTCTTTGTCCTTAGAACCCCGCCTATGTTAGGAGCGCCTAAATGAACAGACTTCGTAACCAAAGTGGAGCATGTGGGAGCATTTGGGAGAGAGGAGCACGCAGGATTGAGGACCGTGCAGAAGAAAGAGACGAAGAGGGAAGACGGAGAGATGAGAGGAAGAGAGGAGAGGAAGAGAGGGCTTACTTTCATGTAATACGCGCAGGCAATTTCATTCTGCCACATGTAATCGGGAAGGGATGGCACCACCAGGGGGGATGGGGGAAGTAGGGGGACGATGGAGGAAGGACGAGGGGAGGATGAGGGAAAGAGAACAGGAGACTGCGTAGCAAAGCGTCTTAAACGTCGTAAAACGAGCCCTGTTTCTTCTCAAAACAGGCTAAATGCACACACTACGAGGACTGGCGGCACGCACGCACGCACGCACGCACGCACGCACGCACGCACGCACGCACGCACGCACGCACGCACGCACGCACGCACATGGCCTAGCAACTTCAGACATGCACACAGCTCTAACACACACAGCATTGCAAGGAGCACACCTCTCGTCTTGGCAACCCTGCTGCTGTTAGCCGCACACCCATACCCATACCCCCACCCATTCCTCCTCCTCCCACTCCTCCCAAACCTCCCCCCATCCCACCTCCTACACCCCCTCCCCCTCCACTCCTAGACTGCACCACCCCAGGACCACCACCAGTTCCCCCGCCTTCTCCCCCTCCTCCAATCCCCCCGCCTCCCCCTGCGCCTGGCCCTGCGCCCCCTGCTCCCCCCCCAGCAGCAGCGGCAGCCGCGAGAGAAGGGGAGGGGAGGCGCATGCGGGGGTGGTGGAACTTGCAGTCTGCTCCGAACTTGCACTGGCCTGTTTTCATGTAGAACTGTTGATGGGGGGGGGAAAGGGGAGGGGCGAGAGGAGTGGGGGAAGGTGAAAAGGGGAAAGGCGGATACGAGAACCCTGGCAAGCCATCATCTTGCACTCTGCTCCGAACTTGCAGTGGCCTTTTTTCATGTCGAGCTGATTTGAGTCGACTCAAAAGTCACCTTGTTACCTCCGAGCTTGCACTGGCCTGTTTTCATGTAGAACTGATGATGGGGGGAAAAGGGGGGAGGAGGGCGTGTATGTGAGGGAAGAACGGGGGAGGCGCGACGAGGGCTTGGTGGGGCGTTGGGGATTGAGTTGAGGGGTAAGGGTTTTGGGCGCACGCGGGGATGGCGGACCTTGTAGTCTGCTCAGAACTTGAACTGTTGGGGGGGTGAGAGAGTAGGGGAGGGGAAAGGGCAGGGAAGGGGAGGGGGGAGGGAGAAGGGGGGGAGGGGGAGGGGAAGGGAAGGGGAGGGGGAAGGGAGGGGGAGGGGACGGGGGAGGGGAAGGGAGAGAGAAAAGTCACAACGCAGACAAGGGGGAGGGGAAGGAAGCTAGAGGGTAGGACACAAAGATTTGGGGAAGCAAGTGCTTCTGAGCCTAACGACTTCCCTGGACGCTTTTGAGCTGTTTCAATGTTTCAAATACGACTTCCCTGGGTTGGAGGAGCTTGTCATGTGAGCCTTGCGGTGCTCTTGAGGTGCCTCACAGCACAGAACTAGTTTTGCTTTGAGGCGGCTTGAGGACCTTGCAGGTTTGTTGAGGCGGCTTTCGAGTTGGCTAAAAAAGTCGCCTCGACACACAAGAATTCTTAAAGACGACTTTCCCTGAGCTGGATAGGGTACGCCCTTCAGCAGTGATGAAGGCTCGATAGGGTATGCTACGCTCTTCAGCTGAAACATGTTTCCTAAGCTGGAGCTTGTAAAGTGAGCCTTTCGGTTCTTGAGGTGCCTCGGAACATAACTCACTGCATATCACGGCTGGTCGGGCTGTTCGCATAAGATTTCTCAAAGACGACTTTCCTAAGCTGGAGGCTGGAGCTTGTGATGTGAGCCTTACGGTCCTTGAGGTGCCTCGGAACAGAACTCACTGCGCATTCCGGCTGGCCGGGCCGTTCAGGGAAGGGGTGTGGCGAGAAGGGGTGCATGCGAGGCCCTGCTGGTAGCAGCCAGGCGTCTGTTAGATCCTGCTGCTGCTTGGAGGGGGAAGGGGAGGGATAAGGGACGAATGGGGGAAGGTAAGACGGGAAGAATGGGGGAAGGTAGGGACTTTTGAGACATCTCTCGAAAGGGGTGTGGCGAGAAGGGGTGCATGCGAGGCCCTGCTGGTAACAGCCAGGCGTCTGTTAGATCCTGCTGCTGCTTGGGAAAGGGGAGGGAGGGAGTAAGGGAAGAATGGGGGAAGGTAGGGCGGGAAGTAGGGGGGAAGGTAGGGCGGGCGGGAAGAAGAGCGGCAGAAAGGGCAGGAGGAGGAGAGGAGGGACGGTTAGTCGAGGGGGTGCCCTGCAGGAGAGGAGAGATGGATTGTGTTGCATTCGTTTCAGCCTAATTGAGTCTGGTAAATTGAGGAACAATGAACAATCCTCTCTCCCTCCCTCCCTCTCTTCCCTCCTCCTCCCTCTCTCTATCCATATTCAGAAAGCCATCGTCTCTCTCTCCCTTTATCCATATCCGCACGCACACACCCACCTCAGGATGACAGTCAGCTCGGTGCAGAGAGGTGAAGCCTGGTAACGGTGGGTGAGAGCACCAAACCGAGGAAGCAAGCAGGGGAAGAAGTGGCAGGGGAATGAGGGACAGGGGGAAGGGGGGGCAGCGCATGAGAGGTGTGGCATCGACAGGTGAGAGTTCTCTGTGTTGTGCTACAAAAGATGAGCCAAGAGAAGAGACGAATGTGGAAGGCTTGGTGGAAGCAAACGAGTGTGTGGAGAGTTGGTGCAAGCAAACGAGTGTGTGGAGAGTTGGTGCAAGCAAACGAGTGTGTGGAGGGAAGGAAGGCCAAACATGGCGATGGCAGTCACATCACATGATTTTGACAACACTGGCATAGTGTGGCGTGGCATGGCATGAGATGACATGACATGACATGGCATGGCGTGGCATGGTATGGCATGGCATAGCACGGTATGGCATGGCATGGCATAGCATGGCATGGCATGGCATGGGTTGACATGGCACTGGTATGGCATTGTATGGCATAGAATGGCATGGTATAGCATGGCATGGCATGGAATGGCATGTCATGGCATGGAATGGCATGGCATGGCATGGCATGGCATGGCATGGCATGGCATGGCATGGCATGGCATGGCATGGCATGGCATGGCATGGCATGGTATGGCATGGCATGGGTTGACATGGCACTGGTATGGCATAGAAAGGCATGTCATGGCATGGCATGGCATGGAATGGCATGGCATGGCATCGTATGGCATGGCATGGTATGGCATAGCATGGCATGGCATGGTATGGTATGGCATGGCATGGTATGGCATAGCATGGCATGGCAAGGTATGCCATGGCACGGCACGCCACGGCATGGCATAGCATGGCATGGCGAGGCATGGAAAGGTATGGCAGTTCACGGCATGGCGCATGTATAACGCACGTGGCGGGCCAATGTGGGGGGCCATGTGCGCCAGCTCTGGATGGTTGAACTTGCACGTGCTGCCAAACTTGCAGCTGCATTGATGCAGAACGGAGTGGAGGGGAGTGGAGGGGAGTGGAGGGGAGTGGAGGGGAGTGGAGGGGAGTGGAGGGAAGGGTTGGAGAGGGGAGGGGAGCGGAAAGCATGGGAGAGAATCATGACACGCGTATGCCATACACTCTGCCAAGGCAATGGTGGTGTTATGAGGCTTTTTCAAAGTCCAGGAACACACGCATGGCAAGTACCAGGCTGCTGACACATGGTGATGGAACCAAACGGAATGCACGTGTGTTGACATAGGCAGTGTTGACATAGGCAGTGTTGACATAGGCAGTGTTGACATAGGCAGTGTTGACATAGGCAGTGTTGACATAGGCAGTGTTGACATAGGCAGTGTTGACATAGGCAGTGTTGACATAGGCAGTGTTGACATAGGCAGTGTTGACATAGGCAGTGTTGACATAGGCAGTGTTGACATAGGCAGTGTTGACATAGGCAGTGTTGACATAGGCAGTGTTGACATAGGCAGTGTTGACATAGGCAGTGTTGACATAGGCAGTGTTGACATAGGCAGTGTTGACATAGGCAGTGTTGACATAGGCAGTGTTGACATAGGCAGTGTTGACATAGGCAGTGTTGACATAGGCAGTGTTGACATAGGCAGTGTTGACATAGGCAGTGTTGACATAGGCAGTGTTGACATAGGCAGTGTTGACATAGGCAGTGTTGACATAGGCAGTGTTGACATAGGCAGTGTTGACATAGGCAGTGTTGACATAGGCAGTGTTCACCAACCAAGATCGGCCTTAAAGCATACATGCAGCATTGACTAACGCTAACAACACACCTGCCGCATTTCATGTAAAAGGCACAGTCAACGTCGTCCTGTTGGGTAGGGCATGCATGCATGCACGGCCGCCAGGTAGCATGCATTGAAGGACACGGCATGGGGGGGTGGGGATGGATGGAGAGAGAGTGATGGGGGACACGGCATGGGGGGGTGGGGCGATGGGGAGAGGGGTTTGCGGAGGAGCAAGTGGGAGCGAGGGAGGTTGGGAAAAAAACTTCTGAGGCGCCTCAAAAGTCAGATGAGCAAGTGGGAGCGAGGGAGGTTGGGAAAGAGAGCGAACTTAGCTGTCCAAACACACACATGCCAGCACACACATGCCAACACACACATGCCAGCCCAAAGTGTGGGCCCCACACATGCCCCAAAGAGGAGCACTTACAGGTCGCAGTGGGAACCCTCGGGAGTTGAGCAACACATGACCATGGTACAGCATGGCCCCCATTGCACTCCGACCACCACCCCCTCCTCCTCCTCCTCCTCCCCCTCCCCCTTCCTCCCCTCCTCCTCCTCCTCCCCCTCCTCCTCCCCTACCTACCACACCATTCGCACCCCCACCAACGCCGTTACTCTCCAACCCACGACCACCAACCCCTCTTCCTCCTTCCCCTCCGGCTAGCACTACCCGAACGCGTTCTCCCAGCAGAGAATCGCCCATTACAGAGCAAGAGAGGGGCGGCGGCGACGGGGTGTTGGCCCTACGATTGCCAGCATGGCTCTGGTTACCATCGCCGCCGCTCATACCACCCCCGTAGTCCCTGTCTAGATGCATGACACGTGTACGGTTGTGATTGTTACTGTCGTCGCTGGCAGCAGAGAGTGCAGCACAGGCGACAGCAGCAGAGACAGCAGCAGCAGAGGCGAGGTCTACAGCAGAAGGGGAACGGCCCCATCCAGGGGAGGTGGCATCTGGGGAGAACTGGAACTGTTGCTGCTGCTGCCTTTGCTGCCCCTGGCGGTGCTGCTGGTGCTGCTGCAGCTGTTGCTGCTCGCGTTGCCGCTCGTGTTGCTGCTGGTGTTGCTGCTGCTGGTAGTGATACTGCTGCTGCTGCTGCTGCTGCTGCTGCTGCTGCTGCTGCTGCTGCTGCTGCTGCTGCTGCTGCTGCTGCTGCTGTCCCAGCAGCTGACCCAGCAAAAGCTGCTGCTGCTGCTGCTGTTGATACTGCTGCTGCGGTGAGTGTTCATGGGAATTGGCATGCACAAACGGCAGCGGTTGCACCCCTCCGCCCATCATGGACGTTGCACCAGGAGGAGGTGGCGAAACAAAAGACAACAGAGCTCCGTTACGCCGGTTACCACCCCCTCCCGAGACCGTTACACCGGCAGCATAACAGGCAGCAGTATCCCTGCTGCCCCCCTCGCCTCTAGGGATCCTTATGCTGCCAGTGCCGTCAATACCCCCCGTTCTAAACCCCCCTGCCCCTTCCCCCGCACCACCGTCTGTCAAGCCATTTCTATTCTGGAAGCTCCTGCTACTGTCACCACTGGTATAATCACGGTCACCCGTGCCATACGGGGAGTCAGCATAGGCGGTGTGAGTGTAGGAGGGGTGAGGAGGAGGGATATCCTGATTGTAATGGCTTGACCTTAAGTGCGAGGCTTGGCTTAGAGCTGCTGCTACGGCTGCTGCTTCTGATGAAGCTGCTACTGCTGTTTGTGCATCAGCTCCTGCTGCTTCCGCTGCTGATTCTGTTGATGATGATACTGCTGACAGTGCTCGTCCTGCTCCTCCTCTTGCTGCTGGTTCTGGGGTGCTGGCATTAGAACGAATGCTCATTCCGGAAGAATTTATGAGATCGTGTGGTTGGCTTGAGGAATGGTGTTGCAAGAGATGATGAGACGTCTCAAAACTTGAAGAATGGTGGTGGGGGATATGAGTCGTGTCAACTTGTGAGGAATGGTGGTGAGGGGGGGTAAGGCCCCGGTACCCGTTGATTTGGGCTGCTGGGTGCATTGGAAGGGTGTGGTTTACGTGGTGCGAGAGGTATGGTACCGAGCCAGAGGGAGTTTGGTCCGGGAAAGGATGTGTGGATAGGCTCGGGAAGCTGAAGTGAAGATCCTGTAGGAAGGAAGGATGGAAGGAAGGAAGGAAGGGAGAACGAGTAATGTCAGGCCGAAGTGCGAACATGTGATGGAATGGTGGCAAGAGCCAGGATTCCTGGAGCAGGCATGCGGAAGGCGATATGCGTTCTAAGGGGAGGGGACAATGAAAATGATGTGGCGCAACGAGAAAGGTGGAATATGATAGGGGCTGAAGCTGCAGAGAAAGCACTGAAAGAGAACAGCAACAGGGTGGGTGAGAGGCGGGTAGTAGCAGGCGCCATGCGCCATGCGCCATGCACCATGCGCCATGCACCCATGCGTGCGGCATGCGCCATGCACCATGCGCCATGCACCATGCACTATGCGCCATGCACCATGCACCATGCGCCATGCACCATGCACTATGCGCCATGCGCCATGCGCCATGCGCCATGCACCATGAACCATGCGCCATGCACCATGCACCATGCACCATGCACCATGCACTATGCGCCATGCGCCATGCACAATGCACAATGCACCATGCACCATGCACCATGCACCATGCACCATGCACCATGCACTATGCGCCATGCACCATGCACAATGCGCCATGCACCATGCACCATGCACCATGCACCATGCACCATGCACCATGCACTATGCGCCATGCACCATGCACCATGCACCATGCATCCTGCGGCATTCGCAATGCACCATGCGCCATGCACCATCCACCATGCACCATGCGCCATGCACCATGCACCATGCATCCTGCGCCATGCATTCTGCACCATGCGATACATGCTGCTAGTACCTGCATCAGCATTCCGTGAGCAGACATCCCGTCTACTCGAAACTCCGATTCGTGATGCAGAATTGTGGACGAATGCTGTAGCGGGGAGTGCTGTAGCGGGGAATGCGCCTGCGGGGGTGTGTGTAGCGCGGAGGCTTCCATCATGATGTGGCGCCGAGCTGCGGATTCAGCAGGCGGGCGCATGGTGGTGTGCGCCAGATGTGCAGAGGAGAGCGCGTATGACGGGGTGGGAAACGATGCTTGGGACAGGGGATGGAGAGAAAGGGGAAAAGGGGGAAAGATTTGAGTCAACTCAAAAGTCATGCGCGGACGAGAGCGCGTATGACGGTGGGGGAAATGTTGCTTGGGGCAGGGGACGGAGAGAAAGGGAGAGGGGAAGGGGACCCGGAAGGATACATGACGTTATGGGGAAGGTGCCACCTACTGCTACTATTATTATTATTACCACAAGTACTAGTCCCACTAATTACTGGCACAAGAAGACATTACTCGGAGGAGCAGAGCGAGCGCAGAGAGAGCTGAGTGAACTTTAACTGTCCTACGTAACGAGGGAGACCGCAACTACCGTACCATGGAACGAGGGAGACCGCAACTACCATACCATGGAACGAGGGAGACCGCAACTACCATACCATGGAACGAGGGAGACCGCAACTACCATACCATGGAACGACGCAAGTACAAACTTCCCAAAGACGACGACCAAAGCCCCTCTCTGTTGCCATCATCATTCCATGATGGCGTGACAGCTTTCACAGAGTGAAGCAACACATCAAAAGCAGTGAAGAAGCAGTCACAAAGTGGAATGGGTGGCAGCGGCGAGTGTGGTCTCCTTCCTTACACATCATATGGATATTATGATCACGCAGATCGCTTGACGCCCCAGGCTTGCTAGTAGTATTCCCATGATGCAACCCCGACGCGACCGAATACATTGAACCCGCCAAGCCCTGCCCCGCCGCCGGCGCGCCCTGCCCCGCCACCGGCGCCAACCTGCCACCGTCGTCGCCAGATCGCCGGTGCACCGCCGCGTGTTGCGCCGTGGATTGCGGCGGCATGGCTTCATCCAACAGCGATACTACCGCGGCAGCAGACGCGCCGCGTTGCGCTTGGAAATAGTAGTTCGCGGCGCGCGAGTCAGATTCGGAGCCTGTGACACGGCCTCCATTAATCGGCGCGATTCGAGCTGGTAGTATAGTCCATCCATTGGTTTCAATAAAATATCTCGTATCGACTTGCGCTTCGCGCCCTGCCATGCGCACATGCGATGCTTGCGACGACTGCTGCGACAGATCCGACCGTTGGCGCGCATGTTCGGCGCCCGGGGGATCCTGTCCGTGCGGCGACAGTTGCGGGGACACGAAATCGATAGTCTGCCCCATGTGGCGATGCTGGCAGTGCTGCTGCGGCTGCTGATTCTGCGGCGGCTGCTTCGGGAGTCGCAAAGGCGACGATTGGAGAACCGCGGACGTTTGGGCTTCCGGGATGGGCGCGGCGGAGTTTCCAAGGGGGGCGCAGGCGACGGCGGCATGGAAAGCGGCGTGCGGCTCGAAGCGGAACGGCGCGTCCATGGCGTGATGCCGCGTGCCGCGGTTGCCGCCGCTGCCGCCGCCGCCGCTGCTGTCGCTGCTACTATTGCTAGTAGTGTTTCCGAAGCAGCTGCTGCTGCTACTAATGCTCCTGTGGCAACTGACGTCGTGGTTCCTGGAGCGGAACGTATCGGGTGTACGAGTTGGATCGATAACTGTGATGAGAGCAGCCAAGATGCGACTTGGTGTCGCGACGAGAGACGCCCGGCGATGTCATAATGTGAGTCGCATGTTGATCGCCAGTGAAGACAAAGGAGCAGGCGGTGGTAGACTGTGTGATGCGTGCAGGCGACACAGGAGAGGAGCGTTCAACAACGCCAATGCTGTGTGATTGCTGTGTGAGAAACGGGAAGAGCATAGGCTGTGTTGGGTGGGGGGGAAGGTCATCCATCCATGCTGGTGAAAGTTTGGGCGGCTTATGTTGGGATTCCAGATGGATACCGTCGATATTTTGTGGATACGAGGTTATGTACGGAAGTACAGAAATGTACATGATGGGGATGATGAGAGATGTGTGTTGATCAAATTCGCCAAACATTTGCCAGACGATACACCTAGTCCGCGGTATTTTAACCGCCGGTATCTTAACCACGTGGGAGTACTACTCCGTGGTTAAGATTGAATACAAGGGTAGTTTAACCAATTTATGAGGGTAGAGTTACGCGTCCCCTTCGCGAGGTCACGTCAGTTGCAACTCTGATGATGCCAAAGCGCCCCCTATCTCGGAGAACTAAGTGTGGATTTTCCAGAACAAAAGTGTCCCGGTTGTATAATAATAGCCCCGAAGTCTCTGGGTGCCCATCCCATTGGACAAAAATGCACACAGGATGTTTGAAACAAAAACGTTCACGTGGTTAAAATACCGCGGACTAGGTGTGTAACACTCTTTGACACCTCCGCCGAGAATGGCTGGTTGCGTTTCTACATTGCTCAATGAAAGTAGTCGACCTCAGGCTTGTTCTGTGGGTCCTCTGAGAATCAAATCGGTTGCATTGCGACCCAATACCGACAGCGCTTCCACCACCGTGGCTGTCTCCGGCAGCTTGTCGCTTAGTTTATAGGTGACTTTTCCGTGTTCTAAAGGTTACAGCTGGGATCATTGGGGTCGGCCCCATTCCACCATCCGCCAAAAATACACGGATGCCATCACATGGGTCAGTTTCGGCGTTGTGTTGCGCTGGTTTGGCGAGTCGCGACCACGCCGCCATCACGGCTGACGAAGAGCTCACCCGAAGTGAAAGAGCGTATGGTAACAGTTTTTATCGCAATCTTCAGTTTGTACCCGACCCCACCACGTTATATAGTCAATCAACCGTTTCAATACACTGTAGATAATCACAAGTGTACCATATTTGGTCTGGAGAAATCCATAAAACCAAATTCGCTGGGTCCTAACCGCGGGACAAGCCGAAGGCTTACAGTACTTGCAATCCCGTGATCCTTGCAATCCAAAAGGATATTGTTCAGGGTTACTGTATATAGCGTTTTCTATCGCCCCTACACTTTCACCGCGTGTAATGACTGAACCGTCCCTCCTTTTGCAGCTCTATTTAAATGAGAACATTGCCTAGCCCGAGTTAGATGCAGCAAGTACCTTGCTGCTGATTCCAGAAATGAAACCTCCAAAATTCCCGACTAGATACGGCCACTCTATATTTGGCCCGGTGGGGAGTGACGGAAATCACGACATCGGAGGGTGAGCAGAGCCAGAAGCAACACATTTGCACAGCTCTGATCGGCAAAAGATTGGCTGTGCCAAGTGGGGTTTGGGTCTCCCCAGCTGGTGTAGGTTTGACTTCGCTTCCCTCCATCTCCCCCACCCCTTCCCTTTTTCCCGTGCAACACTCTCTTTTATGGGTCGGTTGAGCCCTGCTCGACCCACGCCTAGGTCGGTTTCACAGTGTTCGCTCAATTCCCGACGCGATAAAGTGGAACACCCGGATACACTGCCGTGGCAGGGTAGCCTGGGTCACAACCAGGGTCCTCCCAAACATACATCGTCCCCTGTACCAAGAAACCTGCCAACCACCACAACGTCCCCGGTTCATCGGGTCAAAAGTACACTATATGCATATTTCAGTTACGACTTATTTTCAGAAAGTACAGCTTGAAACGTGCAAAATCAATTGTACAGCATTCAAAGTATCTGATTAAACATGGGTGATTGCCTATGCTATTTGTGATCAAGGCCTTCAGCTGCAGTACAGATGTCTCCGCTGCACGTTTTGAGTTTCCGCACACACCAGGTGAAGCTCGTTGACCGTGTCGAAATAATATCAGCCTGCTTCAGATAGTTATAAAATGCCATATAGAGATAGATCTTACAGTTTGAAATAAAATTGCACTTTGTCGATTTACACGTTGGGACGCGTATTAGATAGAGTTGATTTGAGTCGGTTCTGGCTGGGCATTGGGTGTACACATCGTCCTCTCGATTACAGTACACCCTCTTTCTCACCTATCTCACCGGCGGAATCACTGGCTACAGTGTTTGGACGTAGCGGGCTGGTGAGACAACTCGGTTGCGGGCAAAGTCGCACGAAAGTTTAAAACACGCCTTGGGCCGTAAAAAACCATTAACGTTGAATAACCATCCCAACCGCTTTGAAAACAGCAGTACCGTTCTAGAACGTAAAAACCCTTGACTAAACGCCCTGGGTCAAATTGTCACTATAACGCATGTGCTAGGACCTTCTTGGGTCCGGTGCGGTCACACTAAGCGTCTCGGTCAGTATAACATATGCCAGTCTATCGAGAATGAGGGTGTATTCCTCTTGTCGTCGTGACGTGACGTGGTGCCTTGGTTTGGAAGCCAAGCCACCTGCTGGTGTGACTGAACTGAACAATGAATGCAGGATTCATCGTTACTCCGTCTCCACCTCCATTGGTCAGCGAGATTCCAGGTCCCTACCAGAATATACGATACGAGCCTAAACGCGTAAAGTAATGGTGAAGGACGTGGTGGTCCCAAGAGCGAGTTTGACATGTCTTTTACAGGTTTTTTTAAGCAGCCACAGCAAATTTAACGCACAAGTTTTCTTATACCACATAAATAACACCATAATAAACAAATTTAAATGTGCATGTTAATATAGGGAATCAGAACAATATATTGTAAATGTTAACATAGGGCTTAAGGTTTAGGAAACTAAGGAGAATAGGGTGGCGAGAACGAAGGCCAAAGAGGGGTTGTTATTAGGCAAGAGTCGAGATATGCAGGCACGGCATTGAACGGGTGAGAACAATTGTGCACCACCAACAAAAGAACTAATATAAACTACACAATTTTGTCTACAGGCAGTTATAACGTATACCGTATATAATATATATTTTTTACGCACCCCATATCTGCTGCAGGACACAGGATGTCCAAAAGCCGGTGCATTGCAGCTCTGCTGGTTCGTGCTTAAGGTGAGGACTTCCAGCTGGTTGGCTGTCCGGCTGGAGAGGAAAGAGGAGGAGGAAGCGAGTTGTGAGAGGAGGGGGAAGACGGCGGGAAGGGAGTGGAGAGATAAGGAGGAAGACGTCTGGAAGGGAGAAGAGAGAGGAGGAGGAAGGCGGCTTGAATAGAAAGGAGAAGCGAGATAGAAGAGAAAGGAGGAGGAGGCTGGTGAAGTTGAGATGCTCTCTCTCCCACCACCCCCTCGACCCCCCAACCCCCCCTCATCGTCCACCGAAGCAAAGGCGGTAGGGATAGAAAGGAGAGAAGGAGAGGAGGGTCGGCTGGAGGCAGCTGTTTGGTCACAGCCGCCACCCCCACACCCCCCTCTCCACACCCCCATCGGTTTCGGGGTGGTACAATGAACCGAATTGTAGTCGAGTGCCGAACTTCTGCCATGGGTTTCTCCAGAGGTTGCTGGAAAACTTCGTGTCGCGGTCGTTGATGATCGCGGTGGTATCCCGAGCACGCGAACGATGGTGGCGATGAAGAGCCGAGCTGTTTCTTCGGCCAAGAAATTTTTCTTGCACGCTGCAAAATGTGTCATTTTCGTCAGCCGATCGACGACCACGAGGATCGCGTCGTTCCGACTTGCCCCAGCCGATAACCCCGTGACTAAGTTCATCGTCATCTGCTGCCAAACACGCTCTGGGGGTGGTATCGGCTGCAACTGTACTTCCGGCTTCTGACGTGACGATTTCATGAGCTGGCTGGTGGAGCACGATGCCACGTGTCTCTGTACGTCGGTCAGCATTTCGGGCCAGTAATAATATCGTTGCAGTTGCTGTCGTATTTTTTCGACCCCGAAATACCCTGAGGTAATCCCTTTGTGTGCCTCCTGTAGCAGTAATTCCGGCGGTAAGGAGTAACCTGGTACCCACATGCGGTCGGTACCGGCTTTTACGCAATACACCCCTCGTGCTGTTGCGAACTAATATGAGTTGCCACCAGTGAAGAATGGGCCTGTTTCATAACCGTGGGTGAATAGGCCTGTGGGCCGCTGGTCTGGGCGAGTAGTACAGCGTGTATT